TAATTCCCTCTTAGTTCACAGAATTGGGTTCGTCCTGGAGTTCTGAGTCATTATTATTCAAAAAGCAATTATTCCTATTTACCCCTCATCAATATGAAAATTCAGAATAAGGGTTACTTTATACAGTTGCGGTTAGAGTTCCAATTATCTTGATAGATGTTATATTGGAAAATTGTATAAAGACCTTTTCAAAGTATACCAAAAAATATTAGTTAATTTTAAGAAATTAATTTCTTAGAAGTTCAACTTTATTTAAAAAGGCAATCCTGTAGTTTAAACTTTAAATAAAAGTATTAAATCTTTAATAATTGCTCTGAAAGTTTTATAATCTTGCTTAAAATTCTAAGTCTAATTTCTTGAATTTAAGTTTATGTTGTAAAAATAGAGAAATTGAAATTTTTTTGAGGTTAAATTTTCTAGCCCCTTCAATACTTTTTTCTATAATTCATGGATTTTAATTCAAAAATTCAGTCACTTTCACCCATTTATTTTTTCCTTGATTAGATATAACTTTTTTTCTCATATCAAGCACAATTCTAATTTAAAGTAATCGATACCATTATATTTCAATTTTATTTCGTTTATAGATTAAATCTATATTTTTACCAGAATATATTATTTTCCAGTGTTTAAAGGATGATTTAAAAATATAAATGTCATAATCTTTTTATTAAAATAACCAACTTACACGTCCTCAATTCAATTTATAAAATTAACCATTTTCCACACCTTCTTGGCCTCAGTCCAATTGAAAAGTCAAAATTAATAGAAAAAAAATTGTTAAAATTTGCAGGTAACAATAAGCATATTGTTAAAGTATAGATTAATGTGACTATTGAAGCTACTAATCTATTGCGTACTTCATTCGATCGCGTTAAATAAATCTATTCAATCCATTTTTTTTTTTCAATCTCAACCTAAATATATCATTCTCTCTTCACTCTAAAACTTTACACTCTTCTTTTTGATCCTCTCCTTTTCTCTATCCAATTTCTTCAGTCTTAATTAAGTGCAGTTTTATTGGTCGACAGAATTTAAGTGAGGAAAGATGCATCAACTCCCCGTGCACATCACAACATTACCTCAACGGCTGGCCAGATGCTTAGGCTAGAAGACTGGGTAATCATCGGCTAAACAGAGGTCTAGGCTAGAAGATTGGGAACACACCAATGGCTGGACAGAGGTCTAAGCTAGGAAGATTGGCTAAATACAATATAATTAGTATCCAAAACAATTTGCCTAGCAACAGCCACAAAGATCCAATTAAAAAATTTGCATTAACAAATTTTTCTAGTCAGCGAAATACAAAAAAAGTTATTTGGTGTAGAAAGTCTTAAGGAATTTGCCCCCATATTTAACCTTCGTATGGTATCTTAGGGATGGAAATTGCTACACTCTATCAAAAATTATTTTTGAAACCTTTATTCCTTAAAGAAGGCAAAAAAATTCTACTAAGAAGGACATTTTTATAAATGACTTCATGATAAATTCTTAAATCTTTTAGATTATATAAAATTGTGTTGATATATTTTTGAATTGCTATCATATAGGTAGAATCTCTATTTAGTATCTTTGATACTAATATCATCTCTTCTATTAAGGCAATAGAGGCAATCAGTACAATTAACTGCTTTAGCTTTAGTTATGCGTGGAAAGGTATGGTAAGTTTTAATGTTTGAAAATAATTACATTTTGCTAAAACTAATAGTCTTCAATAAGTCTCAACTAAATTTTCTGTAGAATTTAAAACGCAAGCTTGTAAGATTGTTTCGATTTATTTTATCCATATATTGCTATTGTGCTTGGTAGAAAGGAAGAGGAATTAATTTAAAGCATTTTAAGATAATTGTATTCTCTGACTAAGTTTCAATTGGTTGATAAATAATAATGGGTTTGAGAGAACCTTTATGTTGAAATCAAACCATAAAGATGAATATATGAGAGATATATGATTGCGTTATGTAGAATAGGCAACATTGGTACTACACATTTTGATTTGAAGATCATCTTAACAATATCGGCAAGTGATTTTTACTCCTTAAATAAATTAATTATGAGCTTTTCAAATTTTATTTAACTAAAAAATTAATGTGACTCTGAAATATTCGATAACACATTTGGGAATAGCCCTATCTTATTAATATACTTTACTATGGTTTAATAAAATGATAAACATTGAAATAATAAATTTATTGATATATTTGATTTTTCTATTATATTATCAGCCTATTACTGTAAATTCTCCAATTTTCTTCCCATTTGAATATTCTCCTTGAATAAATTTGATTTTAGTCCTAGACATTGATAAATTCCATTTACATGTTGAAATCATGTCTTATATCAATCCATAATCCGTGTTTTCTTCCCTACTCATTGTAATCTCCACCTCCTCTTAATATATTATTAGAATTCTGATTTTATAAAATTTCCCAATTTCCCACTTTTATTCCATTTTTATATTCTCCTGCAAAAATGATCTTATTTAACCTTTGGTAATTATATATAGATAATCATATTACACCCAAAAATCGACACTTGGTTCAACCCAAAATCCATTTTTTAATTCATTTTCATCATATTCACCCCTTTAAATAAATAAGCATTCTACAAATTTTCAATAATTTATGGTAAATCATAATTCTAACATTAGTTATTCCAGCTTCCTACTTTCTTATTATTTATATACGTCCCTTTACATAATAATTCGCTACTAAATAAATAAATTACTCGAAAAAAACATACCTGTTAAAATATTCTTAAAACTCTAACCATGTGCCGTACTTCATTCCATTTTCATCATACTTTCCTCCTCCACTAAATTAATTGTGTTAAAATTCATACATTGTCTCCTCTCCATAATAAATCCATTCACCATGTCTTTTTCCATCTGTGTAAGTTCCTGAAAAACAGATATACACTGGATCGAAATGAATTACTTCAATCCAGTCCCCTAATTTTTAACCAAAATTATCAAATTGTCCCCCTCCGCTAGAGTTTACATGAGATAATACATAATATTTTACTCTTAGTCAATTATATCCCACTTTCCAACTTTTATTCCTTTTTCATATATTCCTACATTTATGGCTGGGCATTGCCTATTATTAAGCTCAAATTCTACAAAAAATTATCATGAAGTTCAATCCATTTCCCAACTTTCAGCCCATCTTCATCATATACACCTCCAAAACTAAAATTATTAACATAATTTAATAATTAAACATTTCTTCTTAAAAAAATTCTTCCCACATTTTGTAGTCATACTAAAGTTTAATTTACCATTCACCTTATCTCACATTTTCCTTGTAGTTGCCTGTTTAAATGATTCGGTTTTCACTAAAATAATTAAACAAATCAACCCAAATGAGAAATCATAGATATCCGACCATATTCCATTTTTTTATCCATTCATGTCATATGTTCCACTAATACTAAGTAATTATTTTTAAGATGTACGAAAGCTTCTCATCAAATTACATTTCCCAAATTCCAAATTTTCTTCCATTTTTATATTCTCCAATATTCACAATTTTTTATTTTTTATCGCTTAGAGAAGCTTAAAAGAAACTAAAACCATCGACAAATTCGATCCATTTTCCTTATTTAATTCCATAGTTATCATAGTAACCTCCTGCTTTGAAATGAAAAGTTTATTCTTTCTTTTTCGAGCTATATGAATAATAACAATATTCCCACTTTCCAATTCTCTTTCCTTTTTTGTATTCACCAAAAAAGTAGTATTATTCAAGACTAACAGATAAGTAAGGTTTTACTCTCGAAACATATTATAAGGTTCTTTCCAAAGTCCTATTTTGAAACCTCCTTCATCATAGTACCCTCCGGCATCTAATTTGTCACCATTCCAATAAGGAGTCCACTTTCCAATTTTTTTATTTTAGTTATCGTACTAACCATCCCATATCAAATATTTGAGAAAGTTAAAATCCTTGATTATCTCGTAATCTGAAAAATCTCCTTTTATCCAATCTCTAATATACAAATTGATAATTAGAACCTTAACAAGATTTAACCATCTTTGAAATATTAAATACGATTGTTTTAATATTCTAATTAATACTCTATTTTTTCCTAAGAAATTTAAAAGTATTATTTTCCAACGATTCTTATTCTATTATTTTCATTAACTGTAATTGTATATATTTTTACTTTTAATTTATTTGGTTACTTTATCTTCTTATTCAAGATTCATTTAATTTTTTAATGAATAAAAAAATTGATATCACAGAATTTGAACAGAAAATATTCAAATTTTTTAAAATTATGTTCCAAATATATTATGGTAATAAAATAATCTTTATTAAAATATTAATGTTCAAAATAAATCCAAAATATCCAAAGAAAAGATTATTTCAAATTTGGTATGTGTAAATATATTCATTAAAATATTGATAGAATCAATAATCACCAAATGTTATTTTTATGATAGTTCTTTATAATGAATTTAGTTGAAAAATTTCTATTAATTAATAAATGAATATAAATCTATTTTAATTGAATTTTTTTATTAAATGAGTCTAAATTGAATAGTCATTGAGGATACCAGTTCAATCTATCAGCCTAAATGTCTAAATTAACTATAAATAACAATATTTATTAAGTATTGAATTAAATTAAAAAATATGGAGAGAATTCAAGAAGCTTCTCTGTTTGAAAACTAAATCCATTTGATGAATAAACACTTTAGATGAGAGCCAAATTTAATGAAAACTAATTTTAACATAAATGGTAAATTATAATAACATCGATAATTTCAGCTCGCTTATTGAAAAGCAGATTTACTTCAATTTATGATCACATTTTTGAGAAATAATACTGAAATCAAAAATATATACGTCTTAAAAATGATTAGAACCTAATTAGCATGCATTCAAGATGGACCCTCGAACTATGTATACTTCTAATTATTAAGCATAAGTGGAATAGGAATTGAATGAATTCAATAATAAAATTGATGGGAAGTAAAGATTATAAAATAAACTGGATTCGGATGTTTAAGAAACCATTAGTGTTCAATAAAGCACGAGGAACTATTAAAAAATTTCTTCGGTTAAGTTCATTTTTAACTGTTAAGTAAGTATCCTAATACATTTTAATTTTTTAAATAACTATTTTTAATAGAAACTGGATTAAGTAGTAAGCTAGAAAAGAAATTATTTTAAAAATAACAGAATTCCAAAATTTCAAATTTTTTGAGTAAAGTGTTCATACAATTGTATTTGTAATCTTCTTTTTACAAGATTTAATGCTAGGATTACTTGTTTTATGAACAAATTCTCCTCCATTCTTTTGAATTATACTGATATAAATTACATATGAGATTTTAATGGCTTGATAATGTAAACCTTGTTTTAATTATGAAAATTATATTAGCTTTAAAAATACTAATTCAAACTTAAGTAAAGGTTCCATAATTGCGCTTAGAATATGAGATACTTATTTACTATAAGCAATTCCAAATTAAAAAAATTTATCGTTTTTAAAATAATTTCCATTCCAGAATAGCAAGTTATTTGAATTAATTTTGTATACTTATAAATTCTCAATTTTGATGAGTGTAAATTAGAAGAATTTTCAAATAGATAATAATCGATTATTTAATTTAAAATATTTTACAAAAATCTTTTAGGCTTTATTAAATTAAATTTCAAAATAGAGATTTATGCAACTGTCAAGAAATTATAAAATTTGATTTTTCATTTAAAAATTTAATACACTACGAAATATTTTGAGCAATTGTATAACATACTGAAATTAAAATTATCACAATTTAAAAAAATTGATAATATTATACTCATTTCAATTTAATAGATAACATTCTGAAGTAGGAAAACAATATTAGTTAATAGAGTTAAGAGTTAAATTTGACAAATATAGTTTAACTAAACTAATTTAGTTCTTCAGCATGTTCTTGAGAGATTTATAATTTAATTGCAACTAAGTATTGAATTAAAAAAATGTTAATGATAGCTCAAAAAAAATGAGTTATTCTAAATACATGTAGAGAATTTGTAAAGGTAAATTAAAAATTATCATAAATTCTTGATGATATCATAAATGGAGCATTCTGAGGAAGTTCCTTCTGGGCCTGTTTCTTAGATGGATGAAAGGGGAAAGGCTTAGATGGGATGCATCGAAATCTAGAGAGGTCAAGAAATGAGAAGGGGAAAAAAGGTGAAGTTCAAGGAAAAATGAACCCCTGGAAACCGGTAGAGCCTAGATGCTCGGAGGAGGGTTGAATTAAATTAAATTGAAGTTAAATAAATTATATTATAAATTTCTAATTATATTTGTCAAATCTTTTCACGTAATTATTTTTGAGATCCTTGATTTTGTAGAAATCGCTCATAAATTAATGCTTTTCTATTTATTTGGAATTATTTTAATGAATCAGCTAATTTCTGAAAAAAGTACTAACTTTAATTTTAATAAAATTGAGGATCGATATTAATTTTTGATATAGCTTCCTCCCAATTTTTAATAATATCCAAAAATCTTCCCTAATTTTCTAATGCTTTTTCTGAATAATATTTTTAATTATTACCTTTTTCAATGTAAAATTATAAGATTGAACCTTAAGTATATCTGAAATTCGTTTGTGCTTATTAATTTTCTAATTACAAATGTAAAACTAAATCTATTAATTTATTACTTCTTTATTCTATTCCTTAATCTATGCATTCAATGGATTCTTAAAATTTATTCATTTTTTCTAAGGTTCTCACTTATAATCGTAATTTTATATTTTACTTTTGGCTTTGTAAAATGATAAATTCAACTAGTTTTTTCGAACTCCTTCATCCCAACAATCAAGAATTTCTAAATTTCTCCACTGCTTTTCTAATGCATTTGCTAAATTATTAGATTGAGTGCCATACCTTTTTAATAGTAATAATAAAAATTAGTCTCATTTTTTTTGATACAATAATCCCAGCATTCAATAATTTCCTGAAACCTATTTTATTTTTCTAGTGCATGACCTATGACCATAAAGGATTTATTTTTACATTTTTCTAAACAGAATTAATATTAATTATATTAATTATAAAGATTGCTTTCAATTCCTAATTGCCAAATTAATATGATTTCTTCAAATTTTGATATTTTTGCTAATGCATTTGCTTTAGTTAAACATTTTCTTACTTAATTTGACATAAAAATGATATTCGCTCTTTAAATAATTATTATTTGAACCCCAATAATCTATGATTTCTTATTTTTTTCCTTAATTAACTAAAGCTAAAACTAAAATATCAATATTCATAACTCCTTTCCAAAACAGCCCATTAGACATTTCTATTATTTGATATGGCATGATCCCAACACGCAATGATCTCTTCATATCTTTACTGTTCTTCTAATGCCTTTGCTAAAATATGAGAGGATTCTACATTTTTCATAGTAGAATAATTTGTTATGTGGGTTTTATTCTATACCTTTTTACCAACAATCTAAAATTTATAATTTATAACCATATCTTTTTAATGCTGAAGCTAAAAATAGACACATTAATACCTTTATACAGATAAAAGTTAAGATTTGACAAATTTTATAAAATCCCTTGATCCCAACATTCTAAGATTTCTTAAAATTTGCCTTATCTTTCTAATATTTAAGCTAAGAATTAGTATAATTGTACTTTTTTGTAAATAAAAATATAATTCGCTTTAATTTTATAATATAAGAGTATCCCAATAATTAATAATTTCATTATCTTCACCTTACTTTTCTAAGAGTTTTGCTAGATACATTAAAAAGTAGATAATACATTTTTCTATGTAATAACATTTTTAATTAGCATCGTATTGAATTGCTTGATCCCAATTATTTATGATTTCATTTAGTTTACTTTACTTTTCTAAAATTATTGCTAATTTAATTGCAAAAAATAGGAACCTTTTTATTAATAAAATTCGCATCTATTATAATTTCTTTCAATTCCTTAATTCAAACAATTTAAAGCCTCTTAATATTTTTATGTTTTTTCTAAAATAAGAGCTAAAATAAATAATGACAACAACACCTTTTTCCTTGTAAAAAGAAATTTTTGAAATATTGTTTTTTATTCCAATATCCCACAGTTCAATAATCTCAGAAATTTTATTTTAATTTTGTAGTATGAGTGCTAACAATATCAATCAATTTTACCAATTTCTTAGTAAAGGAGGATGTTATGTTTTTTAGAATTTATTATTGATTTTAACAATACTAATGCTTCTTCTTCTTTACCTTCTAGTTTTAGAGCGTTTGCTAAGTATAAAATATTTTGTACCTTTTACGATACATTTATGAGTAGAAAATTCTGAAATAATTTTTTTAGTTTTCATCAATTTGATAAGATTAATAAAAGAATTTAATAATAAATTATTAAAACTACTTTGTGATCAAATTTGATATATTTTGGATGAAATAATAACTATATATTAAAATTCATATCATTAAGCGATTAATATAACCGAAATATTTACAAGAATTATTTAAAAATTAGATTATATGTAGATTTAATTTGAAAATCTTGTAACAACAGTATCTAATTTTAATTGAAAAATATTGATCTCTCTTAAAAAATTCATATTTCTAAAATAAAGAGATTATTTTGGTATTTTGAGTATGTTCTTAAGATAAATATAATTAAACATTTGTAATATAAATACAAAACAATAATTATTTTCATATTAATAATTGATTGATAATAATCAGAGGTTTTAATACTTTTTGTTTACAAATTCAAGGAGCTCTTTATAACATGTTTCAAAATTATCATTAACAATGAAATGATAAAATTAAAAAGATTTAGCTTTTTCAATTTCAGTTTCTGCGTTCTTGATTCTCTTCTCCACAACATCAGATGTTTCAGTTTTTCTTCCAATTAATCTTTCTCTAAGAATGCTGATAGATGGTGGTAGTATAAATATGTTTACGCATTAGTTATTCAATTATCTATTTATTTTTTCAGCTCCTTAAACATCTATCTCTATAAGAGGTATTTTATTTTATTTAATGATATCGTTTATTTGATTTTTAGCAGTGCCATATAGATTTCCATGAACTTCACAAACCTCTAGAAACTCATTATTTTTGATATTTTCCTCAAAGACATCTTTGTTTACAAAATGATAATTGACGCCATTCTACTCATTTGGTCTTGGTTTTCTAGTAGTCAGACTCACACTGTAAACAAAGCTTTGGCTATTTTATAGTAATCTGGTGACTAATGATCCCTTTAATAAAATAATTATGTACTTTGCCAACTCCACTCGGGCCAGAAACTATTAAAGGTTTAATTGTGGAAAATTTATAAATTGCTTTCATTAATATTTTATAATTAATATTACTATAATTTTGGCAAGCATTTCGAGAATTCTTAAGCCCAATATATTGATTTCGTTGATTAATTTTGTATTAGTAATAGATAAAGCTTATAATATCACAAGTCATTGACACTTTTGAATTTCAATTTTTGAAACTATCCTATTTGTTTTTTTATATTGTAAAATAATATCTGATATTTATCAATATATATACTAAATCAATTCCAATATTCATCTTTATTAAGATGATGATTAATCATTTCATATAGGACTTATGGTTAATCAAAAACAGCAGCATGGCCTGCATTGTATATTGTTACCATAGTAAACTTCTCTGTTTTTTTGAAATTGCCGACTGTTCTTCCATTACTTTTAAAAATAGATTTTTATGCTGATTTCCATTAATAAATTTAATCTGACTTAAAGGTTGATAACCAATTTTGTGTTCCGGCTGGATTTATGCTTGCGTCCATCTAACCATTATAGAAAAGGACTGTTCCTTTGTTTAGTAAGTCTTCAATAATTTTGGTCAAATCAAAAGAGAAATCAGGTTCCATCTGCTATTTTACTTATTAATTACAAACTTAAGTAATAGTGTTTGTAATTCCAAACTAATCTTTATATTTACTCATAAAATTAATCCACTCATTTGATCTTATTTCTCCTTGTTTTAGTAAGATATTTGATACATCAGTTTTTGCAAAATTCTCTAATTTATTAAAGTAAGATGTAAATGCTGATCCAGCTAATTTATCCTACTACTTTAATATCATCGATTATAATAGATATTCTTCTTTCTTTGTAATTTTCTTAAATTCATCGCTTATATACCCATTCACATATAAGTATGAAGATATTGATGAAGTTTAATATAACATACTTTATAATCCATTTCCAATTATAATTCCTTAATAATTGAACTTGATGTCACTATTAAGTAAACTATTGGAAAATAGAGGAGCAAAGTGACCTGTGTAACTGAATCCAGTAAGGTAAGTCTATGCTTATTAGAATTCGGGATGAACCTTGAAAAATTCAACCATAAATTCTACAAAATAACCTGAAGCTTGTAATGTTGAATTAATTTATATATCTCCTTAGCTAAATCCAGTTCCAAAGGGTTGATCAATGAATAAAATTGAAGCAAAATCATTCCAACTATTATCCTTTTTTTGAATTGTAAAGTCAGCATCAGATTTTTCAATATGGAATGGACCAATCAATTCATAAAATGCACTTTATGATGAACAACCAGGACCTCCTTAAAGCCAAATCAAGAATATGTTGTCTTTTGTGATTGTTTACTCGTTGAACCCTTTTTAGTAAACTAATTGATAAAACATATTATTCTTTTCTTTTAACAATCCTGTAGCTGATCCACTTTCAACATCAAAATCAATCGCTAAATACTTGTTATATAATTCTATGAGCTTGTAATTAATTTGGATTACCTTTTAAAGATTTCCTATTGATAGCGGCATGTGCAAAATAAATAAGAATGCAAAAAATCATTAAATAATTAATGAAATATTTACTAAAATAATTATATAAATGTTTGAATAACTTCCAATTGTAAATTAAATTAATAAGCTATCTATTTATACACATTTGAAATTACATACCTCTATTGATAATAGTAGAATAAGAAATTGATAAAATAAAACCTATTCTTTGTGAATTTTGTTATTAAATTAATTCTCCACTTATATTTTTTCAATTTTGTAAAGGAAGAGAATATTTATTGATGTCAAATAAAAGTGGTACTGTCCTAAAGCGAATGTAACAGTGTTTTTACATTTTCAATAGATACGATTATTGATATTTAGGTTTAATTGATAAAAACGATATAAATAAAAATAAATGGCAGATAAAGGCGGAGCCAAAGGAGGAGCAGGAGAAGAGGGAAAGGAAGGAGAAGATAAAGAGCCAGAGAAAGGATGTTGCGATAAATATGCTGAATGCTTAGTCGTGACTGGTAAAGTAAATAATTGATTTCTATATTCAGGCTGTCTACTCTTGTTGCCTGGCTATTTGTACCTGTATAAGAGAATGTTTGGCATTTATTTGGTACCCATGCAAAGAAAGATGTTGCGGTTGTCTTGATAATTGTGACAAGCATTACAATTAATGGAAGGATGAAGGATTTACAGATGTATGAAATTGAGTACTGCAGATTTTGTTTTTATAATTAAATTTTCTCCATAAAGACCATTTTTGTTTTTCAGTTATTTACATAAAATCTAGATACAATTTCGAAAAAATAATGTAATTCTAAATAAAAGTCTGCAATATATTATAGAGATTTGTAAGTGTAAGATATAAGTATCTAGTTTCTAATGAAAATAAATTACTCAGACCATGGTCTTATATTTATAATACAAAATAATTAAAATCAGAAAGTATTTTGACTGTCTTCTTGAATTTTAGCACTCTTTCCTTCTAAAAATGCATATTTCCTTAATTCTTTGGATACCCAATAAGGACAATCAGGAATGGCAGCTCCAAGGATATATTTAATAAGTAATAAAATATGTTCTATTGCTGCTAGTACTAAAGTTTGAAATAAGGGATCGGTATCCCCAATCAATTTTTCAAATTCAGATTTATTTACGATCCCTATCACTATGCAATTCATGAAGGTAGAACAATAATTCATAATCTCAAAAATGGATAGCCAAATTCCAATTGAATCAGCAGCTTAAGCTCTCTTTAGTAATGTAATATCTTACCTCTCGTTTTAGCACATTTTAGTAGTTGTAGATGGAAAATTGTAGGTTGATGTATTGATTTAACAGAAAGAAAAGTGGAGCAGCAGCGAAGGCAGGAGAAAACATAGTTGTATATCCAAATTGAATGGCTATACTAGTATACTCATTATATAATTCCTTTTATGGTTACTTATTATGGCTATCCTCCATTATTTGCATAAATTTAATCTAATCTTGAAGGGGCAACTTGTCATTTACATACTACAATTCACAAATTTTGAAATCTTTACAATAATCCTAAAATTTATCAAATTAACCCTCGAGACCCCATTTCAGATATTTATAGAATAAAAAAGGCATGCAATTGCTGGTTAAATTGGAGATTAATCCTCTTGTAATAATTATGCTGGCTACTGATAAAGTTAATTGGGTCTGATCTGATTTAAATAATACAGCATAGACGACAGAGATGTAGGAGATTAAGAATTCAAATAAAAACACTTTTAAAACATAAGAGTATTGCATTGCTAAATCAAATTTATGATTTTCCCAATTAACCACTGATTTGCATAAGCGTTTATATAGGTCGCAAAAGACAGTCATGCCTACTCCATTAAGAGAATTAATTATTATTGGCATATAGATATTGTTTGGATCTTGGTTTGATTACCAAATGTTGAAGGCAAAGAAGCTCACTACTATAATAGATATCCCTAACAATATTACTGGGAATTCAACTATCAGCCTTCTTTTAAACGTTGTAAAATAATCATAGATTCCTATTTTATTTGTACATTGATTGATAACATATTCACCAGTATACATAACCCTTTAAGGCTCCTATTATTTGAATTTATGCATATCCCAAATATATTTAAACTCAGATTCTCTATTTTTCCATTTCTCCATGAATAATGTTGCCCAAAGTGACATAAATAAAGCATAGGCTGGTAAAATGGAAGCACTTAATTATACTGATTAAATTTTACTGAACTTTATCAGCAAACAGCTGATACAATTGAATAGCAGAACCAACTAGAGCTGGAATTATAAGCCAGCCTACAATTTAAACGTTAAAAGAGATATACCAGGCAATCACAGGTCCATAATATGCTGCTATGGAATTTAATGGTCTTAATGAAAACTAGTGAGTTTCAAATCTGATTGTGTCTCTGATGCAATTGTATTGGAGCTCTTTCCATAACTAATCAACTTTTTATTATTTTGAATTGTCTTCAAGGGGAAAATGAGATATCACTAAACCCTCTAAAATAAATTTGTCTAAATCAAATTCTTCATTCAATGTATTAACAATAAGGGATTGTATCTGCAAAGGTTTAGGAAATTCGTAATGATCATAATCTCGATATTTAAATTTGGCTAGATGCTATGATTAAAAAAGATATTACTTTCTTAGTAAAATGATAGCATTCAATCTCATATTTATCCGCTAATTTATAAATAGTATTTGCTGTTAGTTTCAACACGTAATAATGATGTTTCATCTTATTTTCTTATTAATTCCTAAGACAATTATAATTTGGAGTGTTGATTACTATGAATTCAAAGTCCATATCATTTTATTAAAGAGATTATCTAATATTCTGTAATTGTAACATAACAATATCTTGATTAACATCTAAGGATCCCTTTGTCTAAAGAACGTACATATATCCCATGAAATTAAAACTTTGTTCATTTTTTTTTAGATATTAATTCTCGTAAAATTTGACCATCTTAGTATCGAAGGTAAGTTCAAAAGGTTTTAAACATCTATGGTTTAAGACATCAACTGAAACCCCATTTTCCACTAAAATCTTCATGCATTCATAATTGTTGATTTCAATTGCTAAATGTAAGGCATTCGAAGGATTCAAATCAGTCATCATATTGAAGGCATTATTCTAATAATCAATAACTCAATAATACTTTATTAAATATAACTTTGCTCTGCTGAGTTTTAGTCAATTCCTCTTCGGTAATATAAGGTTGTTTCTCCTTCAGTTCTTCTAGCTCTTTGTATTTATATTCATTCTCTAATATAAATCTTAGAATATTGTATTTCCCTTTGTTTGCTGCAATATGTAGACAATTAAATCCTTAATATTAAATTAGAAATGGATTACATCCCTTTTTTAAAAAGTATGTAAAAAATTCTATAGACTCTATTCTTGTTGACCAAAATTATAATCTGCACTCAAACAATTACCTCTTATTTTAACTCTTTGTATAATGAAAGATGTAGTAAGGTTCATTATTAAAAGTTGTACTTTTTCTTTTGAATAATTTCTATCCTGGTTTCTTTAATGAGGGTTTCATCGATCTAAATTATTGAGCATCCTTCATCGACAATCTAAAATCCTCTTAGGATATTTGCATTTCTTGAGAAAGTTGCCTTCCAAACTAAGAAGGTGCACATGATTATTGGCATTATGATGGTTAATATCGAGATAATTCGGAGCGTGAATAAATATTATTTGATTTAAAGATACGAGGAATTTCTTCATCTGATTAAACCAGATTTTTTTATTGATTTCTTTCACTTTCCAAATCACTTTTAGAATTGAGTATTTTATTTGATTAATCAAAATAATTTTTATGAGGATCAATAAATATTGTATTGGTTGGTTACATTATTTTAACAGTAGGAATTTTTTCTGCTTCTGGTTCATTAAGTTCTTATTAGGAATCATCAAATGGAATTTCATTGGGTATATTTTTATTTGGTAACTTTGTCATTCTCTCTTTGATTTACTTAAATTATTAACTTAGTCTAGAAGTTAAGGAATCTCTTTTTTGAGACATAGTACATGTTTATCGAACCTTTGACATTAAGGTCATCGTAGTCAAACCTGCATGTAAATAATTTTAGGTTCTTTCTTCAGATTCACTGTCAATTTCATTAGCAGGTTCTTTCAATTGCAATCTATCTCTACTATCATTGCCTTGCGACTTTAATGACTGAGATCTAAGAGTCATAGTCATTTAAGTATTGAGGTTTCGGAGATTTTTAAATTGGTGATTGTAGACTGTTTATGCATATTCCACAACTGTTGCAATAAAAATGCCTTTGTAGTTCCTCCTAAAATACATGAAATTTATAAAAATACTAATATTCCTAAGGTCTGTTTTCCAAGAATAAATAATCGACAGGATACATGCCAAATTAGTCGAATTGGTATTGTAAATCGGGGTAATTTGACAAGAGGAATTTAATTAACTCCGTGTTTCCATAATAATATGCCCAATGAAGTGGAGTAGCTCTTTAATATGGATTATCAAGTCGGACTACAGCCTTATTCTCGATTAACAGTTTGATTAGGCTAAATTAAATCAAGGAGTCTTGTTCTTTCATGAAGCTGCAAGTAATTAGAATATTGAATTTACCCTTTAATGCTCGCTAATTCTAAAGGAGTGTAATGATGCATATCGGTCTTATTAAGATCTATGTATTAAGAGTAGGATTGTAGCCAATTTTCCACTAATTCCAATTATCCGAAATAGGCAGCCCAATGGACTACATTGCGTTTCTAGTTATCAATCATCTTGAAAAAGTGTTAAAGTCCTTGTTAATTGCCAGCTAGATTTTCACGAAAGTAAACTGCCAAAGTTTATGCGTTACCATCTTTGACCCATTCTAGTAATTGAGTTTGGGTTATCTTATACATTAATAATGAGAAAAAATAATAATTGATTAATTCATTTCTGAAATATCTAATACATATTAAGATACAACATAAGTATTATCGAATCTTAACGTATGGATCTGAGCCATACATTTATGTAAGTTCGGAATCCTAATGACATTATAACAGATAATTAATTAATGAAAACATTGCATTTTCAAGATTAAACATTCATCCAACCTTATTATACTCCTAGAGGAGACTCATATAGATATGATTATCATAAATAATAAACGATGTAGCTTTTGAATAAGGTTAAGAGACATCTTCAAATATGTGACTCAACTAGATATCGATGTGAGAGGAGATCACCGGTTGATGTCAAATATTTAGATAATCAACTGCGAGATGAGGTTAAAGACGACTATGTAGAATAAAATGCAGACCAAGAATTCAAGATCTTAAATGGAACATGTTTAAAAGAAATGTTAGCATATAACAACATTCAAGATGTGCGTAAATCTGATGAAGAATATGAGTTTGCTTAAACAATGATGCCAAAGTAGAGAAGATTAAAGAAATTATAATCAACTATATTAGTTACTAAACTAGTAAGGGCCAAAGGTATAGATAAGAAGTCAATCCAGTAAATAGATAAAGAAAAATTGGAAGAATTCATGTAAAACCACAAGGATTAAATAAAAGCAGACAAAAAATCTAAATTACATAAACTGAAACTTCCCAATATTCCAGAGGCATCTTCCAGAAGATTTTAGAGAGCAACTATAACTACCTTTAGAGAGTTTAAATAAAATTCATCTGAAGTCGATGGTTCGCCTTTAGTTTAAAGATAAACTTCATTGACATTAATATCAGATACCAAAATTCCAATAGTAAGGTAGGGACAGTCAAAAAAAACAATTGGTTTATTAATTGATAGAATAAATGAAGAAAAAACAGCAATAATTGAATAAAAAAAGGACATAAAAACTTCAATAGCAAAAGTATAGAAACATTTTGATAAAATAGATATATTTGGTAAATTGGATCGACAAGAAAAATTTAATTATTTAAAATTTGAGCAAAGAATTTTTGGCAAAGGTAAACATAAGAGATACTTTTGAAATAATTAATTTTTTTTGTTAAAAGCTTTTTTAAAATTCAATTCATGATTGTTAAAATATATATTTTATGAATTAGTTATAAATAGAGTTATTAATAAAAGTATCCTTAAATGTGGTTTATGAAAATTCTATTTTTCAAAATAAGGAGATAACTTATATGCTAAATTTACTGCTCTGCTATTTATAATCTTGCTAACATGATTTCTAAAGGATATTATATTGGAATGCTGATAATATTTAGATATAATACTACTTTATGCTTATTTTGAAACAAATAATAATTCAACCATTTTGGAAATATAAATTGCATAATAAGAATATGATTTTATGTTTCTTTTGTGTCATTTATTTGGTAAAAATATTATGTACAATATTAGATTTGAATGAAGTTCAATTTATAGTTAATGCCTTCAATTTTTACTGGTCTATTGATATTTGAAGCTGATTTAAAAAACTAATTTAGATTTAGAAATATTACTAGTAATATTCTATGTTGCTTGTTTTATATGAAGATTAAAGTATTTCCAATTTATTATTCTGATAGATTGTAAAGTTTAAATTTAACTAGTATCTGTATATTTATAATAATTTAAAAATTATAAAAGATCAAACCTATTTATGGTTGTTTTTAATGTATATTCAAATGGACTGAAACTGAACATACATTTGTGTCACCTTAAATTACTTGATTAATTGAGTAGTACAGCTTATTTGGTATAATTAGAGAAGATAGATTTTTTTCAAAATAAAGTTTACCAAAAGGATGAGAAGTAAATTTAGAGCATGCTTAATCTGATCCCATGATGATTGACTACTAGTGTTATGAAGTATAGATTGCAACTAATCTCTTTTAGGCAGTAAATCCATAAAAATATCTATTAATAATTTTCAATTTCTATGTGATTGGATTTACTCCATCACATCTTTTGCATGCCTTAGACTCTAAATCAATCAGACAGTTACATATAATGTACCAAGTACATAGATGCATGATGTAATTAAATAGAGGAATTATGTGGACTGTAATTAAAAAAAAATAAAATAAAAATGTATGAAATCACATTAATTAATGTATTTACTCTCTTATTAATTTTGACTCAATATTCATCTAATTCTACTAAATTTGGATGTTCTTTTTTATTGATTCTATTAAACATACATCTATGTTTAAAGATTTATTTTTGATATTGAATATTAAGACTTTGTGATAAGTAAGCAACAGTAACAACAAAACTTAGGATTATTTGCTGGAGTGTTCTCCTGAATTAGAATTTAAATAGGAAATCAGATTATTTACGAGTTATTTGAGATCCCTTAAATCTTAGTTTGTATATATTTGTTTATTTTGAGTATAATTGATTAAATCTTTATGTAAAATAACCATAGTATTTATCTCAACTTTGCAATTCACATGATTAGGAATAAGTTCCAATTAATTACTCAAAGCCTTTATTAGTTATTGAATTGAAGATTTGCCTTAAAATGGAGAGTGCTGTTGTTGATAGCCAAAGTTTCCACTTAAACTATTAGTTCTTTTAACTCTTTCAGTCTTTGGATTTCTAAACATGGTAAAATAATCAGAACCTTTGTTGTCATCTAATTAGAATTCTGAGACTTTCACTAAATCTAAGTCATAGTTTTATTTATTCGAAGTATTTGTAGAATGTGATTACAAAGCACTTGGAGTTCTGCATGAGTCATTATTACTATTAAGTTTTTGTTGAACGTTATGGATTTTTTCCAAATAATTGTTTAGCTCTGATCTTTAAGTGGGAAATTTGGAGTTTTAAGAATTGCTTCTTTCTCTCTCTACTTTCCCTTGAGTTTGCTTTAGTTTTTCTTTAAGATCCAAATAACTAGTAATCTATTTTTATTTTTCATTGATTGGTGTTTTATTTTCATATCGTTTTGCTCCATCATTAGTAAGAAAAGCGGTATTACTAAGACTTCTATTATGTTTGTTGATTTATTAACATAATGATTCAGTTCTTTATTTAATTCTAAGCATCTGTATGGAGTATTTCGATTAATTGTAATTTTGATTTTCTCTTTGAGTTGAAATTTAAGTATCCTCTTTCACTGTTGAAGTGGGAGACTCCTATTGATTGTCAATTGTTTTTAGATTGATGTTAACAGAATTGAATAGATCTTCCCAACTCCATCTTTTCTCCTCATTGATCTGGAGACAGCCTTTGATGAGTTTCTTTGTATTTTCTGAAACTTATGGGTGCACTGGAAAAGACAAGGGCTAATTGATTAAAATTAATAAAATTACTTTTGAATCCAATTTATTCATTAATTCGACTAGGTTTTGAGAATGCCAAGGAGTCATGCCATAAAGCATCTCATATAGGATTAGTCCTAGTGACCAAACATCACACTTGGAAGAGTATTTAGTTCGTTTTAAGATTTAAGGACTCATGTACAATGGAGTGCCAACCAAGGAATTCATGATGGTATCGAGATTGGCATCAATTTATTTGGCAAAGCCGAAATCAGTGATTTTGAATTGGTTGTCGTGAATGAGAATGTTGGCTGGTTTGATGTCTCTATGGATGATTCCAATTTTAAGTAGAGCTTTGATTCCTAATAACAAATCATTCATGATCTTGAGAGCTTCATCTTCTGGAATAACTCTAAATGTATGAATACAGTACTTTCGATTCTTGATAAATTCCCTTAGGTCTCCTCCATTGCAATACTCAGTTATGATGTATGTATTATTGGCACTTTGTAGTACATCGAGGAGTTTAACAACATGCGAATCATTAATCTTCTTCATAATTTCAATTTCTGAGGCAATTAATTGATTGGCGTAATCGGTAAGTAGTAACTTTTTGTCAATCACTTTGAGTGCAACAATTTTGTCTATGGATTAGAAATGCAAGTATACTATCAAAGGTGTTTCTTCCTGCATAAACAGTGCCATAAGCACCTTTGCCCAATTTGGCTCTGAAACTGAACTGATAATTCTAAATTTTTTTATCGGGAGGGTAGCTGAGGTGTTACATTTTATATTTTGAATTTGAAATATTTATTTAATGTTTAGAATTATGTTATAATTTAAAATTTATGGTGAAAATAGTTTGATTGAATTAACTCATAGTAAATGACAAGAGTTAATTAATCATTTTCGTCAATTGTCTTGAAATACTTTCGCGAGATTACCAATATTAATGAGATACATAACATTTTTTTATTGATTTAATTATATATATAATGGTAAAGTATTTCGATAATATTTGGGAAAACATCCTTGTAGTTGCTTTGGGGGTTGCTCCTCTTCTATAGAATTTGGTTGGTTTGGCCTGGAAGAGGTAGAATAAAAGTAAGAACTCATGCATTTAAGGATAGACTACTAAGCTGCCAAGTTAAAATTTAAGGAAAAGAGAAGTATTTTCATTCTGAATTTATGTTCAATTTACACAAAAATAGCAATCTTGAGTATGTTTACACTTTTGTCAATATTGCAAATAGTCATCAACACTTAATTTCATTCAGAGTATGTAGTGTGTTGTTAACTAGTTACGTTTTGATTATAATTATAGAATTTTGTTAGATAATTAATTACTTGTTGGCAGGATTGCAAGTATTTGAAGATGCAGATATATACGGATAAACAACATTTGTTACTCAATTAAATCTCATAGTATTTTATGGAATATCTATATAGTTGCAATTTTTGTGTTTTTGTGGTTTTGCAATAATCCTCTTTACTTGGCAGATAAATAACAAAGATAGATTTGTGATCATGCATGAAGACACTAGTTGTTGGCTAATGTTCATCCTCAGAGGAATAGTCCTCATGCTCTTTTCAGTCTTCGTCTTCTTTATGCCATAGGATAAAAAGTTGCTCCAAACTATAGTCTCTGAGTACAAATACAAAAAATAACTGCTTGGTAATGATGAAGAGACATAGATAAGGTAATAGCTATTGACAAATGAATCCACATTTACATTTTGTTAGCCAGACATCGAAAAGCAATCACAAGTAACCGATATTGAAGTGAAATCCTTCCAAGACAATAAAGATCTTAATAGTTAACGAAAATACATCATTTATGAGATTACCTTCAAATATCAGAACAAACACAAAATAGTATTTCGATCTTTCAGTGACTTCCTAACATTCCACAGAGATTTAGCCTTGACATATCCATAGATCCAATTACCCCATTTCCCTTAAATGACAAAATACCTAACTCCATAGGATATTGAAAATCGAAGAGAACAACTAGGCGTATTTCTCTAAAGAATATCGAGTCAATTCAATGGTAACGACATACTCCTAGACTTTTTGAATGCTACTGGAAAGTGTTTCCAATATAAACCAAAAATACCTTTGCCACAACAATAATAGCAGAGACCCAAGAAGATTGCAACACAATAACAATATACCAAAGCAAAATCAATCCAAAGTTTGATCCCAGAAACCATTTGGGAAGGACAGAATGATGAGGATGAGGAGAGCATTGAGGTTGATACAAGAAAAACAAAAAAGGCTTCGACTTATGTAAAGATGCATTTTGGAGAGGAAGAACCTCAATATTAGAGATTTAATAGTGCTAACGATCTAGATGAGGATCAAAGAACTTTTGACTTTGAGAAACCTTCGGATGGTATTATTTGATATTTGAGTTATTTATAGATTAGATTGGGTATGATCAATTTTAGGATGATGATCATGATCACTCTTTTGAGGAGGAAGAAAAGCATTCGTCACAAAATATGATGATAATGTAATGAGAATTATTTTGATTTATATACTATTTTATATAAATATATTTGAAATAAATAAAGATATGAGAGGCAAACCCTAAGCTCAAGTAGCGTAAAAGCAATAACCTTAGAAGTAAGGGAATGCACGTAAACCTCAAGAGAGGTATGGATGATAATTTAGTGTTACTAGACCAGGATTGACTGATGATGAAATTGATGAAATCAGAGAAGCATTCAATCTTTTTGATACTGAGGGTACTGGGAGAGTGGATCCACGTGAATTGAAGGCAGCTATGTAGAGTTTAGGATTCGATTAAAAGAATCCAACTATTTTTAATATGATTGCCGAACTTGAAAATGAGGGGTATTTAGTGCAAGATTAGAGATAGAACTGATGTTGACTTTGATTAATTTTTAGATGCAATTACGTCTAAGTTGGGTAATAGGGAGAGCAAAGATGGAATCAATAAAATATTTGATTTATTCGATGATGATGGCAGCAATAGTATCAACTTGAATAATTTGAAAAGAGTATAAAATCGAGAATTGATAAGTTAGGTATCCAAAGAATTGGGTGAGACCATGACTGCTGAAGAATTGGCTGAGATGTTGGAACGTGCAGCTTCGAATGGCAGAGAAATTACAAGAGAGGACTTCTACAACATCATGGTTAAGAGGGCATTTTGATAACCTTCTAGACAATGCAATATATATATAATTAATAATAAAATGATTAAATTAGAAGCTCACACATTTCATAACAAAAATGTATCTCAACCTATGTTGATATAAGATAAATCTCCTATTGATATAGTAAGGCAAAAGAAAATTATTTTCAGGAGAGAATAGATCAATGATGATTCCAACTTCTTTATTCAAGTATATTAAACAATCTAATCCAACAGACTGAAGATTCATAAGAAATCATCTCTATCAAACCAGACAATCCAGATTTCGTTATGAATCATTTCACCAAGATAGCCCTTTCTGATGACATCTCAGATTTCTAGGCTTTGGAATTCCATGACAGAGCTGCAAAATTATTAGAATTTTATACTTTAAATTAGTATTTCCTTATTATCACATAGAATATAAGTTTAATACACATCTGTTCTATTCTCCAAAATTAATTACGCTATTATGCTTAAGAGATACGCAGCTTATGAAGAATCCTTAGGTTTACTCTTAGAATGTGAACAGATTCTCAAAATTAAGGGCAAAACCTTAAAAAAAGGAACCTTTGATGCTATACAAATGGCTAAGATCATACAAAATAAACTACTTAGATTAAGAGTAATGTTTTAAATTACATTGTTATTTTCTGAAACCAAAAGGTATTCAATAAAATTTTTAGACAAGAAACAAGTAGGCTTTAGACATAGCAAAAGATGCAGTTAAAGTACTAAGGAGTATTCTTTAGTCTACAATCAAATTATGTTAACAAATAACTCTATTTAACAATGTGAATAAAAAATAAAGAGCAAATTCAGAAATCAATTCTCCCAACTTCAAGAATTCTATATCACTGCAGTGTTAGCCTTAATAATAATCATAGCCTTAGAATTTGAGCTATCCATAAATAGTGGAAATTGTATTTAAGGAGATTTTGAATTCAATAAGGAGTGTAATACCTTATGATGATAAGTCGAATGAAGGGGGTAGTTAAAATAACCTGCTAGTGCGAAATCATCAGAATAGGAGTCAATCTCTATTTACAACTGAACAGATATTTCAGACTCAAGCGAATAATTAATAAAATAAATTATTCAGTGTTATTGATGATCAGCATCCTTTGTTATAAATGTAAATTTTGGGATTGATGCAATTAACATATGTAGATTTGGAAGAATTATTCCCCATCAATAGTTATGAAATGGTTATAGCGGAAGAAGTAATCTTAGAGTTGGTACTTGATTCTAGAATATATTATAGATTATGTTAACTGGCTTAAGTTTTTATAGTATATCAACTGAATTAAGATTCCTGAATCTTCAACAAAATAAAATGAACATTGAAATCTGGTTGGGAAAGGCCTTGGAGATATTTTATACATTTGTTCCTCATTCAAGTTCAATCTTCACTCAGATCTATTAGGTCTATCGAAAACTCTATGGTGTGGATAAGCAATCAATTGTATTTTATTAAACTCATTCACTTAGCCTGAAGATGAAGAAGTTGAGTATCACACCAAGTTGTTGAAGCCTCATGCCTTTAACAATAGGGCTACACTATCGAATCAGCTTGTAATCGTCGTCAAAGTCCCTATTTTACATAAGTCAACATAAGACCCACATAAGATGCCACAACAGACAAATGCAACAATTACGAAACTGTAACAAACTCTGACAGCCAAAAAGCAAATACTCTATCCACAAAAGCATTCTGTCACTCAATAGGAAGCTGAAAAGAAGTTTGAAACATAATAAGAGGAACTAGTGATCTCTCCCAAATAACAATAACAACTTTTTATTAAGAAGTATAAAATTCTATAACCTTAATTGGATATAAAACAAAGAGTAGATATACTAATGAATTAAATTTTAACTTAGTAGTCTAAACTCACTTAAGAAAAGTTAAAATAGAAACACACTCCTATAACTACTCTAAAGTAGAAGTATCACGTCAGCACAAAGATTTATGATGAACCAAAATAAGTGACTCTCACGAATTCATAATAATTAAAAACTGCAATTCCAGTTAGTAGATCATTGTCTAATTCTCGTAAAGCTAGTTAAGTTCATCTCAAAGGTTAAAATAACAACAGTGCAAAGACTGCCTAATTAAGATATCGAAATTAGATAAATACTCTGCCTGGTGATGAACCTTCAAAATAAATTGCTTAATAGATTTCTACTCAAGTTGCTAGTTTAAATCGACAATCCAATGTATTTTGTCTCTTTATTTAGAAATACTTCCTACTGAAACGGACTGATTCTGCCAAGAAATCAAAAATTCCATTTCAATAACGTTGAATTACTTATAAATATATTTAAAATATGTCTACAGAAGCAGAAATAAAATATTATCTTATGAAGACAAACTTTTATTCTATGTTGGGAGTTCCAGAGAATGTTAAAGTTTAAGAACTGAAAAAAGCCTTTTATAGATTCGCTTTGCTTTTTCGCCATCGTTGTATGTTTTTAATCAATGAGTTAGATCTTACGATAGAAGTGCTTTGCTAGGAATGAATACATAATGAAGGACGAAAGTTTTAAGAAGTATTATGAGGCTGAGATTGATAGAAAGTATATAAACATATTGGATCATTAAGGTATGGAGTCGAAAATGAAAAGTAGAGGTTGCTGTTTGAAGATTAGAATTCCTAGTTAGTTAATACTCAAGAAAACTTTTCAGAGATTTTTAAAATATGATTAGTTTGTGTACATTTATTTATTGATAACAAATAATTGAATGTTTATGAAGCAATTACTAATTATATAAAAAATACTAAAATCAATTGGAGTTATGAGGGGTTTGAAATTATAATATTTATCGATCAGGTGATTCAATCTCTTATTAATCAAATTCACAATAACCAAAAAACATTTATTATTTTCCTAAAGGCGAACCCTAATCAAAACAAGGAGAATTAAAGAAATTAGGTGATTGATATTCATGAAAATAGTTTCTTTAAACAGGAGAAATCAAATCCTCTTATATAAAATTCTAGTATTTTATATCCTATTATTCTATTGCTTCTTAATTCGCTTGTTCTGCTCCGGTTAATGGTTCAAATTTTAAATTAATATCTTACTCCTCCTTCTAACTTTTTTGAGTATTTTACTCCTTCTTCTCTTCTTGTTTAATTGAATCCTCATCTAAAAATATATCATTTTCTATTTCAATTGCATTCGGATTGATTTTGTGATTTTAATTACATTATTCATCAAAATTGTCCTTCTCATCAATTATAATGCAATATTGATTTTGATCATATTACTATGGTATTTTTCTATTCACTATTGTATTTAAATGATTCAATTCAAGTTTATTGAATTCTTAGACAAGTTATTGGTCTAGTTATTTATTCTGCCTAGCTTTTAATAATTTATTTCTAAATTATACTAAACTCTCTAGACTTTAATACATATCATTAATGTATGTCCTAATAAATCTTATTTTTTTGATTTCTTATCTATTAAAGGAACTAACCAAAGGTTAAATACTTTTTGATTAGAATACAGTAATACTTGTAAGGCAGTTATTGATTGTGTATTAATCTGGAAATTTGCGATTTACTAATTTCGATAACTTTTCTAAAGAAAATGGAGCAATTTCAAAATTCTTGTTATATGGCAAAGTGGCTTATTTCTTATAACGATTACACAAAACATTTTCAAATTCGTGTTAATCCACAGATAGATTTAAAGATTAAAATTATAAAAATGCTTGTTTTTTCACCAAATCAATGGCATTACATTCGATTTGTCCAATTGTTAATGATTCCCAAATGCTGCAAATCACCTACTCAATTAATGTTTATTTATTTGTTTAGATACTATTATAACTAGATAGAATTTATTTTAGACGATTTTAATCTAATATAGGACATGGAAATCCTATCAATTATAAACTTAATTGCTGTTTTTCATAAATTTCAATTTTCCTGGTTATATCATCAATATATTAACACGGGATAGCTAATTATTTGTGAATGTCAGTATCAATACCAAATTTATCTTACAGAAAAAGCTGATCCTCGCATTTTGATTCAGGATTTTAACTGTTTTCCTAACTAAGATTAGATTCTGAATCAATGTAATTCAAGAAAGTCGATGGGAAATAGCATTTTTCTGTTTGCTTTTGTTTCTTCTTTTGCTTTTTCGATCTGTAATCTAAGCTGCCTTGATTTATAGTTGTGAAGGTCTTAGCTGAAGTCTTGGTTTCTAAGTAAGATATTGAATTCTTCTCTGTCTGATTATCGACATCATTGTGATATCTTATTCTCTCCTCTTACTTTGAACTATATTTATCGCTTAACAATAGATCTATATTTATTATTTTGTCTAGTTCTCCAGATAATTAATTAAAACTATCAATCACTTCAGTTACATTAAAGTAATCCCTTGACTCAATTACAATAAGTAGATTTCGAAATTCTTCTAATTTATCTATTATTGATTAGATGTATTTTCTTATCCTCCTCACATTTTTTAAATCAGTGATGTTACATAATTATTTAAAATCCTCCGTGGATTTTGCATCAAACACTTAACAAAAACAGGGGTGACGGAGACTTCTCAAAAACATAGGCATAGGACTTTCTAACAAAGCAAAGAAATTTGCATACTCAAACTAAGTATAAGGTATTTTACTATAATAGGGATTACAATATCGGGATTCAAAAAGTGATTCGATTTCCTACTCCCATTCCTTGTTACTCCATTCTATTTTAATCCCTTTTATTGTCAGGAATTATTCTACCCTTCCTCTTATGGTTTATAACCTAGTCTCTTGATCTTCCATGCTGGTAACTTCTCCTATGAAGCTTATCAAGACTCTAATCATTCGTTTCTATTCAATTTCGTTTTACTCCATTATGCCATTGAGATAGGCAAATATTTGAGTACTATCTACTTGTATGGTTGGAAAACCAAACAAACAAACTAGCTGTCGTTTTAATAAGTTCATATTGCACTTGTCCTTGATTCTTTCCAATTGTTGTTTCTCAGATTCTGGATACTCCACATCAAATTCTTAGGAATACCAATTATGTTAACACTCTAAATCGAACATATCATCCTATTCAGACATCAATTTATTTATAAATTATATTAATTATTCTAACATCACTATTTAAGAGACACTGTTACAAGCAACCTGATATCACTTCCTCCTCATACCAGTTTTCCTTACTTTCTGTATTTAAAATTCATTTGGTCTCTGAACGATAATGGGAATAGTCGAATTCGATATTAATTAAAATTTGTGAAAATTCATGTTTTGTGTAAATATTGAATTCTTTCATCAATATATTCTTAATTTTATATAGTTTTACACTAGTCCCATTGATATCAATCATAAAATGATGCTCCTAATCATAATATGCTTGTTCTTCATAATGAGAATTTATTAGCCTCATTTATATTACAAATAGTGATATGATGAAAATAATAGTCTATATTTTAAATTATACTTATATCTCATTTTTTTTAATCCTAAACCTTCGTCTGTTTACCCAGCTTGCTTTAGAAAAAGTTCTCCAAAATATCAAAGTATTAGGTTTATGGTTTGTTCTCAGATGATTAATTCATTAACTTCTCATCCTTTTCTTTGCTTTCAACTCCATTTTAAGAGTTATCATCATTTTGAGATAGTTACTTGGCAGGTTTAAAATATTCTAATAGAGTCTTTGATTTAAGAACTTTGATTTGAATAGTTTTCTTTTGTTGTAATTGATCCTACATATTTACTTATCCATCCTAAGACTAATCGTTCTAATCGTTTTATTTTATGGATGATTTATCTAAAATAAGATCTTAACTAATTTCATCTTTTTATGTGTGCTTTTCTGTTGGTTAATTTGTGACATATTACAAAATTACTGGTTTGAGTTATAGTACCTTCATCTTATTCAAATAATATTCTACTGATAGATCCTATAATTAGTTAGCTGTTAGATGTAATTCATCTCTGGTTTATCTTTATACTTGCAACTGTTAAATCTTATTTAATGCATTCATAATGCGACTTAAATATTCTCTTATCAATCTGACATTATGTAATTCATTTTCGTCCACTAGCTCTCTGATATCAATACTCTCTTTGGTTTATAATGGAAAGTTCTGGCAAAATCGACATTGCATTTACATCTTACTCCATTTATTTATTTAAGTGAACAAATTCAAAGTTTCTAATATAATTTAGTATTTTTCTTTTCCTTCTAAATCTCTCCTCATATTCACATTTGGCATATAAAAGTATGGAATTTCAAACAAAGTGCTTTGAATTATTTTATCCCATCTCTCCTGTGTCCAATCAAGTTTGATTCCACAATCTTCTAAATATTCCGTAATCTATTTTTAGATCATGACTTTTTTTGATTCTACATTTAATGTAACTTCATTATCACTCTCAACATATGCTTCACCTATGGCTCCAATTAGCTTTGATATCACGCTTTCGTCATTCAATTTAATTTCATTTTGATATTACTTGATAAACTATTTTATTCTATCATAATGTAAATTTATTGTTGGAATTCCTATCTCTGTAAGTACTGTAAATTTAGCATTATAAAATTTTAGTTTTTGATTAATTTAGTCCTCCATCTATGTATCAATCCTTTCTTACTCCTTATCCTTGCTACTTTACCTTTTTTATTTAGTAGTTTGTTTATTTCTTTTTGATTTTTCATTAACTTTTGTATCTTGAGACTATTTTTATTTATCCTTCGTTTGAGATTCTTGAGGTTATTCAATTTTAGGTTGGATACTAATGTTTTTCTACTAATTTCTATTTCTCTATAGAGATTTCGTCTTAATTATTTTCACAGATTAAGTTGAATTATTACCAGCCATTTTTCTATCAATATTTAACAATCAATTACCTTTTCATATCATTTTAACCTTGCTATTTATTTGATCTTAGCCTCATTCGCTTTATTTTCCTAGAGTTTCTTGATCCTAGAGTATTATTAGATTTTTGACCTCCATTTGATTTCATTTTTGATTATAAAATTAATTAAATCCAATTTTACGTATGATATCATAATTAATTGTTTAATTAAATAGTAAAATAAGAAAAATGTCAGTATATACTAAATGATAGAAACTTAAAGAATTTGGATTTTTTGAAATATTCTTGAATCCAATAAGATATAATCAATATAAATTTTTTACCTGGAATAGAGATTTAAATGTAAATGATTATCTGTAATGTATTAATTTAGTAACTCTGAAGAAATAGGGAGTAATGATACTTAAAATTCTTATTATCTTGATTCCAATTGGAGGGTTCCAGATGTAAAAATATAAAGGAGATTGTATATTGGTTTTGAACATTATTTAGTACAATAATTATAATTATCAATATTATAAACAGTCAATGTTCAGGAAGCAGGATTTCAAAAAATTGGAATTGTTAGGCTCAGGTAAGAAGCATACCAAGATCTATCGAGTGTAGCACATCCAAACAAATAAAGTATATGCTTTAAAGGAGATTGAAAGCAACTAATTTGGAGAAACTGAATGAATACAAAGAGGAAGCAGTTTAACTTAGTAAGGTATAGAACTGTGGAAATGTGATTCGATTTTATGGATACTACTTTGCTGAAACTCTTTATAATACATTTCGGTTAGGAATCATAACGGAGTATTTATGCATATATTAATTTAGGTACATGGATCATAACATGAATTTGGAAAATCTATATAGGAAAAGAAAGAAACCTAATTAGTTCTGGAAGGAAAATGAGTTAGTAACTATGTTGTTTAGCATAATATCGACATGCTCTTATTTGCAATAAAAAGGGATTTGCCATAGAGACATAAAACCAGCTAACTTATTTATGATTCCTAATGGAGAATTGAAATTAATTGATTTTGGAGAAAGCAAGGATTACTTCTTTGACTTAGATAACGAGGCCAAAAATACTTATACGATGGCAACTATTAGAGGCACACCTTAATATTTATCACCTATTTTATGGAAGGCTCATGTCATAGATGGAAATAGTAGATATGTAGAACATAACATTTATAAATCAGATGTGTTTTCAACTGGATTGGTTATTCATTAGATGAGTGCAATGCAAGAAGTAACTGGGTTCAATAATACTTAATCAAATGAGGGGGAACAACTGATACTATAGAGTTTGGCTTAGTTAGAATAAAAGTATAGTCCTGCCTATGTGTCGATAATAAAATTGATGCTAATTTTCGAAGAGGCTCAAAGACCCTCATACGTTGAGATTGAACAATTGTTCTTAGAACATGAAGAGAAATACCAATCAGGAAAGATCTAAGAGAATGTAGCTATTAATGAATACATTTTGTTGTACAATTAGCATTACAATACCATGTTGAAACGAGGACCTCCTTATAGAACATCACAGGAGGCTGAAGTGTAATTTAAGAACGTGATCACATAACATATGAAAAATGCTGGTTCATCACCGATGATTGAACAATCTCAAAAGTCAAAGTAACCATTAAGGGAATAGCCATCATCCTAAAAATAGCAACAGATTACTTAATAATAATAATCATAACCAGTTTAAGTTATTAAGCAACCAGTTGTATCGCAATCTGCTTTTTATAGGGATTCAACCTTGATACTGAATGATTCTTGCTTATGGTTTGAGTTTGGTGGTAAGACTATAAGTAAATTTTCAACGTCCAAATAAAAATGGCGTTAGATAGCCAAATTAGATGTGGAATTGGATAGATAGTTTACAACTCTTTTTGTTCCTGATAAAAAAGCATTTTATTTAATAGGAGGATTCCAAGAGACTAACTTTAGAGTGTATCAAAATGATAAGTTGGAGTTGATGAAACACTAAATTCCCATGAATAGATTCTTCTGTTCTTGTCTTTATTATAATCATAAAATCTATTGCATAGGAGGGTATGATGAACAACATAAAATTCAACTATCATCGGTGTTGTACTACGATCTTATTTCAGAGAAATGGGTTCAATTAGCTGATTTGAAATAACCAAAGAGTTAGGCTGCCCCTTGTAGAATCAATGACAATGAAATAGTGCTGTTTGGAGGGTACAACAAAGAGGAAGGGACACTGGACACAATTGAACGATACTTAATAAATGAGAATAGGTGGGAGAAATGTAATTTGAAATTACCATTGCCTTTAAGAAGATTTATGGCAGTCAGAATCAAAAAGAATTTGGCCTTATTGATAGGAGGTCTAACGATGTATGCTAAGGAGAGTTAAAAGGTATTGAAGGTGGATTGGGAGAAGAAGGAAATCATCGAATGTGAACCTTTGGAAAAAGGTATTGGATGTGTATAAATAATGTTTAGGTGGAATTGTTGAAAGTGAGGTGCTTCTTGATACTGAAGGCAATTTACATATATTTCTTGAAAATGCAAATGGTACTTCGCCATATGCTCACATCAAATACTATTTTGACCCGAATGCAACCAAATACGAGACTAAAGCTGATTGAAAAATATTTAGTTAAAGAATTTTACACTATCATTAATCTTACAAACTTTTCTTCAAGTATTGATTTAAGATGCTTTGAGCAAATTCTTAATGATCACGATCATAGTTATGAGTGTTGGGTCGAATAGAGTATGAAATTATTTGCTTGCGATTAGGCTTTAAATCCTACAAATCTGTGTCACTGTTAAATCTTCTGTTGATCTTATTCTAAAATATCTGAGGTTTATTGCTATTTTAAAACTATCTCTTTCTTGTGGATTGTGCTGTTTGAGGGATCTTAATTTATGAATAATCAATAGAAATCTTTTGGCTTTCCTCTTTCTCCTTCTCTTTCTCTTTTTCCTTCTCCTTTTCTTTGAAATTAAATTTCAACAAACTCAACTTTCTTTCTAAAAATTAACAATCCTTCTCATCTTCCTTTTTGAATACCTTTTTTATAATGGCGAATCTATTTTTTTATTCACTGCCTAATTTAAAAAAGGGTTTGAAACTATTTGTTTAATAGAATGTTGAGTTATGCTCTCTTATTTAATTACAATCACTAAACCAAGTGATTTCATTTTGTCTAGTACTACTTTTACTAGATTAGATTTTGGGAGATCGAAGAGGATATATCAAGTTGTTCGTTTAGATCTTCATTGGATAACGAAAATGCTTTATTAAAATCCCTCTTCTTTTTGGAGATTTCGATGAGTCCTATTCTACAGTTCCTTCGACTGGATAATTAATTAATTGCAAAATCATAATAACAATAATTTCTACTATAAAGGGAATTCATATAAGTATATGTATTATTAAATAAAATTTGATAAAAATCTCATTATGAATTTTATTTATTCTTTGAAATAATAAAGTTATTACTAAGATGTATATTAATTTAATTAATATAATCAATACTGTTTTTTAAGAAAGTACGGATGATTAAAAGCTTAATGTACATCTAATCGATCAACCTAATTGTAAGCTAAACACCCTCGAATAAACTCTTTGCACTCATTTGATATTACAGGTTTCTATGGGAAAGTGACTGTTTATGATTTTATAATAATCTATCATTTAATTGATGTGATTACCTATTCTTTCAATATCTTCTCCTAACTCAATCCCTATCCAAACGGTTTTTATCCAAACAGCATTTCAAAGAAGATGACTCCAATGCTCCAAATATCAACTTTGCTTGAAATGCTAGGAGGCTAATCGCCCATATGAAAACATTCCGGAGGCAAGTACCAATAGGTTCCAACGCCTTGGGATGTTAATTATAATTTAGAATTGTCATCCTCTAAGACTTTGCACAACCCGAAATCTGAGATTTTCAAATCGTTTTAATGAAACAAGATATTCTATGGTTTCAGGTCATAATGTATTATCTTGTTCTTGTGATTATTTAGGTATTTAATGGCTGAAATGATCTGAAATATCAATAACTTGGCTTCCTTCTCTGGAAATGATTTATATCTCTTAATATAGTAAGATAAGTCTGGTCCATCACACAATTCCAAAACAGTGCAAAATGAAGTCTTATCTATTTCAACAGAATCATAGAGTTTAACGATATTTTAATGATTAAGCTCTTTATGCACACCATTCTCTCTAATTGCATGTCGAATATAATTCTATTTAGCATGGTCAGACCAATTAGAATTCAATTAATGTATTTTACATGCAACTTCTTTAAAGTCTTATAAATCGAATGCCTAATAAATTAACACTAGTTACTTTATAAACTTCGCTGAATCCGCCTTTACCTAATAATGACAATATTTAATATCTTGATCCAATTAATGGATAATCATTATTCTTGGTAAATCTGGCATGTTCCTCTTCATACAATCGTTTCATCTACTTGATGTGTAAGACCTTCTCAGTCTCCAACCTATCGATCTTTTCTTGTATCAATTGTTCTTCCTTTGCTATAAAATTCAATTTGACATTGATTGCCCTTATTTCAGCCTCGTCTTTATTCTTTGGATTTTTCTTTTTATTTTCTAAGTCCTACTTAGTATTTTCAAGGTTTTTGGCTTGTTCCCTTGCATCTTTGATCTCTTAGCCTTCAATCCAAACATCAATAACGTTTATCTTCTCTCTTTAAAGATTGAACTCTCCCAATCTAAAGCGATTATTTTTAATTTGTATTTGTAATTATTGTTTTTTTAGTTTTTCATTATCGATGGCTAATAATTTCAGTACTTCTTGCATTTTAGAATGTTGATCTGTGAGAGTCTTCATTTAAGTCTACAATAAATACAGAAATTGTCTCCTTTAATTCACAATTCAATGTCTCCAGCTCTTTGATTCGTATCTCTTAGATGACAATTTTGTTCTGCTTTTCTTTGAGTTGCTATTCAATGGCATGGTCATTTGGTATAGTAGTCTTGTTCTTGAATGGAGAATCTTGTATTGTGTACTCAATGAGTTTCTGTTCGCCTTTTGTGACTTTTAATTATTTCTTTTATGCTTGCAAATATTGAGTAATCTAATTATTTTTAATAAATTAACATCTTTTTATTGGGTTTCCTTAGTTTTTTTCTTTTTTTTCTACTAGGAATTCTTGCTCACATAATTGGTTTTCTTGTGAACTGGACTCATAACCTAAGAAATAACAATGTTGTCAGGTGAAATCTCACTCTAATTGGAACATTTCAAATCCTCTGGCTTTTTATTAGAATCGGTATTTGGTTGATTATTATCATTCTCATCATTTTATTTGTTTTTCTCGGTTTGCAGATATTATTCTTAGATGATCTCCTCCTTTGATTTCTTATGTATTCTGGCTTCTAAACATATGAGTCTATCTAGTTATTCTGGCGGTAATTATTGATGCATAATTTATAATTATTAATATAAAATGAGCACCAAAAAATATGAGACATCAAATAAAAAAGGATTGTAATAATTATAACAGTTAAAATATTCGAGATATTAAGTAATTTGATATAAAATAATAATTTTTTAATATTTAATAGATTCAAGCAGTTGCATTTCCATTTTCTAAATAATGTTTTTTCTAAATCAATACTACTTCTTCTAAATGTTCCCTACAATAAATATCAAAGTATTACTAATCAAAGAATTTGCCTGCATACATCAACACATCATCCGGTTTCTCCTCCAAAACTCTAAACAGGAAAATACTCAGCATAACTGATAATTCCGGATGCTTTCTTAAATAGATTTCATTTGCCATCCTGAATTGCACCTTCTTCTTCTCCAACTCAACTGCTTGACTTGTCACCAAGCCTGGTTAACCAGCAATATCATGTGGGTTAATGTATTTTTCTTTATCATACATATTTCGAATTTAGTAATCATAGAATTCATTAACGTGTTCCTTCTCTGATTGATTAGTGATATTGGTATCATTAAGATGATCAAATGACATTAAAATTGAATAATTAATTTAATAATCAATTTTCATAAACTTATGTTTTTTTGGACAGCTAGGTTCCATTGATCCTTTTGATTATAAGTATGACCCAACATCATTATGACTATCAAGAACACATTTATAACGACTAAGCATATGCGAACTCAAGTAGATAATTCGAATTTGAATCTAGTTTATTTTGTTGACATAATAGATCACTACTCTAGGAGATATATAATCATAAAGTTATGGGTTACATTTCTTGTTGAAGATTTTAGTTTTTCTCAATTTTTGATCGGTCTTAGATGAAATTGTTGAATTGTCTTGGTAACATAAACATCCCCAGATTATAAAATGCTTGTGGAATTATTCTAATAATGGATGCATTATTTAGTAATTTCTACTATTATTGGAGTGATCATCAATAAAAATGTTAAATTTGAAATAATCCAGTTTGTTTGCTATAGTCACTTTTACTAATCCTAAGATGTTTGAGGCAGTTCAAAGTCAGGCAACACCATAATTCATAAATACTTTTTGATATTGAGATTGAAGCATTAATTTCAACTGGTTGTTGATATCTTCTGGATAAAGAAAATACAACATATATTTGGCCATCTTGTGCGATTGTTGTTACAGTATCTTTTATTTGGAGGATTACCTTAAAAATGAAATAAACAGAGACATCATCACTAGAAACAACAATAGATGAGCCAAGGGCAGGTAAAAGAAAGATTGAAAATGCGTATTTTTTAATTTAAACTGTATTTTTTACAATATAATATAAAATAATTAAGGAAATGAAATATAATCCAAATCTATATGCACCAATTGCAATGTAAATCGTATTATATATGAATCCTACAGATTGCTTGGAATATGCTTATTATTTAATAGAAAGAAAAACGAGACTACATAAGCCTATGTAGGTTATGCATGCATCATTGGAGGATTTAGGTACAACGTTATGTATATTGTTAGTTGGTTTGCTTACTCTTCAAAAGCCCTGCTCCTCATGATGGTAAGCAGCTATTTTATATATTTAGTATCAAAAATTTATTTAAGAAGAAGTTAATATCCAGATTCAATAATAAACTAAATCAATTTAGAAAAATTAATCAAAGAAAAAACAATAGAATAAGAACGAGAATCTCGTTAAGACTCCACCATAATAATAAACAACTTAAGAGCCTGAGATGCCATAATAATCGAAGGAGAATGAAGTGCAGAAGGTAGTGGTCAAGAAAGGAAGCTAAAAGTTAGCAAATTAAGAAAAGTAGACTAAGCCAAAGGAGGAGGTAGCATAAAATAAAGTCAAAAATACAAATATTCCTTAAGCACAATCAGTAAAATATTCGAATAAATGTAGACCTAAGCAAAGAAAGAGAATAAATAATAGAAGATTAAATAACCATTATTAGTGCAATAAGATAATGATGATAATGACGATGAATGGGTTGAAGTTGGCAACAAAAAGAAATAGGTGATTAGACCATAAAAAAAGGAGGAGGAAGTACAAGTTTAATAATAAAGTAAATCATATACTCACATACTGTAGATCAACAACCTTAGAAGAATCAAGTAATTTAATAGTAACCAAGTAAGCCATCAGTCTAAACTAATAAATAAGATCCTCCTAAGGTTGAGTCTACTGAATCCAGTAAGAATTAGAGTAGAAAAGAAAAGAAATAGAAATAGAAGGTTGAAGAACCAGTTGAAGAAGATGATGATGAATGGGATACAGTTGAAAAGAAATAACCAAAGAAAAAGGATAGAGCTTAAGGTGATGAGCAAACTGACTATAACAATTAATAGAATAGTAGAGGGTTGTTTACTAAGGACGAATATAGAAAATTGAAGGATTATTAAAAACAAATAGAGGAGGCATACAAGCAGAGAATACAATAAATAGATGACATCCATCATCTTAAAAAGATCTCTAAGTTGACACAATATGAGATTAAGAATGCTGATCAAGTCCTCAATACTTAGAATGTGGTCTCAATTCCAGAAATTGATTTGAAAATACCTGATGTTTAACCAAAACAGTATTCAAGAGAGGAAATCGACAAATTAGTGTAAGCTAAGATGCCTAAGCCTAAAAATGTTGTATCGAATGATGTATTCGTTGAGAAATCAGAGCCAATTCAAGTTTAACCAAAAAAAAGTTAATAAGCTGATCCCATAGTCTTGAAGTCAAAATTAACGCTGTTTAAACCATTACAATAGGAATAGAAATAGAAGGAATAATTAATATATACAGATCCCTCGATCAGTTTTATTGTTAATAAGGATAAATAGAGACCATTCTTCTCTGGTCAAATAGAGTTACCTGCCAATACAACCGGAAAGGATTTGTTTGGGAGAGTCAAAAAATATAGAAGACCAACCTAGGTGAAGAAGTTGTCTGAGATAAAGCAGTCTAATTAATAATTTATAGCAGATGGCAACGATAACTTTGAGCCTATTCTTTAGGATCTAGGGAAAGCAGTCTTGCCTGGATACAAAACGCTGGATGAAGAAGGCAGAATAAAATTGATAAGGGATTCAGTGCAAGTTCAATATAGACAAGACGCTGAGAACCTTTTGGAGGAGGAAACTGTGGAGTTAATTTTAAGAGGAAGCAGAGAAATCATCCATCAGGAATACATTTAACTTGTTAATAAGTTCAGAGAGCTTAGGAGAAAGAGTTTGCAGGAAAGAAAATACGAAGAATACATCAGTATAATCAAGGAGATGGATGAAGAGATCTATTAGTTATCGACGAGGGGGACTCACATTATCATGTAGTCTTTGAATATTAGTGAGGAGGATTATCATAAGTCTTTCTTATTTTACTCTTAGCAACCAGAATTTGTTTCGCAGTTGGCATTCTTTGATTAGAATCTGAAGGAGATCCTGCCTGCTAAATTTGCACTCAATAAAAAATAGGGAATTGAATTGATTAGATTTAAGATTGATGTAATTGAGCATCACGAATCGAATCAACAATTCAATTCTGTGATGAAGATATTTCATAGTTAGGAGGATGGTGACAACAAGGAAATCATGGCGATCCTCTTGAATTCATTGATTGACGACATTATTTATCAGAAGTATGGGTATGAGGAGGAGGACAAGATTCGATTTATGAGTACTTTTTGATTGCTAATTATCTTTTAGAGTAATTTGATAAGGATTCGGAGATCCAAGGACTGTAGATGAGGTTGGAGCACTTGGTGGAGAAGGTGTAAGGAGCCTAGCAAGTTGAGTATTGACAGATATATTAATCATTGATAATTTAATTGGAACTTGATTATTAATAATATAAAAAATTATAATGGACAGAGCGGGTTAAGGTTAAAACAAGCAACTCCTCCATTATGGATGTTTACTGTATTTGATATTCAAGGACGACAATGGACAAGAGTAGAACTATTGTTTATGTCATTAGATATCTAGTTACAGCGGATGGGTACACGAAGAACAAGATCCTTTTGAAAAAGAAGGAGGATGTATTGAAGTATTCATCGATTTCCTCGTGTTTATTCAAGATCTACCCCACCTTTTACAACAACGAGTATCAGAAGGCTCTGAAGGTGAAGGAGGAGAAGGGGAAGATAAAGAAATTTTCAATCATTGAAATGAGAAGTAAAGGGCATTGATAATATTTTAGATGCCTAATTGGAGATACCCAAAAACATAAAGGCCATGGAGGATGAAACGACTTTGAATCACGAACAGTATGAAAAGTTTAAAGGTTCTCCAGTTGTCTTTGGTTAAACGATACAATTATTACATATCAACTCAAACAAATACTTGTATTACGATTCGAATCACGTTTCAGAAATAGAGAGCAACAATCTGAAACTCAGTTTAATAGATGAACATTCTGATGAGACCTGTTACAGGATCACTCCTTGCTACACATTCTAATAGGAAGGATCAGGGAACATATACCACGAGGATATAGTTCACATAGTTTCCACAGTGGATTAGACAAAGAAGATTGGAGGTGAGCCCTATTTGCATGCTTCGAGACCCAAGATCTGTATTAAATTATATCATCAAAATAGTCGACACGAAGTCATCAGCCCAGAAGGAGAAGAGAGAAGTGAATATTTCCACAGAAAAAAAGACGCCTTGGAAGGTGAATATATTTGCCGAGTATTTGGATGAGAGAGAAGGGTTCTTGAGCATTTAAGATACCGTATGGATCAACTATTCAGAACAGGATGTAATTCTATTGATTCTATTTACGATAGCTCAACCTCATTGCCATTAGAGATTAAATCAAGTAATAGGCACAACATCAGAAATCGGAATTGCACATCTTTTTTGAGTAATGCACTCAATCTGCCAATTACACCAAATTTGTTGGTAACTCGAATGGTTTGTTTACAATTGAGAGTGAGTCCATGTTTCAGGGAGGACTAGTCAAGTGGGATACTCCAATGATATCCTCCTCTTATCGACTCAGACATCTGACGACAAAGAAGTACTTGAAGGTAGTAGAGGAGAAGAAAGAGACAGAGGACAAGTCTAGATTCCTGTTAACAAGTGTGTCCGATTATTAAAAGGCTTCCTTGTTCCATTTCGAACTGATATTCTCAACATTGACTACTTACAATAGAGAGAAGGCCCAGTTGTACTTACAGAAGGATAGTTATTTCAGAGCATCTACGTATGTTGGTTAGGATTAAGTGTGGTTGAGGACTGAGTCAATATAGAATGAGGAAGAGAATAAGGATATTTCCAAGGAGAAGAAAAAGAGTGTGCCTGCATTCAACAAAGTAAAGAAGGAGGAATATGTGTTCAAAATAGCCAAAGCCAATTTTAACGAAGTCAGAATGACCAACTTTCTCCTTTCTTGCTTGAAGACAATAAAAGGAGCCTAGCAATACATGGATGTGTCATTTCTATCGGCAGACATTAAAGATGAGAAGTTTCAGAAATCATATAAGGGTTTTGTGGCTCATATGCAAAGATTGAGTAAATGCTTATCCGAATTATAACTGTTTTGCCACAACAAGTTAATTGCCTATTTGTACATCGATTAGGAGTTCGGATAGATCAACCACTTCATACAGAATGTGTTGAGGGAATAATAATTTATAGAATTACTGGTGAAGATTCTGTGCGTATCCTTTCCTGACGTATCGACATTGGACACTTTGAGATCCATAGAGAAATCAGAATCGATGGACAAGACTAAAAAGCGAGTGGTTGATGAAAGCAGCAAGAATAGAGACTCATAAATTAAGAAGGAGTATTACAATAGCAAAAAGAAGATTTGCTCCTTAATTTATCAATTGCTCGATTGCATTTGCCAATAGAATATCATCAATTAAGAGTAGGCTTCCAGATACATTCCCATATTCGCATAGTAGAGTGTTTACATTGACGATGGCTTGAAGTGCATAGTGTAAATCATCAGAGATCATGAGGATTTGCTTTTGAAAATACACGAATAGGTGAATGAGGATGATGAAACACATTAGTTGCGTCAATTGGAACAGGAGATTGTTATGGCTAATCATTCGAATACCTTCTAGTAACAATTGACAATCGAGGACTATCGACGATTGTATGATCAAATCATCAAGAAGATTTTGAATGAGGATCACTTCTAATTGAGATCGAAATGGGATTTGTTGTAATTCTACACTAATTTGCTGAAAGAGAAAACCACCTCAGCAGAAAAGAAGAGAGACATCATATCCTTTTTGCAGTTCGCTTCTACTCACAGAGCGAAAGGGCTGAATGTAAATTAGGAGGGCATCTACAGATGTTTGATTGATGCTTACGATAGAGATAGAGTGTTTAAGGATGAGGTGCTAATAAAGTTTGAAAGACAATAGAAGATTATAAAGATATTTGTAAAAGGGGAAGAGAAGAACTTCGTGGAATTCTTCACTAAGACAGACAAGAAAAAACAGCATTTCCAGGAGGCTGATGGGGATGAGATTGGTAAATCTAAGCAGTTGAACAATTTCTTAAAAAAGCAGACAGTGAAGACACCTTCATAGGAACTGAAACCAAAATTGATACTGTCTTTGGTGACTGAACAGTTGGAATTCTATATCTCTATGTGCAATACTAGAAATAATACTTGGAAGAGATTCGTTGAGTAGTTTCTCCCCTTTGATGTGTTGATTGATCATCTGAAAATGGGGGATATAGGTTACGATATGAGATCCATTATTTGTAAGTTAATGAACAAGGTTTATTTGGATCAGGAGCCCAGAAGAGAGATCATCTTCCCAGAGTTGTGTAAGGTGGTCATTACTGATTAAGATAATGTCCAAGGGATTTTGGAAGAGGAGGAAGGAGGATTGAAGATATATCAGGATTACAAAGACGGATTGTATCAGTTCATAAAGGAGTGTGGATTAAATGTCGATAAGATGTCATCCAATTGGGACATCAAATTCGGGGAAGCCAAGTAGAGAGAGACTCTTAAGGAGATTTCTATTCAATGTCCAGAAACCTATAATAGATTAACATTGGAGATGATTAGATCACTTAAATTGCTCATTACATTTGGGCAGTATAGAATCTAGTTGTGCAATACTCCAGAAGAAACTACTTAGAAGAATGAGAACTTTTTCAGCATCATCAAATACTTGTTTACCATTTTGGAGTTTGATCCCAAGTATCCAGAATCCAGGAAGATTCTGTAGATAAAGAGGGAGGAAGATAAGTCAAAGGGGGCTAATTAGGGCACATAGTAAATATTTGGGAATGCATTGAGTCTCTTGGGGAAGATTGGTAGTCTGATCAATGTGTTTTCGTTGATTGAGGATAAGGACGGAGGGAAGGATAAAAAGAGGAAACAGAAGAATATATAATTTGAGAGTGGGCCTTTGAATATGAATGAGTCATTTTTGAAATAGGCTGATGTGCTCAAAAAGATATTGATTAAATTCTTGTAAGAGTCTTCCGAGGCGGATCAACAAATCAAATTAGAAATCTGCGATATTTTGAATCAATATTTGGATTAAAAAATGGATTATTGTTTGAATTAATTTAAGTAGAAGTTTAAGGACTACGTGACTAAGCACCTTAAAATAATGGCACGATTGGAGGAGGGATCTCTAAATTTGACAGTGGAAGCTGATCGTAAGACTATTGAATAGGAATTCCAAAGAGCCATAAAAAATTAAATTAAAGCTTTGATTCCTTCCATTTTGAAAACAGGAACAGATGCTGATAAAAGAGGGTAGCCAAAGAGTGAGAATTTTAATTTGGGATTCGGTTTGGACTTGGCTCAATTGGCAGGAGGTGTGGAAGTGTTGGACCAATCTAAGGAAATAGATGCAATAGATATATGTACAATATTGGGATTTGAAATATTCCCTACATTGATCAACCTATTTTGTATGAGTCAATCTCTGGACATGCAAACTAAGATTCTTAACATTCTCACTAGATTCTACAATCAAAGAGAAGAATTTGCTGATCTTGTGTCCAAAATATTGTTATTGTTTGATAGTTAGAATATTAAGATATTTAGTGATTTAAAGAAGAAAATGAGACAATTGGCTAAGAATATCGATGAATCTGAAACTTGGATCAAGGATCCCACCTTACCAGACAATGAAGATATCTTGACTCAAACTATCAAGTATTTCGAATTCATCAATAATTTGTTGTATAAGGATTCCACTTTGGAAGATGACAATGTAAGTGTAACATAAAGAATTTTGATCGATGAATTTAGATAGTCTATTATGAGGAATCTAAAGGTGCATGACATGTGTGTTCAATTAATAACTGATTGCATTGGAGTGACTGAAAGGTAATTCGAGGGAAGAACACGAAAATTAATCTACGAGTTATTTGGCAACATCTTCTTATTGTTAAAGAATTTCACCTTAAACAATTCAACCAATCAATTGTTATTGAGTGAACATCTCAATAAGTTGTAGATGAAAATGGAGTTGAATTTGGGACAATTGGATTTGATCAATGAAATCTTCAGAGATAATAAGAGAATATGCATTGAGAAACCAGGCACAGTCATAGATAATATTAGAAAATTAATCAAGACAAATGGGAGACAATCGAGATTCTTAGAATTCTTCATTTTGATTCAAAAGGTAAAGAAGGAATTCATACTCTCCAATCAGAAGGGAGTTCTTAACATGCTTCTAGATCCAGCCTATAAGAGTAGTATATTTTGGTTGAAGGATAGACAAGCCCAAGTGAGTGATAAGAATCAAGCTCAAGCATCAATTAAACATGAGTTTGATTTTACTCCAGCTAAGAATGATAATCCCAATTACAGGGATGAACCATATTCGTATCATTGCACCTTGATTGAAGTTCTATACACTTGTGCAATAGGGAAGGAAGGAATGCTGTAGAATGAATCACGCTTAAGAACCATTATCTCATTGAAATATGCACTTGAAATTTTATGTGCTCCTGACGGAATGACTGATGATGACATTCATGTTGTGAATCCCAGATATGACAAGTATTAGGTCTCTTAATTAAAAATTCCATTGTTAAAGTACATCTATTACACTTACTTGGAGAGTGAGAAGATTGCTGAAGAAATCTTCAAATGTATTAATGACATTCAGGATTACGTCAATGCAGAGAAGATTAGAATAGAGAAGTTCACAAAATTGCCAGTGAGTGAACAATTCTAAGAGTACTTTTTTACTTACTACTTTATGTGCATAAATGGATTCCTGAGACTGTATCAGAAGGAACAAAACGATTAGAATCTTGTCCATTAAAATTAGGCTTAGGTCCATTAGGAGATTGAGAATTTATTTGCTTCAGTTAAAAAATTGAGAGATCTGGTGGAGAATCATGAGGAACTTAATAATTTGAAGTTGAGTCAATAGCAAATGGATTTAAGATTGTACTTCTTGTGTGACAACATTGTTGAGGAGGAAATACTACAGAAATAGAAGAAGGAGGAAGAGGAGAAGCAATAAGCTTTAAAGTTAGAAGAACAAATCTAAGAGGAGAAGAGAAAGAATAAGAAGAAGTAAAAGACATTCAATCTTGGATTAAATTTAATTAATCTTGATTTCAACAAGCAGAAAAATAAACCAGCTGATTTTAGAACTGATGATGCTTGGAAATAATTGTGGTAGATCTTTATGCAAACTTTCTTAAATTCTAAGGAGTTGTTGGAAGAAATCAAAAAAGAACAAAAAATATTCTCTGAAGCCTTGGAAAAAGTGGAAAGCATTTATTCCAAAGATCCATTGATCTAGGATCACATCAATAAAACGGAAATCTTCAAGAAGTTGATCACTTTCTTAAGCAAAGGACACAACCAACCTGGATGTGAATAGACTATAAAGTAAGTGTTAAGAGCATTAAGCAATTATATCATTATCTCAGAAGATACTGAAACTACTGAACAAGATGAGGAGAAACAAGCAGAAATGAGACAGCAGGTGAGAGAGGATAGGTAGAATTTTCTTAACAATAATAATGCCATGGCCACCATCCTAGTCATTTTGTCAGATTACAAAGACATTAATCGATATAACCTATTGTACAATAATCTGTTGAGTTTTGGCATTGAAATGATGGAAGGAGGCAACAGAGAAGTCTAAAAGTCTGTTTACAATTTCTTTGTTAATTTTACTTCTTCAGAAGTGTTCTTTCTAAGATTGCATGAGAGATTCGAAGATCAAAAGGCAGAATTGAAAAAGGAGGATGAAGATGAGGATGATATCAAATACAATTTCTAGGATGAACCTGAGGAAACACAAAACACTTTGAGATTCTTACAATTATTGGTTGAAGGTCATTACACAGAATTGCAAAATTACATGAGATTCCAATAGATGAATTATCACACTTATGACTTATTCACTGATGTCGTTGAGTTATTGGGAGAATACCTGAATGTTAAGAAAACCAAGTATTTCTATTGTATGATCCAATGCTTTGACACCATTACTGAATATGTCCAAGGTCCTTGCTTTGAAAATCAGCAGGCTTTGTTTTAAGCTAACTTTTTGGATATGGCAACCAATTTGCTAGGATTTGATGAAAGAATAGAAGAGATTAATTTGAGGCAAAAAAAGAAAACCTTGGATGAATCTCAATTGGATCCCAACACTGAGAGAAAGAAAAATGAGGTATTCCCCAGATGGATGTATGCCAGATTGAAATATAAGTGTTCCATTACTTTGTTGTCTTTATTGGAAGGGAGAAAATCAAATGATGTTATTATTAGATTGGCAAAATCATTTAATCTAGAGATGTTGAAGGTCAATATTATAGACATCTATGACATGTATAAGAGTCTATATTAAGATCATTACACTGCTGAGATTTTCTCGCATTTCTCAATGGAGCCTGAAACAGAAAGCAAAGAAACCGAAGAAGGCAAGAAGAGTGCTGACATGGCTAGTTTTATTATTGAAACTGGATTCAACTTGTTCGTTCTTTACTCGACCTTCTTGGAGGTCAAGGATCCCACAGATGGAGGAGGTCAAAAAGAAGGCGAGAAAGGAGATGATATTATGGAGCAATTCAAGGCTAACATTGTTGGAGAGGTTGTGTTTTTAGCTATCAATATAGTGAGAGGAGTAAAAGATTTCTTTTTGAGTTTTGCTGAAAAATTGAATTAGGCTGTGAGAAGAGACACCAACGAAATAGATTATGATTAATTGAAGAAATAAATTTAAGATAGTAGAAGCAAATTATTTAAGGAAAGCATCAAGTTCTTCTCTAATAATTCTGCTCACATTGAAGTGTTGAGAGAAGATAAGATGCTTGAAAAAACTTACTTTTATTTACTTCCCTATTGCAAGAGTCTTGATAAGCCAACAAAGACTTAATTTAATTAAGAGGCTAAAAGAATCTCCGTTAAAGCAAAAGTAACTTCGTTACTATAAGAATCACCTGATTTAATAAAGAAGATGAAGTTAACTTATCAAATTTAATCTTATTTAAATAAGATAAAGGTTTTAGCTTTGATTGTTTCTAAGATTCAATTGTATAGAGACATTACCTTTATTTTGGCATTGACTATCAATGTTATGATTTTGTTTGTGTTCCATAAAGAAGTTAAGCAATGTGATCCAACATCGGATCCTGCTGAATATCAAGCATGTTTGGATGATTATGTGTATGAAGAAGATCTGTAGGATCAAGATTTGTAATTGCAGGGTGTCATACAGACCTTAGGAATCATTGTTATTGTGCTATCTATGTTGATTGTGCTCTTCTTTTTAGCATAGACAGCTCCATTGATTATAAAGAAGGCTTGGATGGGATGGGAAAACGATAACTTCAACATTATTATGTATATAAGAAGACTGCTAATGACAGTTGTCTACCTGGTAACTGACTTCTATGTGCTTTATTATCTGAGTTATGGATTTACAGCATTTTTGGGGACTCTCTACCACCCATTCTTTTTTGCATTTCATCTATTTGATGTTTTGGTGAGGTACCCTGTGTTGTTGAATGTTGTAAAAGCAGTTTGGGAACCTAGAAAATCAATTCTGTTCACACTGTTTCTATTTATAGTGCTTATGTATGTGTTCTCATTGGTGGCTTATTACTGGCTGTATGAAAGTTACCCTGCAAACTTTTGTTATAGCACATTCTAATGTTTATTGACAGCAGTTGATAGATCATTTAAGTCTGATGGTGGATTGGGAGGGTTCTTGACTCCTTCGACAGATGTTAAACCTAACGATGATGGGTATTTTTTCCTTAGATTCTTTTTCGATAACATTTACTTCATTTTGTTGATGATCATTATGATCAATATTGTGTCTGGTATTATTATTGATACCTTTGGTACTTTGAGAGAGGAATTGAATGTTTATTAATTGGATCTGTAGAATATTTGTTTCATCTGCGGATTCGATAAGGAAACCATTGAAAAATCTAGTAAAAATCAACTGGGATTCACCTATCATATTAAATAAGAACATTATATGTGGAATTATTTGTTTTATATTGCTTACCTGAAAGACAAGGATTCTACTGAGTACAGTGGTATAGAGAGTTATGTAATGGATAAGATCAAGAATGAAGACACGTCATGGTTCCCGACTTTTAAGTAATAATATTTTTGATTTGTAGGGCTTTATGCATGAATGATGACCAAGAAGGGCAAGAATAAGGTCAAATGATGAATGAATTGAAACAAATCCAGGATGACTAAGAGAGATTACAAGAATTATTGGATAACATCAATCAACAGTTGGAAAAGATTGAGGAAGATTAGAAATAAGGAAATCAATGATTTTTTAACGAATATTAATTAAAATTATTATGTTCACTGGAGGAGCATTTATATAGAGTCTGCATGAAATCAAGGAAAGTTGTCCACCATTACAACACTTGAATTATAGTCATAAAAAGTCGTTCAAACAAAGTTTAGATTCAATCACACAGAAAATTCCAATTGTAAAATCCATTCATAAACTTCGACAAGAGTAGGAGTAGAAGATATTCTAAAACATATAAAAAGTAAGGAGGATGAATTTAATGCATGAGATCAATAAAGTGAATCCAAAATTGCATCATGAATTAAAATTGATCCCTTCTGAATTACTTACTATTAAATATGGTATAATATATAATATATTAAAGTCGAATTTAAATAGCAATCACAAGAAAATCACATTGAAGTGCAATCAGAAATTAGTTATAATAAATATGCATAATAATAATAACGATTCGAACATCTTGGATCTGGATACAAGATATTTCATTAAAAACCTTATATCAGGAACATCATGGATGATTATGAGGAAGAAGGTAGCAATCATAGTGATTCCTATATTAATAAATATTTGGATCTAAATTGAATTATAGTTTTAATTAATAAATTTCAATTTTATAATTCTGAGAACTAAGTTCTACACTCTCTCATATTTCAGTAAAGTTAGTATCTGATAACCTGATATTTTAGATGAATAAAAATGGAAAAATAGATGAATCTAAGTCATATCCAAAAACTACTAGTCATATTTAGTCACAGCTGATTATTACAAATATAATTTTGAATACTGTTTGGATTTGCATTTATAAATCAAAATAACAATCAGATTGACATTAGTTTTTTAATGAATATATTAGATCTATGATTGAGGAAACTACATTTCACCATAACTTAGAATAGTTCTGCTATCCAAGAAATACTTACTTCAATCACAAAGATTTATTAATGACAAATATTTTAAAACACAGATTTTATTTCAAAATCCGCGACAATTCACTTAAACATTAAAATGATTTTTTTGCTATAAATCTTTTCTTTATATATGCATGTCATTATTTATCATGAATTCTGAAATATACCTAGTCAAGTAAAATTAACTGTTCTGGCACAGTAAACTTTTATCCACCAATCCAGTGACATTGCAAATTCGTTCTGGAGTGCTCAATACAAATTGGGAAAAACCTGAAAATTTACAAATTGAACTCAAAAAATATCATTCTCTCTAAGAAGGCATTCAAGATATTAGTGAAATGCTCAAACTTAAACTAAGATAAGGATATCATGAAATTAAACCTTCAGAAATAGTCAAAACCTATGAATAGATAAGATTTCCAGAAGCTGAATATAAGTATGAATTAGATTTGAAATACAAGCAGTTTCAATAGCAAAAAGGGGAAATCGATGATAAGTAACTTACTAAAAAAGAATAAATTGTATAAAAAATTGAAAGAAAATAAAAATTAAGACAACCAGGATTAGGATTGCCAGATAAATCATGTTGTGAACTGCTAGATGATGCTACCTAAGGTAGATTGGTCTCAGTATGGCCAAAGTATAAAATGAGACCTAACCTCGGCGAAAATTTGGGACTTGGCCCAACTTTTTCAAAGAGTTAGAGGATATCATGTTTATTAGCTTCTAATTGGGCTGTGTCAATAGACCCAAAAGGCTATTATATGAGTGAAAAACTAGATGGAATGAGGATGATTTGGACAGGAATGGAGATGTTCACCAGAAATGGATACTCCTTAAAGTTCCCATCCTACTTTATTGAAGGATGGCCCACAACTTATTTAGATGGGGAACTATGGATAAATCGAGGGACATTTAACAAGGTCTTAACATCTGTCAGAAAGCGAACAGCAGATCCGAATGCCTGGAAGATAATCAAATATATGGTGTTTGATGCTCCATTCCTTCAGGAACCATTTAGTGATAGATATGCAAAATTAAAGAAGGCAATTGAAAAAATAAAAAATCCTCATCTGGTTTATGTTCCTCATAAAATTTGCAGAGGGAAAGAGCATTTAGCAGAGGAGTTGGCTGAAGTTTAGAATATTGGAGGAGAAGGTTTAATGTTAAGGGATCCTGATGCTTTATATGATGGTATTAGATCAAAAAGTTTGTTGAAAGTGAAATCTTCTTTGGATGCAGAGGCTGTCATTATCGATTATGTGCAGGACACTCATATGAAGAAAGAGAATGTCTTAGGAGGGTTTTTGGTCCGGAATGATGAGGGATAGGAATTTGAAGTAGGGTTGGGACTGAAGATTGGGATCAAAAAGCAAAGACCTCCGATTGGTACAAAAATAACATATAAATATTGTGGTTTAGCAGAAAATGGATATCCTAAATTTCCAGAATTTGTACGAATATATCCTGAAGATATTTGAATAAATTGTTATTTTAAAAATATATTGTTTATTTATTTATTGTTTCATCATCATCTATTTTATAATTTGATTTTATTAATTCTTAATTAATAATTTAAACAAATTGTTCAAAATCATATATAATTTATGTGCTTCGAATTAATATACTTTAATTTATAAACTATTAATTTATTCCTGTTATCTTAATAAAATAATTATTAGATTAAATCTAAAAGAAATGAGGTAATATTATTATTTTATTTAAATCATCTTAGATCCTAGCAAATCATCTAATAGGATTTAACTACTATCCAACATAACAGTATCACAGAATTATAGAAACTCATCTTTTTCTTAATATTTACGAATATATATTTACTAATTTATCTGACGTATTTGATGTTTTAATACACCCATATGTAATTAATAATTTTTTATTACTGTTTCAATGCTATGGTGATGCTCTTTCTTATGATTTTGAAAATAAAGTAAATTTTAACCATTAACTTTAGATTTAAATTAGATGTAGGAAATTCAACGTTTGATATTCTTATTTCTACAATTATTAAAACCATAATTCTGATTCATTTTAGAGTCAGAGAATTAGAAATCCAATATCTAGGCTATGTCGTATTAGCTTACTATATATTAAGAGTATTTATTATAGTGCTTTAAAAAATTATACTTAATGTTTCTACGAACCGCTTCAGAATTGTATATTTTTATATTAAAATAGTATATTCAAGGCCTCAAAGTGCTATTGGCATTTTAATTGATGTTGATTACTATTAAGTGGAAGGAAATGGTGGATTGGAATTGGTTCGTAGTTTTTAGTGTCATTTGGAGTTTACTGGTTATATTTTTTATTTTCCATCTCATTCTAATTCTTTCAACAATAGAAACAACACATGAATATTTCGTATAGAAGGCTTCAAAATCATAACTGATAGGAGGTGTGTGGCTGATTATATATTTTTGTGGTTTTAGTGGAATTCCCTCCTGGTTTTGTTACATCATATGTAACGATCAGGAGACTGTTGATTATCCCACCAAAGAAGCAAGCCTTACTCTTGGAATCCTAATAATTTTATAATCCTTTTTAGTTGTTATAATCTCAACTGTTTTTAAACAGCATATTAAGTATTAAGATATATCAATTTAGGAATTACATTCTGGATATAGGTTTTGAAGAAGAAAATCAATCCTTAAATGTGAAAGACGCAAAACAATAACCAAATATAAATATAATACAGAAACCTTCTTTACCGAAAAAATTGATTTAGGTATCATCAACCTACTTCGAATATTTCTAATCAGCATCTTAACAATCTAAATAAAATCAAAACATAACAAATAGCAACTACAGTATCATGAATTAAAGAGCTAAATTGAAAGCATTTGATTTTGTAGTCAGAAATGACTAATTGCAATCTCCTGAAAAAGAATCAAACTAGATTTAATACGAGTAGAAATGTTAAGTCTGTTACACTCAAGAACCAATCATTGTCATGCTTCCTTGTAGACATGGTGGAATTTGCTATGAATGTTTAAGACAATGGCTATAAAAGTCACCAAACTGCTATATTTGTCGTTAAGTATTTATTTTCAATCATAAATTTAGAAAATCAATTAAATATGCAAGGTTCATAAAGATGATTCTGGGAACTTCACCGTAAAAGATATAACAGTGTGTTATTGGTGACACACTCTTCCTCTACAAATACTTAGTGTTGGTATTTAGATAGTTGTTATTCAATACAAATGTTAATTTTATGATTAATTGAATTAACAAATATATCTAGATAACCATTATTTAATAATACATAGCAATAATATTTCATGATTCTTTTTTCAATCTCAAAATTCTTTTAATCATGTTTACAGTGACTACAGTAATAATCATTGATAGACCCAGACATAGTAACCCAAATCCCATTTGCTTTTTCGAAATCGAACCTTACAATTTGGACATGTAATCAAATTTTTCAATCAAGAATGATCTCTCTCTTTTTATATCATCGAGCTATGTATTCAATTTATTAATGATTCCTCCCATTTAGTTTAAATCCTAGATTTTTGCTACTTTTCCCATGTTTGCTAATTCTGATCCAGTTTTATACGTAATATTAAACACGATGAAGTCATTGTCAAAATTTGTTAAACAGTATCTAATATGAGCAGTTGTTGAAGTTGATTAGTATTAGTAATTGTGCTCCCAAGACCCCTTATTATCATACAAACTATCAATTGATTGAGAGTTGGCCTCGGCGATCTTCAAACCATAATTTGATGAATTGGCACTAATTTTAATGTCAAAGACATCTTCTTTTGAGAAATTATCAGTAAAGCAGATCTATTGTCCTTTCTCTGCTTCATACCCAAATTGCAGACAATATACGGAGGTTATTACCAATAAAAGTGATATCATAATATTTATTAAACAATTTGTTATAATTTACATTCAATATCATGAGCCCTCATATTTTGATAATTTAAATATATATATATTCATAATTAGAGTTATTCTGATGCCATTTCCTCCACTAATTATTCAAATATTATGTCTCCAAGTTCCAATAAAAATTCGGTTCTATCGTCTTCAAATAAGTACCATCGGAATTCACTTTCTTTAATCTAAAATTATATTGAATATTAACATCTTAGATGAGCATTTTATATAATCTTTCGTCTCTAATCTAGGCAACATTGTCAAACATTTGTTGAGACAATTATGAATCAAACAACAATGGATTTTCTAATTAATGCAGTTATTGAATCATCATCTATTAGTTCTTTTCATCTAGAATCTCTTGTTTTTCCTCTGGTATTTACGAATCATCCTCTATAGGCAAGAATCCTCCGAGAGTGCCAGACCAATTTATCACTTTAGCTTCCATATTCTTCAAAATAATATCCAAGTCTTCACTTCTGATAACTAATTTCTCTTATTTATTTTCCCAAGGATATGGCAATCCAGAATCTACTATTTACAATATTCTCTTACTTAGAAAGTTTGGCCTTTCATAATTCAAAGCCTCATTACATGCATCAAACACGGCCTTGTTATGAATATGTTCAAGCTCCTTCATTCCAAATTAAGCATTATCACTAGGGTCATTCTCCAGTTGCAATCTATAAGACTCAAATTCTTAGAACAATCTTTCATCCAAAGGGAATGCTATTTAAGAATCATCTTCATTCTAATGGAACTCATCTTCTGCTTCTTCACCATCATTGTCATATCCATGTATAAGTTGCATTCTTTTAAAAGGAGTGAATCCATATGGTATGTTAAGATTTCTTATTAATTCCTCTTTGTGATGCTCTAATACATATGAAAATAACTATTTAATGTATGCCTTAATATCTTTGATTGAAGTGGGCAATTAAGGAATTACAGATTGACTAATTAAATTTGAGATTATAAACTCGAAATGATCTTTATTGAGCAACAATTCTAAAATTAATCAAGTTTTTTATACCTTCTGTCAAATTTTGCACTATTTCATCTAAGATATCATTTGTTATTGCACTTAATGTCTAATAGATCTCTATTTACTTATCTGATTCTATTATGTTTTGTCTCATTAAGTTCCTCTGATCCAAATTCTCATTTTACAAATCCTCAGAAAATGTCTCCGGCATCTCATCCAGATCATCATGCTATTCAACATCAAAATGATTAATAATTTTGATATCTGATCCTATTTATTTTTAGGATTTTATGGTACTACTTTAGCAAAGTTATTCATCAACTTGTTTTTTTAGACTCTATAATTTTGGATTGTTTTCATCATATGTTTACACTACTTATAAATCCCTTTGTATTTTTTAAATTGCTTTAGCTTCTCTTTTTCTACTAATCTCAATCGCTTGTTTTGTGTTTCTCAAATCCTCCTTCTCTTTTTCCAGCCAATTCTCTAATTCTTGTTTCTTTATTGGATCTTCTTACATCTTCTTCAGTTCTGCCTTATATCTTAAATTGATAGCTTCTTCCCTCATATTTAATAATTCTGTTTCCTTCTTCATTAATTGAGATTGTAGTGACATTAATGAAGATCGATTGACATCGTTCTCCTTAGACGATAGCTATAATCGTTCATCACTGCACTCATGATTCTTTTATAATCTTTTGCGAGCATCATTAAAGGTTTTTTCATTATTAGCTTCTAGTTAACTTCTAATTCTCATATCAACTGATTATTCAGAATCCCTTCTTTCATGTGTTTTAATTTCTTTCTGTTTTTTCATATGCTATGAAACAATATTTAATATTGTTTGTGACATTTATTATTTTACATTTGCAAATGCTTACTTTTCTGGACCTTATTTAATAATATTTTCAATCTGACTATTCCATAGTTCTAATTCTTATTAAATTTACTAAATTACAGAATGAGATAATGCACTTTTTTGATCTTCCTCACTTACTACAGAACTCTTGATATTCGAGTAATGAATTTGTTTTTCTAATGATTATTAAATATTTTATCCAAAAGGATTATAAAAATACATTTCCTAATTAGCAGGACTATTTGGTTACTAAATAATTACTAGATCCTCTGTTTAATCAGATAAGTTTTTATCAAATCTATTTTTTATTTAGACTGGTAAATCTTTTTATTACTATTATTATTGTTATTATTATTATTATTATTATTATTATTGCTATTATAATTACTACTATTATTAAAGTTTCTACTATTACTGTTATTATAATTACTATTACTTTTATTACTACTATTACTATTACTATTACTATTATTATTGTTATTATTATTATAACTGATATGGTTTTATTTTGTTTTATTATTAGACAACTTCCTCTTGATTTATGAAATTTTATACTTAGATTTATTTTTTTTATTGCTGTTATTAATCTTTCATTTATTACTGCTATTAACCAACATTCTTATCATTTTTTATTAAGACTTTAGGTGGTATATATTCTGGCGTTTCTATCTCTTCATCAGGCTCTTCCTCTTGATCAGAAGCCTCATCATCATGTTATTACTCCAACATTTCTTGTAATTCATGGAGTAATTACATTCTGATAGAGAAGCCTCTCCAAACACTTTATAATTTGGTCGCAGCCTCATTCATAAAATGATACTATAAAACTAAATAATCTTGATCAGTGAGTTCATTCGGGTCTAAATCATTTTATGATTTAAGTATCTCTTGTATTTTTTCCAACAAAAATTTGGTTGGGGGTATTTTAGATAAAGTATCAACTATCATCTAAGTGAATTAATTTTCACTAATCTATGAGTATTAATCTTCCTATTCTTCATCCTCTATTTCTTCGATGTATTAATCATTTCCACCTTGATTTGGCTCAGGATTTTTAAGTTGATGGTACCTTTAATTAAGATTGTCATATTGTTTCTTTAGTTGGTCTTTATTTTGGTGATTTTTGGGTTCTTACTTAGCTCTATTTTCTCTGCTTTTTGGCTACTATTTTCTTTATTCAATATCCATTGGGTCGTCATTTTTCTTTTTCTTCATCGTCACTTTAGGAGTTTGCGGTTGTGAGTTCTCCAAGGTTTTACACTTTTTGAAAATCTCTTTAACAGACTCATTCAACTTGGCCAGATTCTCCAATCTTGTTAATTGGATTGCCTTACTTTCTTTATTTTTCCAATAGAGATATCAATTATTGTTGCATGCTAGTTGTATTGTCAATCGCTTTCTTTTGTGTCATATAATGCTAAATCTCATGATTTGGTTGGTAGATTTTCTTCTTCAACAATGGTTCCACTGTTTTCGTCTTTGATTTGATTTTTTCTAATTAAATTTGAATAATACTAATTCGTTGTTTGATTTATTTTTCATTAAGCTTACCCAAGCCTAATTCTTCTCTCCTTTGTTATTATGATGGTTTTATCACTTTGTGTTGCTTCTTCACATCGACTGTGTGAGCCTTCTTCTTTTTCGGGGAAACAGTTCGCTTGGTTGATTTCTTGACAGACATTGATTATTGCGCAGGTTTCTTATTCTATTGAGCCTATGGTTTTGGTTTGCCTTACAATCCCTATGTTAGCTTTTTCTTTTTTAAAGTCTTTGGTGGCTCTACTGTTTTCAAATTGACAAAATTATCCAAATGTGATTCAGGAGAGTGATATTTTGGAGTTTGCTGATGTCTTTGATGCATTACTGCAATGTTTGGCTCTTGCATTCTTCTTCCCTGAACCTACGAGTCGAAGGACCTAAATATATCAAACGGTCATACTTAACAGAGCTGTATGTGTTCATATTGTATTATTTGAAAATTATACTAAAAATTATATTACACAATACTAATCCTATATATATTAAATAAATAACAACTATAATATTACCACCATTAATTATCACATTTGAAAAATCAATGGAATAACCTTTGTCATGTATTTTAAACAAATGTGTTTATTCAAAAATAATTCTGGTTCATTCCACTATTAATTTGATATAAAAGAATCAAAAATAGCATATACCAATTATATATATAAATATAAACGTCATACATAGGTATAAATACATCTGGAGGCATAAATTCCTGCATCACATTTTATGAGAGAATGCAAAGTTGTATCAATCGAGAAAACTTGCCAAATAAGCTCTGTGCCGTTGAAGGATTAGATTTTTTGGAGTGCGTAAACCGTAGGAAATAGGTAAAATTAAATAATAATATCCCAAGTATGCTCTAAATTATAAAATTCAATAGGAATTGCATAAGAATAGTATCTTAATATTACCAACATATGATGTTGAAAATGATAAATTTATATCAAAATATTAAAATGTCACAGAAGTATTTTAAAAAGCCCATTGAAAATATTTATCAGCAAATAATAATAATGATTATTCATGCATTATTTCAATTTGAGCAAAAGGCCTTAAGAATGCTTTATTTTAATAGATTTTAATTGTTAAAATTCAATTGTAGATAAAATTAGATCAATTTTAATTAACTATTAGGAACAATTTAGCATGTTATTTCTATACTTTTAATAAAATTAAATTCTTAATATAGTTTTGAATTCATTTCATTTATTATTTATTTTGTTATTCATATATATATATCTTTCTGCTGAAAGTTTCGTATAATAAGGTGAAAAAATATTATGCTTATTACACTCTCAAATGCATCGTTATAATACTTAAATATTTATGTATTTCTTCCTTTGAATAATTTGAAGATGTTTATAAAACTAGAGATTGAAATTTATTTTTTTTTGTAAACCAAAAGGTGTAATCATTTTAAATATAATTTAATACATTGAATAATATATTTTCAATTTATAAAAGAATTATTTGATAATAAGTTGAAGTAGGACTTCTTAATATTAAATTAAGTAAATTGGAATGATTACTTAAATCATATTGTCTCATTAAAGTTGCAATCTCTGAATTGATATTACTATATTAATTTGCATATTGAATATTATTAAATTTAGAATATGAATACTATATATTTGCCTAAACGAGTTAAATTACTATAAAGTCCAAAAACCAATAATGAGTCGTAACTTCAAACCACGAGATCAGTTATTGTATTAAATTTTTCATCAAGCCTCAGTCCGCTAATTAAGATGTGCCTAAAGTTATAGTAAGATGTGAGGATTAAGATGGAGTACCAAAAGACATGCGACTGAAAAATTGGAATGATGTTTTTGGTGATTTTTTATCGGAATCATTATTGCGCAAAAAATAAACTGATATGAGAAGAAATACAATAGCTACAATAGATAGAGCATATCTCCACGAAGTTCCATTAAAAATTTATAATGCTCTTTTAAACAGTCCTTCTATCAGAAGCAATTTTACTAAATTTATATTGGGGGAAATATCTGCCTAAGAATTTGTTAAAAGAAAAAATCAGTACTAAAAATTAGATAAATTAATTCCTTCAGCCAACTAGAAACAAAAAAGACCAAAAATTAATTTGTACATTCTATTATTTAATTATTAAGATCTTATAGGAGATCAGCAGTTACAGATGAAGGCAATCATGAGATTGGATTTTTAAAATTATTGAATGAAAAAAATGAAGAAGAAAATAAGAAACAAAAAGCTCAATAAAGATTTGAGATGATAAGAAATGTTATAGTCGAGAAGATAGAGAAACGGGAAGAAGAAGATTTAGTAAAGAGGAGTAGAGATTTAAAAAATGTTGGAATGATAAAACAGATGTATGACATAAGTGACACTTACATTCAGGATTTATAAAAGAAAACTATGGAGAAAGACATGCCACTTTCCAAAAGAAATGTTTTCAAAGGAAATTCGGTTAATATTATTTAACATCAAAATCCATATTAATTGGCTAATGCAAGAAGCCATGAAAATCCAAACAAAATAAAGTATGAACCACTCCCAGAAAAGAATGTTATTCGCCATTTGGTTGATAAAAGAGCCAAAGAATATATGGAGGAGTTGTAATTGAAGGATTATATCGAAAATGAAAAAACGAAAAAGAAGATTTACATGAATTGTTAGTATCAGTAGAATGTTTTAATAAAAAAAAAGAAGAACCAATTTTCATCTCCTATTTCTTCTGATTAGAGTGATTCAAAGATAAAAATAGCTCATCCATCCAAATAAAAAGAATAGAAAAATAAGTAGGTTATTAAAAATAATTTGATAAATAATGATCTAGAACTTATTAAGTATATAACTAATTATCCAAAATATGATCCCTTTAATGATAAGGAGTTTTAAGAGACAATATAAAAGGAATTATTGTAAGCAGGAGGACTTGCTTCAGAAAAGAAAATAAGGATATTGAAAAAACCTTATTTAAAAAAAGCAAACTCAAAAAATGTAACAACTTAACAGATGGATGGGAACACATTTGATTCCAGGTCTGAAAATGATGAGTCTTTCAATTCCATGTATGAGTTCAATGTGGACAATCTCTATGATTAAAGCATCAAATTATAGAAGAAGCTCCTTGAAAAACAATATACTGATGGGTTTAGCAAAACCATAAGAGCTATTTAGAAAAGTCAATAACTAAAAAAGTATCGGTTTTATAATTATCCTAGCGAAATTATCTAGAAGAACTTAAAAAAATTGGAAGGCTTACCACTTAAATGATTATAGCTTAATTCAATAATATGATTAAAACTAATACATAATGATTTCAATGTTAATTTAATTTTTTGTTATAATTATAAATTTCCATATTCACTTCAATAATCTTTGATAAGGCTGTTTTAATATTAATATTTTGACTTAATTTGATAAAGCATTAACAACATCTTTTACAATTCTTAAGAAAATATTATTTTAGTTTGTAAATGAATTAAAATAATAGGGAATAAACAATCGTAAAATTGTAAGGACATCTCAAAGGAGCCACAATTACTGTTCATGGTATTTAGTATAAGTTATAAATAAGAAATTGAAGAACTACTCTTGAGCTAAGAACATATTATATGGATGTAATAGAAGGAAATTGATGACTTAAAAAAAAGGCTAAAATAGTTGGAAAGTCTGGATATTTAGAATGAATAGATATTACATTTTTAAAACATTAATGTTTAGTTGAAAACATAGATTGAATTCTTGAAAAGTCAATTGTAAGAGAAAGATGCATTAATTGCTTAATTCACTCTTAAACCTTTGTCAAGTCCATCAACTGAGATGCTTGCTGCTTAATAGCAACTCATTCAATAAAATCTGGTTCTATAAAATATTATTGGGGATCTCTAAAACTAAATTCTTAATAAGGATGGAGTAATAAGTCAATTGAAAACTTAAGAAAGTTCATTAGATAATTTAATAGGGCAGTTGTCAGCTAATATTCAAATCAAAAGAAATTAAGTTGGATCAGCCCAAAAACAAAAGGATATCTAAAATGCATTAAACGAATTATAATCTTATCCAGAAGCTTTGTAAGAAGTAGTTTAGAGAATTATATAAGAATATAAAAGAATATCGTTTCTGATGGACGAAAAAGATATAGAAATTAATAATCTGAGGGCTAGATTGTAAATGCAACAATAAAAGGCAAATGACTCAATATAAGAGATAATTAAACGAAATCCATCATCTTTTGAAGAGAGCAGAGCAAATGAATTAATCTAATAGAATGCAACTATGGAAGATGCAATTAGTGATCTAGAAAGAAGATTAATTTCATAAGAAAGTCGAAAGAAAGAACTTCAATAAAAATTAATTGATGTAGGAACAGAAATATTATAATTGGAAGAATAGAAAGAAAAAGCAAATTAATTTAATATTTTCGATGAATTTAATAAGAAACAATCTTCATAATAATAACCAAATTTAGCTGAAATAACATTTTAATAATAAACAAAAGATTAAACATTCCAACTCTAATGTGCTCCATCTGAGTAGTAAATAGATGAATTGGTAAATTAGAATTAACAACTAGATGATTTAATTGTAGAGTTATAAAGAAAGTTAGTTGAAAAATAGGATCATCAAGAGGAAATTTAATTGGAAATCGATAAAATAGATGTAATCTCATTGATGTAAGAGTTGCAGAAGTTAAACTAATAATGTGATTCTTTGAAAAAAGACATTGAGGAAAAAGGCAATTTGCTAAAGGATTTGGAAAAATAAAATATAGAACTATCCACAATTTCAGGTGAACTAAAATAATCAATTAAATTAAAATAAGATTGCATAGATTAACTCTAAAAAGAAGAGTAAGAAAAACTCGATCTGTAAGATTCTCTATTAAAAAATAAAGAATATTATGGAGAAATTTAATAGAAATAATAATAAATTGAAGAACTAAAATTGTAAAAGGAGAACTTGCAAAATTAATTGAAAAATGCTTTGAATTCTATGGATGATTAAACTACTAAGGTTCAAAAGTAGAATTAGTTGTAGAATGAGAAAAATCAAAAAGCAGAATTAGCAGATGATATAGTGAAATAAATTTTGGAATTAGATGAATTGATATAAAATTTAGAAGTGAAGCTTGAAGAAAAAAAAGAAAGCGAATCATAATTGTAAAAAGAATTAAAAGATATTAATGTGAAATTATAAGCAATCCAAGAATCAAATTTAAAAGCCTAAACACAAAGAAACTAATTAGAATAGGATTTCAATCAATAAAAATTAAGTGGAGAAAAGTTAATGGATAATATACATGAATTGTTGGTTGAGATAAAGAATAATTAGACAGAATTAGATAAATTAAAATAGCAAGAAACAGAACAGCAAAATATAATTAAAGAATTAAAGCTAAATATTTAAAAATAATCTGAGGAAGAAAATCAATTAAGACAATGTTTGTAGAATTTTAATACTCAAAACAATTCAATTTAAATATTGGAACAAAATATAGAGGAGAATAAGAAAATTCTATTCAATTTAAAAGTTGAAAATAATTTATTATAACAGTCAGTAGACGAAGTTTAATAAGTACATTAGAAATTATTGAGTAAGAAAGAAAGCATGGAAAATGAGATTTCATAGTAAACAGTAATTTTGAACAATCTAGAATAACATTTAGAAACCTTACTATCAGAAATTAAAAGTCAAGAAGGTTTAAAATAAGAAAAAGAATAACAATTAAAACAATTAAAAGCATAGATTGAATCCATTATTATAGTAGATTAGGTAGTTTTATTGTAGGAGAAATTGGAAAGTTAGAGAGAATAAAATGCATTAATTGAGGAAATTGAAAGACTGAAATAAAGATTTGAAAATATTAAATAGCAATAATAAAACATTGAGTTGTTGATAGATAATTAGATGAATTTAAATTAAGAGCTTTCTGATGATTTGCTCAAATTTAAATCAACTGGTAATCAATTAGAAAGTGAGTTACATTCTCTAACAGCATAATAAGAAGAAATGAAATTTTAGATTAAAGAGAAGAGTTCATAGTTGGAGAATCTAAACGAACAATTTACAAAAATAGATGAAGAAGGACAAATGATGGAGGCTGTATTAACATTAAAATAAAAGGAATTAAAGTAGATTCAATAGAAAAAAGAGAACTTTACAAAAGAATTAGATTAAATCACTTAAGAAATCTTTGACTTAAAGAAAGAGATAGCCCTCAGAAGGAAGTATCAATAATAATAGAATAGAGTTGACTTAAATTAAAATGAGGATGATTTAGAGGATGAAATATAAGGTAAACTAAATGTGTTAAATACAAAAAATAATGATTTAAAGGATGATCTCTAAAAATTAGTAGAACTCAGTCCTGTTCCTTAAGAATAAAAGCAAAATGATGACTCTGCATAAATCAGCTAATTTAATGAATAATAAGCTCAGAAAGTATTAAAAGATAGAGATAAACGAATTGAAATCTTGGAGTTAACTATTCGAACATTACAATAATAAAATACTGAAAAGTATAGTATGTTCCCTTCTGGAGTTTCCAAAATTTCTTAACAATAGACCTTTTTTCTTGAGGATGATCCAACTTTAGTAGAATTATAAGAAAAATTCACAAGAGAAAGCTAATTATTACAAGATTTATAAAACAAATTAAAAAAAACAGCAGAAAGACATTATGATCTATCACTTAAATTGTAAGAATGGGCAGAAAAAGAAAATAGACTGGCTAATGAATTGGATGCAAGAACTTAAAGTGTTGAAAAGATGGAATAAGAATTGTAAAATGTATTTAATAAACAAACTGATTTAGAATCAAAATAAATAACTATTATAGAAAGAATACTTATATTGGAGTCTACTAATTAATAACTTTTGGAATAAGAAGCAATGACAAAAAATAAATTAAAGGAAAAAAAAGATTATATATAGGTTTTATGTAAGAATTTAGTTGAGATGGATGAAAAATTGTTGTAACTTAGAAATAGAATGGCTTTATATTCATAAGAGGGTCGATAATTGGCAGAATTAGTAGGGAACTAAGAAAACGAAAGGGAAAATTAAATGAGTCATTTACAAGCGATTAAGGAAGAATTAGAATAAATAGAATTAGAGAAGAAAGAAAAAATATCATTAATTTAATAGATAAAAAAAGAAATATCAGATAATTCTCAAGACAAGGAAAGACTTGAGTTAGAATTTATTACTATTTATAGTAAGAATTCTTAACTTAAAGCTTAAATAGGATTCGAAGAAGTTTAGTATTAAAAATTGTTATAAGAATTTGAAATTCTGAAGAAGAAAGATTAGATTAAATATTAAAATCTTTACAGAGACGGAAGCACTTAAATTGAATATGAGTAAGATTAGTTTGAAAGTTTAATTAATGAAATGTAATTCTCCAAAATAACAAAAGATGAAGTTTTATTTTTAAAGAAAAATTGTTAACAAAATCTTTAAATGTTAACTCAAAGTGATGGAAACCAATAATATTTTAATAATAATCATATATTAAAAAAGATTTTGCATTTATAATAATTGCTAATAAAGTGTTAAGAAAATGAGAATTAGATTTTGATTGAACAAAATTCTAGGAGGTCTTCCATATTAGGTTTCAGAGATGAAGAATAAGCATAAAATTAAACATTTGTTTTAGAATAAGTAAGTGAACATTAATATATTTTAGATTGATTAATTCTAATGTAAGACTACAATTGTGGAAATTCACATTAATGAATAATGTTTGATTATTGAGAGTAATAATAACAAGGAATAGTAAAAGTTTTTAATAATTATATAGAAAACATTTATAATAAAAGATGGCTAGATAATGGATTTTAGATAAACAATTTGATTCCAACAATGATTTATATCCTTTAGGCATTTTGCATATTGTTTTCAAAGTAGTTATATTGCATAAATTTATAGGTTTCTATTTATCAAGTTATCAATATTGCATTGACTGGTTCAAAGGTTTTATAATTATATTAATTATTATTATGATAAATAATATGAAGTGTTTAATATATAAATGAGATTAGATTAATTAAATATTTCAAATATCAAAATTGAAGTCTCCTATTGGCTAATTTAAATATGGCAAATTTTAGGGATTGTTAGTAGACATTTTGCTTATATTTGGTATTTGCATATCTTCATCTTGAGTTTTTAGAGAATCAGCTAACATCATATCATGGAATCTTTAAAAGTCTATTTTGTCTTAACTGTTTAGTCTGATTTCGTTAAACATAGTATCTACTTTCACTGTTGACAGTTATTTGCCCCTTCTCTAAAAGGCTCGTCTAACATCGAGGCTTGTGATATAATTTTTGTTGTCAATATCAAATTATTTAAATAAACCCCACAATCTTTCTTCATTCAAATATTGCTATTAATTTAATAAGGCCATCATAAACTCGGAATAATGGATGGTTAAATCTCCATATAAGTTACCATCGTTTTTATTTGAGAATTTCAATTTTTTAATTAATTCTGACATCTCTTTTTCAGTATCATTTAAGCCTAATTTTTTCATGATTTGAGTCATTTCTTTAACTGAGATAGTACCGCTATTGTCTTTGTCAAACTCTTCAAATTATTATCTTAGAGATTATATTTGAGTTTCATTAAGCTAATTTAATAAAATATTTAAAGTTTCTTTCTTCAGCTTTGATATGTTCCCATAAGTCTTCAGCAATTGAATCGCTTTTTCATTCTCTTATTCATTATTGGGAATCGATTCCATTCTGCTTGGAGGCGCAGAGGCTTAATTTAAAATCCATGGACTAGACAAAGCTTGGGCACATGTTATACGTTTTTTCGGATTTTTATCGAGCAACCTGATAACCAGCATTTTGGCTTCTTTAGAGATGTTTTGCCAGGAATTTTCATTGAACTGAATGTCCTTATTTTAAATCTTTTCTTCCAGAACTTTGAGGTTGTTACTAAAGAAAGGTGGTTCACCACAGAGCAAAACGTACATGATGCATCCCAACGACCATTCATCACATGTTTAAGAATACTTCCCTTACAATACTTCAGGTGCAACATATATGGGAGTTCCTACTTTAGTTTAAGTTCTAACTTAGGATCTACCTTGATTTGCCGATTAAGGAGGGGGGTATTTCTTACTTAAACCGAAATCGATGATCCTAATGTCTAAGTCATCATCAGGGGAAGCCAGCATGAGATTCTCAGGTTTTAAATCCCTATGAGTAACTCCTTGTTAGTGCATATAATGAACTGCAGAGAATAGCTGCTTCATCAAAATGGAGCATTTCCTTTCTGAAAAAACTCCCTTTCTGACTATTCTCTCAAATAACTCACCTCCTCTACAATATTCCATCACAAAATGATAGTATCTCATATCCTCATAAGTTTCATAGACTCTGATTATATTTGGGTGATCTAATTGCACTAGTATCTCTAATTCCCTTTGAATTAAATGTAATCTTTAGCCAATACGACGCTATAATAATTTTTTTATTTACTTTATCGATTGATTTCACTGCATAACATTTGGATTAAAGACCATTCCTTTCTTATTCCAAACTGAAAGCAAGTTTGACCGTTCCAAATGATCCACTACCTAATATTTAAGTGAAACGATAAAACTGATGGATGTTCAGTTTAGAAAACCGTCTGACTACAGATAGTTTTGATTCATGTGGACGTAATTTACTTTTACAAATTCCCATTAAAATTTATAATATAATATTTTTCAATTTATTCAAATAAATATTCATTTGTATAATTACTATTAAAAAATGAATCTTAAATATATTTAAATGGAGATTAATTAAAATAAACAAGAGCATTGATATTTCGATTGAACTAAAATTATTAATAAATTATATGATCTCATTTTGGAAAGAAGTACTCTTGCATTTCTTAAGTATTAAAATAAACCTGTACTTTTTATTTCATAGTGCAAATTCCCTCTTATTTTAAACCTCTAATTTAGTGGTTCTATACATTTTTATTAAAAATAGTGTGGAAGACTAATTACCAATAATAACCTAGTGTTGATAATCTTAAATAATATTAATAAATCACACGATATTGATAATTTATAAAATCATTTAATATTTCTGATATAATTTAAAAATTTTATATCCTTTTTGTTTGCTTATCTAAACTTTTTTTCCTCTGTAATGCTACTTTAACTACTTACAAAGGAATCCCTTAATGAATTAGAACTTTATAAAGAAAATACTATGTTCTTGTTAGTTTACAACTCCTCAGGAATTGACCTATTTAAATCCTTTTCTTGTCCATTTGATTGAGCTTATTTTGGTTTTTTAAATTTGATGGTCCTCTTTTTGCTAGAAGTGCTTGAAAAGCTTATGTTGCTCAGATTAACTAAGCTATTTCGCAAGGAACTAACATCTTGATCTTTGTCTAATTCATCAACCATCAAAATTCTTTTGTTATCACTTGTTAATATTTTAGAGTCTTGTTTATTTGTTTTGAGAATCTTGAACTCCTCGTTTTAAACCTAATCCAATTGTTTAAGTCTTAATGAGGATTCCATTGACTTCTTCCTTATCAATGATAAATTATCAGTTTACTTTGTGTTCCCCATATTAGCCTACCCAAACGTAACAGACTTGGACATATTTGAATATTTTTTAATGATGTCCTATACTTTTTTATTTGGACTAATTAATTTTTCATTTTATTCTTAGTCCATCTTCCCACCACTGGAGAATTTAAACCTATCCATGGGTTTAACGAAATCTTATAAGCTAATCGACATCATGTCAATTTTCTTGTCGTTATGGTTTCTTTCTGGTGTAACTTCTTGCCAATTTGAAAATACGGGAGCAGATGGATTTTAAACATCCTATTAATCTGCCTATTAGGGTTTAGTTGGTAAGGTAGACTGCAGATAGACTCCCTCTACAAATTTGTAGTCTGTTTCTTTTCTCTATTCTTAAGTTTAGGGGATTTAGGTTTATGAGGGATCGCTGGGTACTTTAACAAATTCATCTTTTTTTGGAGATTCTTAGACATTTAATTTTTCAGGTGATTTTCTAGGTTCATATTAATATTCATCAACTTAAGGGTTCTAAACCCTCTCTTCATATTTGTCTGGGCTTTCAAATTCAGGCGGTTCATCTCCGGAGATGCTGGCAATATTTGTTTGGTTATTTTTCACCTTATTGAAGAGACATTAAGCATTGGAATTGTTTAAATGTTGTTCATTGCCATAGTGTATTATAGGTTCTGATGACACAGGGATATTTGATGCACTGCCTGGTTATGAAGATCCCAATTTAACAGTGTTCTTTTGGAATGTGATATTGAATATGGGACTGACTCTTCTCCATTAGTCATTGAGTAATATGACTTCTTCGATGTGTTTTAATTGCTGATAATATTTGGCTAAAGGTCCATCGATAATTAATTTATCATTCAATTCTTTTTAAAACCATGTCAAATGATTGGCTAACAGGTATATATACCCTGGTATAGGAGTTTTCATGGTTATTTTTTCTGAAATGAGGGTATAAATGTTGATATCTTCAATGAGTATGGTACACCAATAAGGGTGAAAATCACTAATGGCTCTATTGAGGATGTATAACAATAATTTCTCAAAGATTGAGTGAAAAATATCGGAATTTTTATATTTAAAGTAGATTTAGACAATTTGATTGAATAACTTTAATTAATTCATTTGTTTCCATAATGTAATATTTGAAATTCTTGTTAAATTATCGAAAATTTCCAGTAATTTAAGACGTAGAGTTCTGAGTCGTTTATTATCATTTTCTAAGACTTGATTAAATGATTCTACAAATAGGTTCATTTCTTGTGTAAAGGTGTTCATAAAGTCAGTTTTTTCGAAATCAAGAGTTAATTTTTGATGGTAAGCAATTTCTGAATTTTCTTCGATTATTTTTTTGGGAATGTTTTCTTCATAGATATTGATGTTTTGCATTTGTAAGGAATAGTAGTTGGAGATGAGTGATAAGATATGAGCTGAACTTTTGGAAAGGAATAACTTGTCATGATTTTCTCTTAGACATTTAAACATTTACAGGATGATTTATTTACTGACTATGAATTATACAAGTTTGTGACATAAATCACTTGAAAAGTATCTAGTCATTATCTCATGAATCAGGTAAGTGAAGTTAAGGACACTCATCTCTTCCATCACGTTGAAACCACGAAATCCTAATTCAAGGACTTCCAATTTTGCATCCTCATAATTACCATTTTCAGGGTTGAACAACTGAATGAGTATACTGTTAACTGTGGCTGATTCAAGATGATTCAAGAAGAGTTTGAGCAAATCAAATTTGAATATGGTTTAACAAACTTATTTAGGTTCTTTGGATAGTAGAAGAGCGAATAATCTTTAGATGTTTGACCATTAAGGTTCATGGATTTGATCGGGAGTTTTATGTAATCCTTCAAAGAGAGTTTTAATGGCAGTCTAAGAAGTATAGGAATTAATATTATACTTCCTAGAGAATCATCTAAGTTAAGGGTATAAGATCAAGTTCAAAAAATTCAATGGATAGAATTGGGAATATGACAACATTGTCATGGTTTTTTTCTGTAACTTCGTCAATTTATTGCACTATTAAATATAGGAGTTATTCTGCAATGCTTTTTTGATGCTATCTGATGAAGTCTATCACTTTTAGATTCAGGTTTTTGGCTTATATAAAAAATTCATCCTCAGCCAAAAGTGGTATGATATTAGATGGATTAGCATGATATTCGTCCATCATGGTTTCCATGGGATGTTTAATAGATGGATTGGTCATTCCATTCAACCACAATAACATTTGATAAAATAAATATTAATCATAATTATTCCACTTTGCAAGTGTCAACTATCCTAAACCTAAATAGGAAGATCAAAAACTCTCTCCCGATGATCCAAATGATTATGAACACTGAAAAATATTGCAGCCATGCCAATTTCATTATCGCAAGTAAACTTACCCATCTTTGAATCAATTGCAATTTAATGTTGTCCAATTTTATACTAACTCTCAATTGCTTCTCAGAATTCCCTCCAATCTTTCTACTGATATACCGAGGTCGAACTGAATATGTTCTAGTATAAATCTGCGACAGCATTTCACCCATCCATTGATTACTCAGGTTATCATCAACTATGATTTCTGAATAATAATCAATATCAAAATTGCTATTATAGGTAATTTCAATTGAATACCTTGATGGCAATGGTTCTTATTGATAGAATTGAACTTCTCCCGCTATTTGCAATTACGATAGTCCTTAACCACTGATTATTTCAGACTCCTAAAAGTACAAATAACAATCAAATTTGAAATGCAAACTTGCAAAGTAACATCTTAGAGGCAATAATATTGTAACCTATTTGATTTTATCTGCATCTGTGAATAATTAGAAATCAAAATTAAGCTATTCAGGAACATTGTCCGCATTTGTGTCATCCATCAAAGCCTATTCAATTATTATTCATAATTTACTGATATTTTTGATCCTTGCAAAGTCAAATATTAATATGATAACAATTATTCTGATCCGTCGATCTTCTGATATTTTTGATTTGTGAAATGGTACACTAAATCATCTGATGTGATGACGTTTACAAAATGAAATCCCTCATATTCAATGTCTAATTATTCCTCGAATGTGGATACCATGATCCAGAAGTCTTATTAGTCAGTTGAATACTTTCAGAAGCAAAAACTAGTACAAATGGGATCACAATGATACCAAAGTATACTATTATGCAAGTGCATGTAGGAATCGATATCAATTTGCTGGTGTATGTAATTTCAAATTTTTCTCTTGATAAAGTAAACATATATTAATCATTATTATCTCATATATAAACTAATCCAATTAGATGAAATCGTTCTCTATCAAGTCTTCGATATCTTCATTCGCCGTGTAAATCCTAATGCTATTCAACTGCACCAAATAGTTACACAATTACAGAGAGATTTCCTCCAACTATTGTTGTCCATCCACTTTGATTTACTTAATTATTATTTCTCTCTTCTAAGGATCAGTCACATTGGTCTATTCCACCTTGCTGTAATCAACTGAATATTGCTAGAATAAGAAGTTTGAACAGTAGGGCTAATACAAAAATGGAGTTATGGGTACTCCTATGCCCTAGTTCTCTTGAATCTTAATTCCAAAGTAATCATAAATGAAAATCCATTGATGGAGGAAAAATTCATCTTATTACATGAAAGAAATCATTTCCACTAATTTGAGAGCAGCTAGTACCAAATTTTAGTTTGATTGCTTATTTTTGAAAATACTAATCAATAAGGTTAGAAGTGTTGGCCACATATTTCTAAATAGTTCGTTTAATTAAATTGGTGACAATCTCAAGATCAGAATCCTCACACAAAATAGAATAAGCATAACAAGTCCAGGATTGGCCGAATCCGATTTTATAACTTCAGAGATCTTTTCAATGAGCAAATCTAATTTCTTCGTATATCTATCTCTCTCTCCACTGAATATCAGAAAACAGATTCGTTCAAAAGTCCTAATTCTCCTTTTGTTCTCCTCCCCTTCTCTGCTGAAGAAGAACGAAGATTATTAAGCGACCTACTCTAAATACTAAGTGAATAGATCACTTCTGCCATACTACACAACCCAATTAATAATCTTAGTCCAATACTTTAAAGTATGCTTTGATTATATGAAGAAGTCCTCTTTGTTGAAAATGTTGAGTATTGAGTCTTTATAAACCTTCAATAACACTTGTCTTGCTTTATCTAACTGGAAATACAACATCTCTGAGATCATTTAAACATAAATCTAATTGTATTGACTTCTGTTCTCTAAGAGAGGATACAGAATGTCCATCATTTCTTTACATCTCAAAACCACTCGTTCTGTCTTTTCCACAGCATAAGAGTTTTAAAGCAATTCCAAGGCTACGTTTTTAAGTGTCTTTATGCACATCAACCTGTAGATAGTCTAAATGAAATCCTCAGTCACACTGCTCAATTAACTAAATATTAGTTTCTCAATGTCAGTCACTTCATATTGTACCTCTTTATTGAGAGATCTTATGACATTCAAGTATATGTCATATAGAGTTGGAGTTAAAGGAGTCACCACTTTAAATTTGATTGAATATTACTGAAACAAATCATCTCCTTCAGATTTGATGCCTGGGTCATTCCAAAAGATATTAAGTTTTCCTCCGAATTAAGCCACATATTTTAACTTATCATTTATGAATTCATGATGTTGATTTCTGAATCGCTGATCTCCAACTATTTCTTTGGGAGAATATTTACGAGTTAAGAGTAATTACAATTCCAATAACCACATATTTGTGCTTGGGGATTTCGATAAAGCCAGTATCTACAGAATTTTCATTATTTACACCCAAAAAGGGAGAAGATTTTCTTTCTTTAACTAATTTGGATCTATTTAAGCAAAAGTGAAATAACAATATAAAAAGTATAGGATATTAGTTTCTTGTTGAGAAATCTAGAAATTCAACATTGTGGTTGACAATTTCTTCCTTCTATAAATATCATAATATTTCTGCAACTCCTATAATTATTAACATTCCAATAGACTGTCCAAGAACAGTTCAATTGGACATTGCATCATAATCATAATTTCAATAGTTTTCAATAGAAAAGTGTTTTGATGGAGAGAGAAAGGATCAATCAGAATTTATTCGTTTTCAAAGAACAATTTTTGTAGTAGATTGATTTAATTACTCCATACTGAGAGTAAGGCAGTCATGAATTATTTAGAGTAACTCATAAATAATGGTTTCATCATTTATAAGATCTAAGGCTTGACAATGTTGGTCTCCTTGGTTTGTTACTCTTATAGAATTTTATTGAATGAATTGAATTTGTCAAATGAATACGATCCAATACCCATAGCAGTCATAGTATCAGAGTATTTAATGAAGTCTTATCCCAACGACCAACAATTTATATATAATTCAAGAATCGAAGGCAGGGTTGATATAATTACTTCGCAAGTATTCTGAAACTTTTAGAAAATTAACTTGGTTGTTTTACTTTGATCTTAAACATTTAGCAATCCAAATGTTATCATAGATTTAACTGTGTTGAAAACAGTATTGTCCCCTTTCATCTTCTCGTAAAACATGTCATCCCTTTCTTGCAATCCAAGAATATGTTTTAAAATGGTCTTCACTCCAATTAGGATGGATTATATTTCATGTTGAGATGACCCTTAGAGGAAATCGAATTAATTCATCTTCTGATCTGATTTCTATTATTCATATTATCTATTTGCAATATCTTTAATCATTTTAAAATAGGCAGTCAAAATTTATTGAACGCAATCAGTCAATGTTTATTATCTCAAATGTTCAGCTAACAAAGGGATGCATGTGCTAATGAAGTGAATGTATTAGGCTCTGACATACAGCACATGAGTATGCATACCCCTCAGAAGAGTAGGAATGAAAATGCTATTACTAACTGATCTACTCATGGTATCTTCAATCAATTCTCTTTGCTCTGGTTGGAATTTAGTTCTAAATGAGGAATTGAAGAAAATAACTTTGAACAAATTCAGAATTTACACCTGCATAACTAGATCTTCATTTTCAATTGCATGATATAATACAATCTACAAGGGTTGCATGATATACTCAGCAAATTTCAAGGAGACAATTGGATTTTCAACATTGACAATCAATAATTCAATGTATTCACATGCAGATGCATTAACAGCAGCATTTTCCTTGTAGAATTTCAAAGACATACTTTCTATGGCTTATCCTTACACATATTTCAGACAAATGATGACCAATAAATCTAAGTACATCATGGTGTCCTTTTACATAATGACACTACTTTCATTAGTGAAATGCATACGGATATCCTTGATGTAAGATGAGATCTCTGTCTCTTAGACATATTCCATGAATCTAGCACTGAATGAGATAAGAATTGATTTTAGTTTTTTGATGGTTTCATTGATTCTTTTGGTTTCATAAACTTTGGCAAAGAATATCTATTAGTTGTCAGTCAAATACCAAGATGAACTACTTTAAATTAGAACTTCGAATAGAGGATCCAAGATTCTCTCTAACATTTCTGTTGATTCTAATAACCAATTTTTAGCATTGTGTCTTATGATTGGATTCTCGTGATCCAAGAAATCAAGCATCAGAAAGAGTCCCACCTTGTTTAGATCTTATAGTTCCTTATAATGAGTGGCACTTAATTTCCAAAAGAGAGCAAATCTTCTGATGGCTGCTTCTTGCATATTTTTGAATTGATGAATTACAACTTCAGTGAAAAATGTTGGGAACACTTTTGATAGATTGACAATCATTTCTATGATTCTTTCATGGAAAAAAGGATAGTCAAGAAGATTCCACAATTTCTCTAGAGTAAGTTTGGTATAATCTTATCCCTCAACAATTTGATTCTTCAACATTTTTGTCCTACTTTCTTCTATAATCAATTTCTTCAGATTCTCATATATGATATCCACTTTCTCAGATATCAATATCTCAATCATACTTTGAATGGCTAATAAAGAGATTGATGGGTTTTCCTCTTTGATGATTTTAGTAATTGATGTAAACCATTTTGGTAGTAGTTGAACTTCCTTGTTTTATTTGAATCTTAATCCCTTAATTAATGATTTACTAATTGATTCAAACTCCACTCTTATTTATTCATCTCCATCGAGTATTACATCAGACAAATTCTAATACAACTACCCGAATTCTTCAATGGCATCATCATAATTTGACATCTCTGCTGGCCCTACTAATTGTTTATCCAATTATTATGGCAATTGTTCCATTCTAACTAATAGTGTGTTCAAAGTGGAACCAGGAGATTGTTTTCTCAATTCTTCAGGTGAAAATTTTGACAAGCAAGTCATCAAATTAGCTGCAGCACTTCTTAATAATGTAAATTCTATGGACTTCTCAAAATTATCCTCTTTGGTGATGAGAATAGAAAATAAGAAGTTAATATAAGTGTTGTATACTTTGCTGACCTCATTAACAACAATCAACAGAAATGATGTGATTGATTCCAATAACCTTTTGCAAGATTTTACAATTTCTGGATATTTTTTGTGATTAGTCTCAACATATTTAATTAGATTAAAGGAGACCTGACCAATCAGTAATTCAACCATATGATCATGTTCCATAAAGAAATTATACAATAATTTAATTGGAAAGACTGCATTTTATTCATTGGCTTCTTATTGTAAGAATTTGTTAAATGAATTCGCAACATGTTAAAGAATATCTTTATTTTGTTCAGTTATCTAGTACTTGTTATCCATGTCTGGTTTACCAAATAACCATTAATTGACTCTTCTGGTAACTGATAAATCTTTTCTAATTAGTAATTTCAATGAGGCTTCAACCAATATCTCTTTACTTTCTTAGATGACATTCGATTTCAAATGAGTATACATCATATCGAGTGCTTATCTCTTGATCAATTAACTATATAGAATTGGTGATCATACTTTTCATCTTCCAAAGAGGAAATGAGTGCAGACACATAAAGTGGTGGAAAATTGTTTTCAGGTGTTTCCTCATCGATACCATCTTCAATGATCATCAGAGCTTACTTTCGCTTCAATTCCATACTCTATTCTACAACAATAGTTCTCTTTCTAATTTCATTCTATGCCTTGTTATCCATAGCTTATATTATGGAATCATCTTTGATGTCTTCTAAATCTTGATTATTTTGAGGAGCTTTCAATTGATTTTGTTACTGTTCTTATGCAATAATCTATTATGATTTCTATTACTCTTCTTCTTCGTATTCATCACTCATGTAATCTGATTGCTCATCCTCTTATTCCTATTGCATTTTTGGGATCTTCTGAGATAAATACTTTATAGATGAACTATGGTGATATCTGCACAATGTACCTCCTGCATTTAGAACTTCGAAGCATGGACATCCACACTGATCCTATGAGAAATTTTCTGCCTGCCGATTGACTCAATTCATCTAATACACTCATGCAATTCTTTTGATTAGCTTCTTATTAATCATCCAAACCAGGCAATATACTGGCAACTAATCCTGGTAACATAGGTATTAACTCTCTTCCCAAAGGAACGTAATGTTATTTAATTAGATCCAAGAATTATGGTCTTACTTTAGAAGATGCATTCGAAAAAAAGGGTAGCAGTCCAATTGAATATAGGGCGAGATCTTCCAAATACAATTTCACCACTCCTGATGGATCTCCTTCAACGCTGAAGCTTGCCATATTTTTGAATAATTGATCATAGATCTTCAATACAGACATGTGAATTGGTGCAGAAAGCTAATTAATCGACTAAACTCATACGTGAGGATTTAGACATTACGCTAATCTCTTGCTTAATTATATTTTCTCGATTATGTATGGAGATGGGTGTTATTTCAACAACCCTTCGATTTTCATCAATAATGGAGCTATATCAGCCCATTCTTGGTTCTTCTCGAACTTATTTAGATAATATTGTAGATTAGTATTCAAAGACGATGTGTGCTAAACCAATTTTGATTTATCCATTAACTATTTAAATATATTACTAAAGTACAAGAATTAGACATATAAATATATTTTTATGAAATCCATTTACCAATTCACCAAATTCAGATCCTCCACATATAATCAGTCTCTGCCGTACCTTGAACAAACCAAATTCGATCCCAAAAATCAAACCGCCATTCTTATGCTGAATCTAGGAGGGTGATCTCTAACAATATAGGCTAGGCCCAATTCATATTAAGAAATCAGTCCATTCTTGGTCAGATTCTTTGAAGACACCACTGTCATTAGAATACCTTTCGGTTTGGGTCCATACATAGCTAGATTGAGAGGTCCTGCCAAAATCAATAAGCAATACGAGAAAATAGGAGGCTTCTCTCCTCTCTTCAAATGGACAATGGTCCAAGGAATTTTGATGAGCAAGCCATAGGGAAGTGGATTTCTACCAGCATTTCGATATGGCTTACCCCTTCAGGAAGATGCTATTGAGTATGCCTTTGAGAAAACTGAAGGAAGAATATAAAAATTCTTACTCTTTTCTCAATATCCTCAATATTCTTGTTCAACTGGAGGGAATGCAATAAGAAATGCCATTGAATTACTACAAAAATATAAGACAATTCAACCGAAATTGGAAGTGTCAGTAATTGATTCTTGGCATAAAAACAAATTCTACATTTCTGCCATGGCTACTCTGTTGAACAATAAAATTAAGGCTCAGAATTTGGATCCCAAAGATACACTCATTCTATTCACAGCTCATTCTCTACCAGCTGATTTTGTATGGGATGGTGAGAAATATCCATATTACATCTACGAGTCTTGCTAATTGGTCATTGACAATCTTAAGAATATGGGAGTCTCTATTACTTTTGATTTATCCTACTAATCCAAAGTAGGCTTGAACAAATGGCTCAGACCTGCCACTCATCATGCTCTCAGTCAATACATCCGGAACAGCAAATTCAAAAACATTCTGATTTCTCCTATGGGATTCACTAGTGATCATCTTGAAACACTCTATGAATTAGATATCTAACTCATGGAAGACTTAAAGAAGGATATTGAATCTAGTAAGAAAAATGTGATTAGGGGTGATTCATTAAATGACCACCCATAATTCATCGCAGCATTGAGTGACCTAGTTACTTAAGGGTTGGGTAACAAAAAGTGCAGCAGCAAGAGAGAAAGATGTGTAGACTGTAAATTCGAGTAGTGTGACATAGTTAATAAGCATGAGTTATGATATTAAATATATATATGCTTGCAATGAAAAATTTTATTATTTTTTAAATATTAATCACACACTTATGATGCAAGGCCCATAATTAACCACAAAAACTATAACGTATGAAAGTGATATATTTGATGTTGAAACTCGATATATACTATTTGCTTTAGGACCTTGCTTGGATTTAGATTTACAATACTATGTCTTTAACATTTTCAATTAATTTTTAAAGCAAGGTATTTCAATTTGTGAAGTTGATAAGCCGTTAGAAGGCAGGAAGGAGATTTTCTTTGCTAAATTATAACCTGATATTGATCCTTTATTAGTTCCCAATATTATTGATCAGATACTAAGCCCAATTAAAGAATTCATTATCAACTTTACAAAAGACGATAAGAATCTTGATTCTCTCTATGATGAGACCATGATATTAATAAAGTAGTTAAATTCTATCAAAATTGAATGAGTTTTTATTATATTTGCTTCATATAATCATAAATATTGTATTTAGAATGACTAATATATATATATAGTTCTTTCTTTAGTAAAATAGTTAAATCAAAACAATTTATGGGCTTAGACTTCCAATAAGGGCTTTAACTCTGGTAGTTATTTTTTCAGCAATTGACTAGAGGAAGAATTATGTAAGGATTTCATAAAGAGTTATGTAACTTTACTTGTATTGGGCACTCCTCTAATCTAAAGGATAAGTTCATATCATTACCGATTAACTTTAAAGACAAATCTACAATTCTCCTTACCAATCCTATCTAGATTACCTAAATTATTGGCTGGTTTTGCTCAAATAAAGTGCATTGGTACTATTCAATTCTGGAAAAAGAGTCTAATGTTTATAGGGTCTATAGAATCTTCTTTGATTAGTCCTTGAGCCAGACTTGCAAGTTTGTGGGATGTCAAATTTGTCTTATTTTTGGGGCAAATGATATGGATTTTTTAGGTATTCAAGAACATTGAACTTTCTCTTATTTTATTAATTCATTTAATATATAATATGGAACTTCAATTCTGAAATTTATTATCTATCGAAGCCCTCTACTTAACATCTTGAAAATTCAGTTGTAATGGAATATTAGATATTAAATTATTATAAATACTATGTGATTGAATAAAACATTCATTTGATTCTGGAAAAACTACTACTAATCTAATTTTCTATTTTATAATTGAAGATCTGATTATACTTCAAATTCAGGTTATTCGTAAGCCTTTCAATGAGTGAAGAAACTTTGTACTATTTTCTATAAATAACCTAATTTTCAACTGTCCAGGTTTTAATGCAATCTAATAAATTAGTAAAGTAATGTTTATTTACATTCGTAGTTGATAAATTTGAAAAAGGATGGATCTTTTGCAAAATTTATCTTAGGGACCTAAGACATAAGCCAAAATTTCCATTATTATTTTCCTTAAATAGCTTTTCATATTTATGTTCAATCCAATCATTAAGGAATTAATAAAACTTGCATTCTTTGTAATAATTAATGAATTAGTCAATATGTTGATCTAAAAATTCACCTACTTCTCTAATAAATCAACAATGTTGTTTCCTCCATTATTAAATAAAATTTTTTATTCAATCTATTATTATTAACATTTCTCTGTTAACCACAAGAATTGTCAATAGGTGATTTGAAAATAAGTTTTTTTACTCTCAAAACTAAAATAATTTTGCAATATCTCAAAAATGTAGAAGAATAAGTAATTAATTATTGGAAATGACTTGTTAAATCGTTATACAATATTTTATCCATTATTTTTATTGCCTAAATACTGTCATTGTTCATTCTGGTTCCCAATTGTCCATTGAAAGAAATGAAATAATCTGCCACTTCATATTAATTTATCTTTCCTTTGCCCAAGATATTTTAGTGAAATAGTAACATGATTTAGCTTTCTCATCAACTAATAAAGTGAGGGCTTAACACAGAATTGCAGTTACCTTAGCCTCATATGAAATTTTTTATGTGTTTTTTATTAATCCATAAATCTAAAATATTAATATTCAAAACGATCTATACTATTGACTGTCTGATTCACCAGTAAATATAAGAATTTTCTTTGGAGGGATGATGACTGACAAAAAATTATGAAATTTCTTTAATTATGGAATAAACAACTTCAACTACTTTATAAAAATTGAAATTTTCTTCAAATAGTTCTCTACTAAGATAGAATGTCAATAGATATTTCTAATCAATAGCAAATTTATTCAAATACATAGAAGATTGAATAGATTAAGGAGAGATAATTTCACTGATTATAGAATAATAAAGGTCTAAAATAGAAATGAAAGTAAAACTGTGCGAATTAAATATATAATTATAATTTTCTAATACAACCTACTATCAATTCATATTAAACTTTTTCTAATTTTGGTTAGATTTGTTCTCATAGATTTTTAAAATCGATTAGTTTTGAAATTTGTTCCTGTAGCGAAATGTACTTTCTTTTAATCAGAAAAGGAGTTGAAACTTCTATTAAGAGGAGACTTGAGAATACTCTTCTGTGAATGTTCCTCATAAATTTATTATTAGTAATTTCTTTGAAGATAAAACGATAAATCTAAATTTTAAATGTGGATGAGATCTCTCTATAACTTGATTTTTTTTTTGATTCCTCTAGTTTCACTCTTCACTGTCATAGGGCTATCAGTGATTTGAGATTTCTTTAACGAATTTTGACAATCCTCTTAAAAACTAAAACATTTCATTCTTCCCCTGCTGTTGTTGATATAATGAATTGGATCATCTGCATCTCGTACTTCTGATTCAGATAACTTGTAATTTAAGTGATTTGTATAAGTAATGCTCATTTTTAATGATGAAAACTTTGTACTTTTGCTCATCTCATTCAAAGTTCTCATCTTTGTATCCAGACTGTAGATATCAGAATCAATATTTTCAATCATTTTGCATTTAGCACACATTGAGCCCATTTATAAAAATTTTAATCATAAAAATCAATTTAATCGAAAGGCTTTATGTTCCTTAGGAATAGTTAATAACTTATCCTTCATTAGCTTAAGTACAGTTGATTCGATCATCGTAAATTATCTTAAGTATAAAATAAGTGATAAAATTTTTTGTTTCAATTGAATTGAAATTGTGTTTGTTCTAAAGAGAAGAAAGAACTTTCATGCTCAGTAATAATTAATGTGAAGGATTAATTAAATATTAGTTTTATAGTAAAATAAATTATAATAGATAAAAACTCACTTCTATTATATAAATAATGGAATTATTGCTTACACCTTATCCTATTTATAGGTGGTGTTGAAGATTTAGAAAACTATAAATAAAAAAATAAATAAAAATAATGTAATTATTAATAAATTTAATAATTTTTAAACAATGTCTTCAGTTTAGCAATTTTGCGAAGATCTATCAAATATAGACTTAAATGATCCAAAAGCTAAAGAAGTGATGATGGAAAGAATAAAAAAGTATGATGAAAAGTAACTATTATAGCTGAAATTAGTTTTGCTCAAACCAATTTTCATCCAACTCCTTCATAATTATCATAAAATTATAAGAAGGATACTTCAAAGATCTAACTACCATCAAATGGATCCGAAATGGAAAAGCAATTAAAAACATAATTTATAGCAGATGGATCAATTTTTGGAGAATACCAATAAATTTTAAGATAAGCACATGTACCTGCTTTTGTTGTACCACCTCCACCTCCTCCAAAACCAGAAGAATAAGCTGCATAAATCTTCTTACGATTACCATACAATTATCTTGATTAAAATGCTAATTCAAAGAATGAGTCTAACATCCTATAACAACCCTAAAATCACTAACTCAGCTAACTCTCAAATTTATTCTCTACCATTCAACACCAAAATTAAATCCAAAATCAAAATTAGTAGCAACAAATTCAAAATCCATCAGCTATCCAAGCAAATATTTTGAATAATCAATAATAAATGGATTTATAAATGCAAATGAATCAAACACCTAATGGTTTAGATAGTGATTTTATAACCAATATCAAAAAAACAGTTAATGTATTGGGTGGAATAGAGGACACAGTTTAAAGTATATATAATGACTATATTAAGTCATGAAATAATCTTTATAAGATTATGAATTACAACATTAGGTTGAGAGAAAGATAGAAAAACAGCCAATCTTCAAAAATTCAACTTTGATGAATCCATTAAAGGGTACCTAAACACCAACTAATCCATAATAATATCATCCGTTTGAAAGATATATGGCAACAGAACAATTATCTGTAATACAACAATCACAAAGGTTAAGGGAATAAAAATTATAACAGAATGTCCACTAATGAAGAGTGATTTAAGTTGAAAAATTGTAATTTTTGTTGAGTATAATTATTATTTTATTTAATATATTAAGTCTCTTGCTAAATTTCAAATAAATTGATTAGATATTTTTAAAATTACACAAAATAAATCAAACACTATAGAGTCCAAAATATTCTCGAAATGGCTTCAGTAATATTCGATAATCTCATTGCTATTCTATCATTTTAAATATTGGATAGAAATGATTAAATCAACACAATAAATCCTCCTATTCTGTATAGTTTTCAAAATAAACATAAAAACTTAATGCTTTATGTCATCTGAAGATTCTTAATTGTTATCCATTACATTCTTGCTTTAACAAAGAATATATATCATTAATTTTTAAGAATTCCACTTTTGTATCGAATTTTGATATATCAGTTTCTTTCTGATTTAATTTTTAAAGCAAAGAGAATTGAAATTTGTTTGAAAATGTATTGTTTGAAGAGAAGAGTTCTTATAATTTGGAGGTGATTTCATTAAGTAGAGTCTTGTTGTATGATGGATTATTCAGAAAAGTATTTTCGATGATAGTTAAGCAGTATTTCATTTTTATCAAGTTAATTAATAGTCTTATTTTGAATCCATACTTAATAATTGATAAATTCTCTAAGGGATGATTAAGAAACAAATTAATATATTACATTATTTTAGCTGATGCATCAATTTCCTTAACCTATGAACCAATATTGCCCTACAGATCTAAAAATAGTGGATAATTTTTCAATAAAGTTTATTATTTTCATTGATTTATAGTCAATGGTAAAGGATATCAACTTCCTTTAGATACATTATGGATTATTTTTAGTATTTAATAAGGAGTCCTTTCAGAGATGTGTAGTTGAATTTTTCATCAAATACAGTGCAGCATATATTTGTTTGATGTTCAAATATAATACATTTTTGTACCAAACTGATTCCAAGTTTCGCAAGGGAAGTATGTAATCCTTTTCTTCCATTATTGTATATAATAACCAAATCATGTGACTGTTTATCAAATTGTCACTAATTTGATTAGCTATAACACGAGCATATGATTGCCTATCAATAAATTGATTGACGTGAGATCTCCATTTATGTAATCTGCAATCATTTCATATTTTACAAAAGTTTAATCGATTTCTAAGATTATTAAATAATTCAATTGAGTTTTAACTTAATCCCATTTTAATCAAGGTGTTGGATCATTACTTGCAAATTCCTGTAATTGAGAGCCTTTTTGAATAGCTTTAGAAAATAATACTTTTTCTTAATTGTTTTGTATTTTAGAACATATTAAAATCTTTAATTTTCATTTTTCAAATTATGGCTGAATAAACCCAAGACAAACAATTCAAGGGAGTTAAGAAGTTTACTTATAGAGGTCTCTAACTTGAGGAGCTCGTAAAACTTCCTATGGATAAATTGGTGGAATAATTCAGAGCCAGATAGAGAAGAAGAATCTCAAATCAAGGAGAAAAGGTGCATGCATTCTAAAACTTGATGAAGAAGGTATAGAATATAAGTAATATATTTAGATCAGAAAGTCCAAGAAAGAAACATTACCAGGAGAGAAGCCAAAACCCGTGAAGACTCATTAAAGAAACACAATTGTTGTACCTGAGATGGTTGGTTCAATTGTTGGAGTCTACAATGGAAGATAATTCAGTAACGTTGAAATCAAGTTTGATATGATTGGCAGGTATTGATTTGTAAAAGCATGTATTAGATATTTGGGTGAATTCTCATTAACATATAAGCCAACCAGACATGGTAAGCCAGGTGTCGGTGCAACTAAGGGATCATAACACACAGATTGATGTTATGAATTTAAAAGTACATTAAGTCAATTCTACAATTATAAATTATGCTTGCAATAACAATTAATTTTATTATGTAAAGCAACCAAATGTTAGATATTAAATAATAATTTCTTTTTCTCTAAAACCTATCTCCTTATCTTATTCAATTCTGATTGTTATTTGTGATTTCTTCAATTTATAATATATTTGTATTGATATTAATATTCAAATATTAGTATAGATTGATTTACAATTTTACAATAATCAATTATGGTATTCGAAAGCCAAAGAATTTCTGATTGATTCAACTTAAGAGAAGGATTAATGTTGATTACTTTAATTAACCAAAGGATCGTTCTTCATAATGACTTCATCCATTCTATAACTCCACTAGAGCATTTCCAATTATTTTTGACTTTTACATTGCATCCTTATATTAATTAAATCGAATGGACTTTGGCATTCAGGACAATACTGTTAAATAACTTGAAATATTACTTTATGGTTGTCCAGCCATTTATCAATGCATGGTGTGTGGAATAAATGCTCACAAAATGTTAATCTAATTTGAGTTCCATGATTATATGTATCTTAACAGATGGAGCATTTTTCATATACTAAATACTTATTTTATCTTGTAATCAAGGCACCATATTCTTATGATGGACAGAATCTATTCATTAAGGTGATTATAGCATTTTCATCCAAGTTTTTGGGTTCTAAATTTATCCTTTTTGGAACTCTTGATTTTTTTTGAAATTTTGATCTCATAGTACAAACAATTATTAAAAATAGTAATGTACCAATTATGGTGGTCAAGATAATGATTAACTAATAAGCATCTGCAGCATCGTTGCTTTAGTTTAAATACGTGATTTCTAAATTGTCAAAATAAACTAAATAATAGAAATTAACAGTTTAATTAAATTATTTTTGGAAGGATTCTATTTTTTTTTAGCATGATGCAATATCACTTTTTGTGATATTCAAAATGCTATTAACATTTAATTAAATTAAATTTGGATTCATGCTATCAATGATACAATAAGTTATATATTTTGAGTTGCTTTAGAATTTTAATACATAATCCAGGTTATAATATTACTTTATGTCTAAATAATACATTTTAAATCCCTAAAACATATATTAGGTTTGGATGTTATCCAAAACTAAATGACAGTCATTTCCAATTTGTTACTCTCTACAAATGCAGAATGAGTTTCGACACTCAGAGTCATTCTTACAATCACTAAGTTTATTTACAATAGTACTAGAAGCATTCCTCGGTGGTTTAGTAGGAATATTAGATTGTAACATCAGTTTCCTGAAGCGATTAAATACCAATTACACTCGATTCATTATATTCATACAAATTCAAATAGGATGAAATTCGGCTCTATTATTTTACTTAGCCAAATATTAATTGTTATGAAGACTTCATATGATATGAGAACCAATCTACAAAGCAACTTCATTATCATGAATTCTTAACCTTGAATTTTATAATAATTGCTCAAAAGTATATTCAGTCGGTTATATGTAACATATAAAAAGAAGAGGTTAATCCTCTTTCTTTTCTTTCTGAAAAAAGTCTAAGACCAATCTAACCTAGGATTTCATTTCAAATGGAATAAACTTAATTCCCTTTAATGAACTATATTGTTGAAGTTGGCATGCACATATCCCAAAGACAATTAAGAGGAAGCATTATTTCATATTAATATTAAATATCTATTCAGTTTAGCTAACCAAATCTCATTTCTAAACAAAATTAAAAATGTATAATTTTTGTTTTAGAATGACGCCTTATTTAATGAATCTCAAGTAAGTAAGGCAAGCTTAGAACAAATTAGATTATAGACTTAGTCTAAACGAAATATCATAGCTTGTCTGAGAAAAATAACAAAACTCATTTTCAAAATAATAAATGAAAAATTATTTTATTATATTCATTGTTGACCATTAGAATGTGACTCCTAAGTTGATTTATACTACCAATAACAAGAAATGTTCTTTAAATTAAATTACTAATTGGAATATTTCCAGATATTTACTTTTTTAGAAAATCAAAATTGCTAAAAATAGATTCTGAACTAAGTACAATGAACCTAATTTTTAGAATTTATAGCTAGAATGTAACTAATGCTTTCTTATAATTTGCATGTAGGTTGATTGCAATCTTTAGCACAACAAAAAGATAGAAAGGAAGAGTATTTGATGAAAAAGGCATTGAAATAAAAGGACACTTTAATTAAAATATATATATGTAGATAGTAGAATCAAATAGAAATCATCCATATTTTGCTTTAAGATTTATTCATATTGTTATAATAAAATTCCTAAATTTATAATGAATTTTCCTTATTTTTAATTTTCTTTTGGTTATTGTGAATATTTACTAGAGTAATATCATTCATCTTAAGAACAAAAGAGTTTTTTAATATTAAATAATTATTCAATAAATAAATTTTTTTTATTGTATTTAATTAATTATTAAAGAAAAGATGTTTACAGTAATTTCAGTGTTATGAAGTTGAAAATTATATTATATTATTTGAAAATCTTTCCATCAAAACTATTGTAAATATAAAATATTATTTTTGTAGTGATTTTTAGGAACTCAAAAAAATTTAATAAATACTTTTTTCATTAATGAAAAATTAGGATGAGAAAAAACTTTAATTAGACAGAATAGGCACAGCCAGTACTATGGCCTAAACTGGACAATAATCTCATTTTTAGTAATAATTATAATGTGAATTCATCTAACCTGCTTTTGGTAAAAAGAAAAAAGAGCAAAACTATAAGATCAATAATAGGTATTAAAAACAGGATATGAATGATGACCCTGTCGATTAAGACCAGTAAATATGTGATAACTAGAACCAATAGAAAATATAATAATTTTAATAAATTGACTTGCAGACTAAGTAAAAAAAAGCAAAAGATGATGAAAACTAGAAATTAATTAAATTTAATGAAGATCAATATAACGATGGTAATCAATATTCAGAACCCGATTAAAATTAAGAATCACCTGTTATGAAACCTAAGAAAATCAAAGGTGATCATCTTTATATCACTTGGTATCATATTTTTGAATTTTAGTTAGATAAAGTCTTTTGCGGAATTTTTAGTGAAGTATCAATTACAAGACATTGCTCATCCTTATATAACAAAGAACACAAAAACTAAATGTTGCATATTTACTGTGAATACAAAATAGTCTCTCTATTAGACCTAAAAATAAAATATTATTAAGGTTGGCTAGTTGCTATATGATGATGATAATGAAGATCATTGTAACTTACTATATTCAATTTTCTATTTAATATTTCAATTAGAAAAGCTATCAAAACTAAAATCTTAAGAGATCTCTAATAATAAAATTAACTTGTTCTAATTATTATATACTTTATCTTGTGTTACCTTGTTTGGAGATGATATATTTCAAATTGGAAAATTTGACAAAGAATAGATAATCTCAAATATGTTTTTCTGTTCCAAATATATTTTTCAAGGTTTAAAAAATGGAATTTTGGATCCTATTTTTAAAAACACTGAAAGTAAAGGGGAGACATTCCATAATCTAATGACTTGCATTCATATGGGAGTATTTCGATGTATTTCCATTTCTAATTGTACTTAGGAATAGGAAATTTTTAAAAATTTAGAAAATAAAAGTGTTAAATTCCTTTTAGATGATTGGAAAAAGAACAAATTTAAAAATAATTGAAAATTTTTGATTAAATCAATTTTGATTTTTATAAATTAATTAAAAAGTTGTTTTTAGGTTAGCTATCTTTTTTTGAGGATATACACAATTTTCTAATTTCTAGTTTTGAATATAACTGAATATTTTTGAAGAAACAAATTAAATTAAAAATAAATCAAATATATATATAAAGGGTTATATTATAAAAAAGGTTTATATCCAATTTTATTTCTTTTTAAAGATACGTACATTATTAAAAATAATTCATGGATAATTTAAAGAAAGCATAAAAGCTTATGTAAGTTTAGTAGTTATACTTAGAAAATTTGGATAAATAACAAAAGAAGACATTGTGATTGGCAATGATGAAGTTGATAGAAAATTTTTGACTCCTTGCGGTCCTGTGTATACAGAGTATCACGAATGTTTGAAATAAAATTATGGAGATGTCCTCATCTGTATGCCTGCATTTAAATACATTAGGTGATAAATTTAGAGAGAAGATGATTGAATGTGAAGTTAGTCAAGGATTTTTCAAATATGACGTATCTGAAATAAGAAAAAGAAGATAAAAACTCCATGGTAGTGATGCTTGATAGATTAATTATTAAAGAAGAATTATAGCTCATCATTATTATTATTTATATTAATTTTCATTATTTTTATTTTTCATAATAAATTTGATCTTCATTTTAGCAAGCTAAATGTATGAGTGGATACATAAAAGATGCTTTGAGAATGCAAGAATCTCATTGAAGATGAATGGTAATTAAAAATGAACAATTCTAAAAATAAATGTAATAAATTAATTAATTCTTAATCAAATTTTATAATATATTTGTTTTATCAATCAGATAGAAACCAATTGTTGATCAATAATCATAATTAAAAATAATTCAATTGTTATTTAGATATACATCATATTGATGTTGTAAAAATCTTTAAAAAATCAAAGAAGTAGGAATTGGGTCGGTTTTTTTTCCATAATTACTTTATTTTATTTAAAATGAGCGATGGAGTTGGTTTCTTCTTTGATTTCTATTAAGACTTTCAGTCCTGCGAACTTGAATTGAACTAAAACCAGATATTAGATCAAAATTTTGAATATTAGTTTTGTTATGATCATTCAAAGGAAATGATGTAATATAGCAAGAAATATATAAATTAGTGAATTTTAACTTTAGAACCTCTAGATTGAAAATTAATAACAGGAAGAACAATTATCATTTTCCAAGAATTTATATGAATTATAAAGTTGTGATTCCTCAAGCGAGGAGGAGAATAGCAAATAATAATATCAAAATTTTGAGTAATTAAATTAATCAAGAAGCAGAAGTAGAGAGATAGAAAAAAAAGTATTCTTTAATATATGAAAGAATATAGGAAGGGAAATTAAAGAAGTGGACATAATTAGAAAGTGATTTATTGACGAATTATTATAATCAATTTAATGGAAATTGGGATAGAATTGCTGAATAAATGAAAGGGAGAACTATCATTTAATGTAAGCAATATTGGCATAGAAAACATAAAGATGAGGATTAGAAAAAAAGTAAATGGACATTTGAAGAGGATTAAATAATTAAAGATAACATCAATTAGTATGAAAATAATTGGGCAGCCATTGCAAAAAGTAATTGTTGTTCCTAAATTATCAGTATTAAAAAGTAAGACAGGAAAATAAATAAGAGAGAGGTATATCAATAAATTGAGAGCAGACATCGTAGATTCTAAGAAATAGCCATGGACACCATAGGAAGATTTAAAACTAATACAGTTATTTCATTAATTTGGATCAAAATGGTCTAGTATAGCAAGATAGTTTTATGGAAGATCAGTATGTTATTAATTTGATTTAGGATTTGCAAGTTCGAAATAGGACAAGGAAATTGCTAAAAGATGATATACCTTAATACCCAAAGTCAGTAGAAGATTAGAAATTGAAAATATAAGTTTAATTAGAAAATGATTTTGATGCATTCAACGATATAGGTTCCACTTGTGGAAAGCCTCAAAATAAAATAAAATTTAGTTTTGATTAGTCCAATTCTTCAACATTCTCATTCAATTAAACTAAATTAGATTGATTTTAATTATTTATATAGTTTCTTTATTTGTAAAACTTTAATTTAACAATTATTGTCGTGATAAGGATTGAATATTCACTAAAAGTGTTTCAAAAATGTTTTTACAGAATTTTGATTATGAAAGTTCTTATAAATCTTTTGACATAACTTTAGAAAAGTAATTTGAAATAATAACTTTTAATGAACTTAAATATCTGTTAAGAACTATTTCTATTTACTCTAAATATTTTGATAAACATCTCTTTAAATTATTATTTCATTATTCTAGTTGAACCTTAAATGAAATCTTCAATTTGCTAATAGACAGTATCAAATATTCAATAATTGATCAATTTAATTTAAATTCTAAATCAAAATGTTTGTTTAAATAACCAATTTAAGATAAATATATTATAATTAACAATGAAATGATATAATTATAGCAGTATCTATAAGAATAAAAAAGGCAGATTGATTAATAGTGAGTATCAATAATTTAGTCCAAAAAATGCCAAGACCATAAGGATTAAGTTTGTCCATTAGAATAGGATAGTTGCAATTCATAATATAATACTTAAAGGATGGTCAATATTAAAAATTAATGATGAGTTACCATATTAATTCGAAGGACTGCTAAATTTGGTATTTTAAATTAAGCGAAGTTAACAATAAAAGTAAGTGTATTTTGTGAAAAGCATCTTAAATGAGAGTTGAAATATCATAAATTTTGTACATGAGTCACCCTTTGAATTAATACAAAATAATTTTATATATGAAAAGAAAAAATATTACTTTATAATTAAATCCAAATGAAGTTTATTAATTACCACTAAGGAAGTTGTCTTTATTGGAACTACTTTAGAAAAAATTGATAAAACATAAATAACTTAGATCTATTGAATAAGATTAATCAGAATAAATAATTACAAAGAAATAATTAAAAGCTCCATTAAGAAACAAAAGTTGCGAGTGTTCATGTTGTGGATTATGGTAAATAAAATTAATAGACAAAGAATAAATTAATCAAATAAATCAGTAAATAGTGATAAAAAGAAAAAATAGATTAAGAAAAATATTTGTAAATAGTGTCAAAATGATAATTTAAGTAAATCGCTTTTCTTAATGTGGATTAGAGCATTTAGTGAATCGATTAAAAAGGAAAATGCAGAGAATTAAATCATTGCATAAAGTTGAAAATAAGCAAATTTTATTCATTAAATGTAATACTTAACTTATGTTAGCTCATTATCATATTGATTTGGGAAATATGATAAATGATCAATCTCCGCAAAATAACACCAATGAGATTTAGAAAACAAAATAAAAGTCAAAGAAACTTCATTTAAGATTAAATAAAAGAGCTGATGATAAATATTAGAATAGCAAATAAAGTGATCATTTTGATTTATCAAAGTACACAATAAGAAGTAGATCGAATAATACTATAAACTAATATATCTAATAAAAATTGACTCATATTAATTACTTACCTCCTATATCTCTACCTCAAACAGCAAGATCTAATATAAGCGAGAATAAATAATTAGGTCAATTATCACCTTATAGTCGATTATCTTAACCAAAAGGATTTATAACGAGATCAGTTTCAACAAATAAAAGAAGATGATTAAAAATATTACAATTATTGTAATTATTATAATTATTTTAATATACATCCTTAATTCTTCAAATTTATTTGTAGGTTAGACAGTTCTATTTGAGAATATTAGATAATCCATAAGAATTAGTATGATCTTATCTTCAATATTATATTTATATATAAGTTATATAAATAAAATTATTAAATGAAGTTTCAGAAATTGGAAGACGATTAAACATTGAAAGATCAACAGAATCTTAAATAAAAAAAAGAATTATTAAAGTAAGAATTTGAACATTTGGAAGAAATAAAAAAATATGACAATTTGTCATTTGTTTCAAGCAATGATTTTAAGTTTAAAGCAGAATTGGATAAACTTTTAGAAATGAATAGAAGCAAGAATAAAGAATTAAGTCTGTTGTTAAAACCTCAAACTTTTCAATCATCTAAATCTTAAATGGGAGGTTCCTAATTGTAAACCATTTCTGGGACTTATGGTTAGATTCGATCAATTAATAATCATCATTCAGACCCATTATTTGCAACATTCACATAAAGCATTTATACTAAAGATACTGATAGCAATGAATAATATATAGAGCAATTAAGAGTTTAAGAAGAACGATATAACGATTTAATTTTAGAAGAATCTGAAAAAAGAGATTCCCTAGAATAGCAATTAATCCAAATAGAAAAATCTAAACTTATCTTACAATAAAAAGTAGAATAATATCATATGTTAACAAGAATGTCAAATAAGAGATTTGCAAACACATAATCTTTGTAATTTTTGGCTGAATAAAAAAAGGAAACAAGTAAAGTGAATTTGAGATCGATCAAAGATGAATTTGAATAAATGAAGAAGATGCAAGACACATATAAAAAATAACAAGAAGAAAAATAATCAAATTTATAGAAAGTCATTTATGTTGGAGAAGAGAACATTGGACATAATGCTATTAAAATTGAGCATGCCTTATAAATGAATGATGAATGCATTAGATAAATAGAAAAATTAGAAATTGAAAAATAAAAAAAAATTGAAAAAAAATTAGAAAGTCGTTACATTTTAACTTATATTGAATGCTTTGAAAATTTTGAAAGGATTTTTATGGAACATACAGGAGTCTAAAATGCTTATAGAATAGTGGATGAATTCTAGGTAAATGAAGAATAATTACGTAAATATTCATAATAATAAATCTAATTTGATCAATCAGCCAATGTTTAAAGTGAGGAGGATTTTGATCGTAATGAACTACTATCATAGATAACTAAGTTTTATGAATAAGGGGAAAATAGAACAAAATATATTTTAAATTTCATGTTAGAATAATATTGGCATTTATAATCAACTCTAAATAAAAGTAGTCTTGAATATGAAAATCTATTAAAGTAAAAAAAAGTATTATTGGATGCCATTGAAAATTTGGAATGGGAAATAAATGAATTGAAATAGAAGAATCCAAACTTGGAAGTTCATGAATACTCATCTGTAGCTGAAGATGCTGGTCTATTGCAAGTCAAAGAGTAAATGACTACATTAAATATTAAGAAAATGGAAATGGAAGACCATTCAGATAATGTGTTGTATTAAAAAGCTGCAAAGGCATAAGGTTTGCTTATGAAATTTTAATTGGGATTAGCAGAATTTATGCATAGAGTATTTTAAATAATTTCTCTCATAGACAATAAAAATAAGGAAATCAAAAAGTTTAAATATACAGGATTGTCAAGTGAAATATTGAATTATGAAAAATATCTAGCAAAAGTCTATCATTCAAATGAAAAGAAATTTTAAATTACTAATAATTCAGAATAAATGGATGTTTAACCATTACATCTAAATTTATTTTAAATTTCCAATATTATTTCATAAGTGTTAAACATCAATTAAAATATTGTTGAAGAAATTAGTACCTACTTTTTTATATAATGTAAGACCGATTAAGTTTTATGGTTTCATTTGACTTAGGATAATTTCACTCAATTTATAAGTCAATATAAATCTTTAGATCCTATTTTGATTTTAAAAGAATTACAATCTCCAAAGATGATTAATTAATTTAGAGAAAAATTAGTAGATATTTTTACTAGTAATTTTAAGGAATTATTCACCTTTTTTACAAATATGTATAGTAAAGTTAAGGATATAGCTGAGGATTTGTTAATTCATTTGAAGGAAAATAATCCCAAATTTGACTTCAATAAATTAAACAGAAATCTTACTAAAGAAGGATAAGACATCAAGCAAGCCAAAGAATTGATTATCAAAAGGATGATTGAATATAAGACAGGAGATAATTTTACATTAAGAAAAGAGAATTCTATGCAAGCTCTTAAGAATGCTAAAACTAAAATGGAAGATGATCAAGTTATAGAATAAGTTTAAACAAAATTATAGCAAGATTACTAAAATTCTAAAGATTTATTCCCATTAAAGGAGGAATTTGATGAATCCTAACTAGCTTAAATTAAAAGCTTCTTCAGATAGAAGATTAAGGAAAAAAATGAAGAAAAGAAAGAATGCAAAACTGATTAAAATTCAACAAAAGATCAGATTACAATAATTAAGGATTAGTAAGACTTTTAATAGAAAAAAAAAATACAAGAAAGAAACGAAAATAAATATGAAAAGGGAAGAAATAAGAAAAATTAGGAAGTCAAACCTTAAAATTAAGCGATAAGAGATGAATTAGAATAAGAAAGGGAATTACTAAAAGCGTAAATTGCTTCGAATGTTTAGAGAATGCAAGAAGAAAAAGAAAGAAAAGAAAAACCTGAATTTAAAGAATAATAAAATGAAAGAAAAACATAAATAAAAGAATCAACAGAAAGACTTTATGGTGAAAGAGGATACACAGTATAATTGATTAGAAATATGGCATTGACATCAAATATTTTGAGTGATATTGATTAATTAGAGCATTTTCAAACAAAAATTGAATAACCACAATTAGTAAGTGCTTTTGTTATGCAAAGAAAGAATTTGCATAAGAATCTGACAAAAGATTTAACATTGCCATAACTCTCATACTTAAAACCAACAAGTGCATATATTGCAAGAAGGAATTAATCATCTGAATAAATCAAGGCTATGGATTACAAAAGGTACTATGAAATAGAAAACGGAGTCAGCATCAGACCATAAACACAATAATTAGCAAGAAAGTCAATTTCCAAATAAAAAAATAATACTTTTAACACTGAAGAATATAAGAAAAAATACTCAGTTAAGAATTTGAAGAATTACAATAGTGAAGTTAAATCTAATTAAATGCCATAGCCTATAGTAGAAATCCCTATGAATTATGGACCTTAGTCATGTTTAATCCCTTAAATGAATTGATTCACAATAATTTACACATATATTATAAATAATTTATCAGTTAAAATTGATATGTTTTTGTCGAATAAGAGAAAATAAGAGCTTTTTCGACTAGATTCTATGCTTGATAAGCTTAATGAATTCATTCAAAATTAGAGTTTATAATTAGAGAAAATATAAAGGATAAAAACCCTTGAATCTATTGATTAATAGAAATAATTCTAATTTAAGATTAAACCATTAGAAATTACTATTTTGTTTGAAAAGCTGAATACTTTACTATTGAAAAGGAAGTCCTCGATTTTAATTCATATGTTAATAGTTACAAAATATCAAACAGCTTCGAAAGTAAAATATAATACATAAGAATCTATAAATATTAAATGCTTTACACCAAGGGATATTAATTAACAATCCTTAAATAGTATAAGTGGTGGAGGTAATAAATAAAAAATGAGTAGTCATTTTAGTCGATTGTAATAGAGCTATAACAAAGAAAATATTGGCTCAACTCGATCATCTCATTAAAATAGTTAATTAAGATCTAACTGTATATACTATTAAATTGATACAATAAAAGAAAATAATAAAGTAAAAAAGAAGGATTTCTTACTCTCACCTACTGAAACTCCTTTACTTAATTAGAAAACCACCAAATATAATTTCTTAAAAAATAAGATATATACTCCTAGTTATAATAGATAATTGAAATCTAGTTACAAATCTTATCAAAGCTAAAGCAGAGAAAGAGTTTTTAGCAAAAACTTCAGGAAAGGTCTCCTTTAATTTGATGATAATACTCTTAATAATTACTAGATAACATAAACAATTATTTCTAATTAATAAAATTGTAAATCGTTTAATAAATATTTATAGAAATTTCTTACTTCACCATAGAAACAAACACCACTGAAGAAGAGGATTAATAGGATCAACTATTTACAAATCCTTCTGAATGGAATCAGTATTTAATATCAAGAGATAACAAATTTGTTTAGTCTAGATAATAAACTAGTGTCAATACTTAAACTTAATAGTTATAAAGAGAAACTACGAATATCCTAAAATCATGCCTATTTGGATTTTTCTTGGGACTGTTTTTGGGATTAATGCTCTTACAAAATTTATACATATTTATGTGATTAAAATTATATAAATAATTAAATCTACAATTTATTAATAATGTTTAAAATTATTATCCTCTCATGAATATATTTAAAAATTAATGATAAATTAATAGTATTTTTAATTTCCAACAAGTTAGTTTTATAGATACCTTTATTAGATTATATTTAATTTATATATATATATGAATAGTTTAAAAGAAAAAATAAAAAAAATAAATTATCATAAACAATTATCATTTTTATGGATATTAAGTTTAGATGTTTAGAATAATTTTGAATTAATCGAGAAGTTGAGTTTATGTAAATGCTCTTGATCAACGAAATTATTATCATGTTCATAGTTGTTAAGTTGGTATTCGTCTTCAAATTCATATTACTGATTTTTTTGTTAAGGCAAAGTTTTAGATGGAAGACGAATACCATATTTATCAACCTAGTTCTGTTCTTTTTCGTTTGATGCTTTAGAAAAAGAACTGATTTCTTATTGTTTTAAACATTCTTAACTTTTTCGACTGATAGGAACACTCAAAATTGAAATTGTTCTGTTTTTATTACCAAAATTTTAAGGAGTAGTTTATGTATTTGCTTAACTAACATAATGAATTCCTTAATCCATTTCCATACTGGCATGCATATGCACATGTGTTTCACCTTTTGCATTAATATCGTGATATTGTTTTGATACAATTTATTTGGGTAATGATATTTAACAAAAAAAGGGCGTTTTAAAAAATGAATGATTTAAAGCTTCACTTATCGTTATTCTGTCCTTTGGATATTTCTTTGTCATTTAACAAATCAAATTCTCTACTAAGTTTATAATCTCATATGTTACATACATGTTTTTGGATATTTGGATGCAGGTATTTCAAAATAAGCCTCTGTGTTTTTCTTGATAGTTGATTTTAAATCATTTTATTTAAATGGATTATATCCATATAATATAACAAATAATGTTATTCCAATACTAAAAATATCACATTGTTAATTATAAGTTTTCTTAGATTCTTCATATTTTAATACTTCAGGAGCAGAATATCTAATAAATTATCAAGCAATCATACCCTGGACTTCCACATTAGGGAAATGGTATTTGTTTTTAGCAAGTAAAAGCTGCTAATCCAAAATCAATAATAACAGGTTTCTATATGTCATTCCCACTAAGTAAAATGTTCTATGGTTTAATATCTCTATGCATAACTTTTTATTAATGAATCTACTCTATCGCACTGAGTATTTTAAAAATCATTATTCTTAGATCCTCTTATGAGTAAATTTTCTTGGATGATTGCTATGATACTAATTCAGGACCATTTATATATTCAGTTAACAAATATATATTTGATTAATTTTCATAGACCCTAAATAATTTTAAGATATTTGGATGATTAAACATGCGCAAAGCTTATATTTCATTTAATAACTATTCTTCGTAATTCTTATTTTTGTTAATTTATTTAATTGTTTGTTTTTTGATGATTTTTACAGCAAAAATCTCCCCTTCTTTATTTTAGCATTAATGAACCTTAATTTAATTATATATGTTTACTGTTGAGAAGCTTCCCTAACCTATCTAAGCTCCTAGTTTATATGTTTTATCAAAATCACTTAGGATACAACAGTTAGATAATGCTTCCACCCATATATTATATTGCTATAGTTCGTGTGTATATAGATGTATTTAATAACCATTATTTATTAATGATATTTCCAACCCTTATTCAAACTGATGAAATTAACAATACACTGTGTCTAGCTGCACGAATCCCTTAATCCGATTACCTTTACCTACATCAGAATAGAGTAGAAATTGCTTGACCAAAAAGTAAGTTCTGACGCATCTTTATTTAAAAGTCTTTCCAACTTTCGTAAAGTTACCCATTAGCACTTAAATATTTTAAAAATCCTCTTAATCAAATGTAGGAATGTCAGTTTTGTTCCAAAATTCTTAATTCTCCACTTGACCCTTACTAAATATCATATTTATTATTAAAAATTAACAAATTGAATAAAATAGCTACAATTTATTTTCTAATGTTGATACACTTTAAACCGTCCCATCACCTAATCAAACTTAATCTTTTCAATAATATATTCCATTTCAAATAATAATTATATATCTAACATTTTATGAGAACAATTACCTAACTATCAACAATATTCCTATCAAAAATATTTCATATCTTATTTGAGCCAAGTTTACCAGTAATAACATGAAAGGATAACATTTCGATCTGTGAAGTTACAAGATGGTTCTAAATTTGCTCCAATCTATAATTATATATTTATATGATTGTCAACTTTTAAACTTCAAACTCTCTTGAACAAAATTAAATCAATCTTAGTTTTAGTGTTATGCACCATTACTAAATAAACTACCATTTTTTAAAGAAAAACTTTTTGAAAGAAATTATAACTTAATTATCTATCCAATTATTCTTAAAGGAATATTTCAAAACACTTAGTAAAAGTATTGAGTAATTACGATTAAGTATAAATTCATATAAATAACCCTTTCATTTCATTTTAATTGAGTTTAGTGTTCATTTAGAATTGGTAAAATCGTTTTATTATTGATTATTTTAAAACTTTAAACTTTGAGTTATATTTCTCTCAAAAATGAACATTGAATTATTTGAGGAGCCCATCATGTTAAGTTATCAAAATTAACTAAAATATTGTAACAATAAGGGTTTTTACAATGCAAGTATTAGTCTTCAAATTATATGTTATGTATTTTTAAAAAAATATTGTGTGTAATATTCTTATTAATATAAACAAAGCTAAATTGACAGTGTTATTTTGCATTGAAATAAACATTTAAATCAGAATTTTAAAATTACTTATATAAATTATTAGTAATATTTAATAATTCAATCTTAATTTTATAAATTTATTTCACAGCTCATAATATATAATGAATAAGCTCGTAAAATTAATAATTTTAGTTACAATCATGATCATACATTTATCAAATAATTTTTAACAAGTATCAATCGTCTTTACTTGACTAAAATAATGAGGCCTTATTTGTCTTTGAAGATAATAGGTTTTCAATTCGACAAAAGAAGATCTACTTCTAAATTACATGACAAAAATAGATTCCAATTAATATTGTCTTCATTAAATGGTTTTAAATGATTAAATGTTAGAATTAGAAAATTATAGATTCAATACTAAACAATGATGGCTAAATTATTAGAATTAAGTTGTTTTTTATATTTATCATAAAATTGTAAAGATAATTATAAAAATCAGAACAGATAATGAGATTTTTAATCGAAATCTGGGAGTTTCGGTAATTTTCTCAACCGATTACCATATTCCCTTTATTTTTCATAATGAATATCAAGATTCTTCTTGGATATATTTGGTTTAAGGGTTTGCAATTTCTTGATCAAATTGATATTTTCTAAGGAACTATTAAAAGTGTTTTTTGAACTTTTAATGTCATTTGAGAGATTCCTCTAAATCGATTTAGATTGACATATGAATTTTCTCTTATTTTGATTCTTTCGATTTTGTCATCCAATATATTATTAATTTTAGGAAGAGAAATAATTTTTGTAATTTATCTTATGCATTTTATTATTTTTATTTATTAAATTTGGATGTATATTAAAGCAATTAAAATCGAGAATTAGTTGCACTTTAATTTTATTCGATTGTTTTGTAGATATTGATATTGTCTTTATCAATCTCCTCTATTCTTTTAAAATAGTTGTAGTACTCTTCTAGTTGATAAGATTCGATAGTAGGATTATGGATAATAAAGCGATTAGCTTTCATATATAGGAGTTACTTAATTAATTAAGTTTATTGATAAAATTAATGAACATATTGAATGTATTTTATATTGGTTTACTCAAGCCAATTTTAAGTCCTCAATGTGAACTGGAGTCATTGGTACATATTTATAAGATGGATCAGCATATTTGGTTTTCTTCACATGTTCAGGTTGTGTTGATCTTTCTTTGATGATTTTGGCATGTTATTTATGATACTAATTATTTGAATAAAATAATGATTTTTACTCTTTTCATCATTTCTGCTGTATAAATTGAGCTAATTTCTGTATAATGTGCAGATAATCTTTGATTCAATGTATTTAATGGGAAATGCAAAGCATTTGTAGCCTTCTTCATCACATAATCCAAATTATCAGGACTAAGAATATCATTAAGATCAATTACTAGTATGATCTGTTCTCAGAGGAATAGTACACTAATCTGAATAGACCTCCTAATACAGCCAAAGGACCCAAGAACACTGCTGCTCTCATTGGTCTCAACATGTGATATCCTTGATGAGTTAATCCTCTAAATCATAGATTCATATTTCTACTTCAATACTGAGTACTTATGACCCATAAAGGCTGTGGCAAAGAGCACTCTTCTGTTGAAGTAAATGAACATTTAATTTGTTGGGTGATAGCCAAATTCTCTTGGTCCAATAAGGAAGAATCTACCGATCTTTCCCAAAAGTCCTTCATGTTAGTGTATATTAGCTACCTGATCGTTTAGCCAATTTCTCATTGATAACGACTGAGACTGGTTATAAAAACTTTAACCATGCTTATTGAATTGGATTCATCTTAATTAAATAAATGTTATAAGAAACTTTTAATAAAAATTACTAATTACGCATTCGGAAATCCTTACCCAAATAACTGCCAAAACCTTCTTTTGTTCCAATTATTGAAAGAAATTATTAACTCTCAAAGATCAATCAGAATTACTAATTTCCTCGTACTGATACTTCTGTAGATTCTTGTGATGAAATGGAAATTTATGGTGTTTATGATTTAAATTAGTAGAACAACAAGAAAATTAAATTCAATAAACATCTTAGTACTTTAGATGTCTAAATTCCTATTTAGAAGAGAAGACTTAAAACATAACATGAGGACAACAATCAAAAACCAATAAATTTATCTCTAAACATACAACGAATAAAGACAGAGGTTTCACAAGATAATATCTCAATTAAATTGCCTTCGCTTAAATTCAGATCCAAAAAGAATGTGTTACAACTCAGATCAATTTCAAATACAATATGCCATCAGTGAATATGAAAATAATTTAAATAATATTATCAAACTCTTATTATTCTTCATTTCTTCAGCCCAAGATTTTCATGCCAAAACATAACAAAATTTATAGAGTACTATTAATTTATTAACGAAATCTAATTCTAATTTTTGCTACTTCAACACTCTAATCTATTACTTCTCAAGTAATTACTAAATCTGGTTCTCTCTCTTTCAATGTTATTGTAAACTAGTGATTTGTCACTTTCAACATTATTGTTAAATATCATTAAATATTCATTTGCAATACTAAATATTAAAACTAAAGAGAAAGTGAATTCAAAAATCACAATACTAATTTGAATTAGAATTCTATGCATTCTCCAAATGTCATTTGTGATTAATTCTGATATTCTAAATTATTAACTTGAAAATCACATTATCAAGTATTTAGAAATTGGGTATTTTAAATAATTTTAATAATAATGTCTGAATATCATGATGAATTTCAAGAAGATCAATAAAAATTGAATGCCTTGAACCTGTCTTGGACATTGGGGTTTAATTACAAAATGGTAAATGGAGTTCACAACCTCACTAATGATTCTCGTAAGGTATGATCAATTTGAATTTAGGAAATATTCTATGCAACAGCACACACAGGAGTCATATTTGATTATGGGAATAACTAATAAAGATTATTATAAGGACATGTATAATATTATCTGATTCTTAGTGTAACAAAATTTCATGCACAGCATATTGCAAAGAATTGGACATAATTGTAACTGCTGATGCAGGGCCTGACAGTATGTTGGTCATATGGGATGCAAAGACAGGAGTACCAAGAAGAACGATATTTGAGCCACATGCTAATGGTGTTTAAGCAGTGGATATTAGTGAGAATGGCCAATATTTGGTAACATTGTCAAAGGAAGAACCCGATAAAATACAATCTATATCGTTTTGGGACTGGTAATCTCAAGATCCTCGTCTCAGAACAACAGTCTTAGATGATAAATTAAAAGATTATCAATACTATGTTACAATCAATAATAATGCTGAGCAAAAGCAAAATTAGCAATAGATATTTGAATTTGCTACCACAGGCAAAAAGAGAGTTGTCTTTTGGAGTTGGGAATATGGAGCAGCAGGATTCGAGTATTACAGTCCTGAAGTCTAAAAGAATAAGGTGTTGACCTAGACAGTCTTTATTCCTAAGAATAAGAATGTGGTAACAGGAACATTGGATGGATACATAATAGTTTGGGATGTATCTCTTATTATTGAAGAATATGGATAACCAGATGAGAGAAGAGTTATTAAGATAGTGAATCTAATGAATGTGGCTAATAAATCAGAGACATAATAGAAGAAAGGAAATGCTTAGATTTTATTATTAAGAGTCTAAGGAAGGTATTTAGTAGTTGGAGCATCTAATGGATCTATAAGATTTTATGATTTCAAATTCAGAATTAGAGCATGGTTTGAAGATGTTGTGATTGGATAGAATGGTCTAAATATTTAATGCATAGGATCTATTACTAATTTATCATTTGCAAATGAGAGTGTGTTCTAAGAGGATTTTGAAACTGAATCAGATGAAGAGAAGGACAAGGATGAGTAATCCTAGAAGAAGTCAAAACCATTTCTATGTTAAGATTTTATAGTTGTAGATGATAAGGCTAATGTGATATTATTAAAATCATCACAATTTTAAGAAATAGAAAAAGAAAAGAAGAAAGGAACAGTCATCATGTCATCTATTGTGTCACCTATTATCTCTCATATCTGTGAAGACCTAATGTTCCTGTTGTTGCATTTAGTTGTGAAGATAACAAAATTTATGAATGGAATTTCTATGAAAAACACAATAAACTGAAAGAAATTAAAGAGAAGGGAAGTGAATTACAAATATAAAGTACATTTATAGAATACAGTCCTGATGGTTATTATTTAGCTGTCTGTTCAAAAAATGGAATAGTTCATATGTATGATTGCAGAGAAGAAAAATGGCTTAAAAATCTATTGGTTTCAGAAACTGACAAAACTAAACCAAAAATAACCTACTTAACTTTTAGTATTGATTCAAAATATTTTGCTACAATTGATGAATCTTATGCAGTCAGTGTTTTTAATTTTGATTTCGATCCTAACAGTCAATTGAAATAATAAAAAGAATGGATATTTGCTGGTAAATATAGAGTACATCATGGACCAATCAAATCAGTTGCCTTTGGTGAAACACTTGATGAAAAGAACTAAGTTCAATTAAAGGTGTTCACCATAGGAGAAGACATGAAGTTGGCAGTCTACGATGTTTTAGATCCAACTCAAGATCCATATAATAGAGTTAAATTAAGAAGTGTAGTCTCTATTGAATAGGAATGTTTGCCATCAGCATGTATCTGGTATCCAATAAATCTATAAAGAGAGGATGTCTTATTAACAACAAATAGTGAATTCAAATTGAAATTATGGACTGTATTAAAAGATCTTCGTATTATCTGTAAAAAGACTTGTTTAGGTCCCACATTTGGTGGACATATCAAAAGATTATTATTACTTAATCCAAGCGATATGAAAAATGAATACTAAGATAAATATTTGGCATACTCTACAGGTGAGAAGGTGGTTGGTATAATTAAATTGCCTTTGGATGGTAATCCCAATAAAACTATGGGTTTGATTGCACATCCTGAGAAGATTGTTGATTTATCATCAACTTAAGATGGTAAATTATTTTTTACTTCTGGTGGTGATGACTTTGCAATTAATATTTGGAGTGTCGATTTTGCTGCTTTAGAAGATAATTTTTAAACACAAGAAACAGAATATGAAATATTTTCAAATTTATTAGATGGAGGACCTGAAGGATAGACTTTAAGAGATTTGAAAGACTTCTTTTATTATAGTCAGATTAGATCAAAGGATGAACATACTACTAAGGCTAGAAAATTAGATGGTCTAGTACCATTGACTGCTATTGCTGATATGATGAGATCTATGGGATACTTCCCAACAAATTAAGAAATCGAAAATATGATAAATGAGATCAAGTTTTCAAAATATCTTGAAACAGGCGAACAAATTTCAGAATTGGAAATTAATACATTCCTTAAATTGTATGTTAATCATAAACCTGTTAATGGTGTCACTAAAGGTCAAATATATGATGCATTAAAGACACTGTCTAAAGACACAGGAGTGATGCCATGGGATTAATTTACTGAGTTATTGAAAACAAAGGGTGAAAAATTAGATGAACAAGAAATTGAATGTAATATAAATATTCTATTATAGATTATTTGGAATCATTGTTGCCAAACAAAAATTATCCATAACAATTGCATTTGAATAATCTTTGTGATGAATTGTTAGGTTTTGAAGATATGGATGGTACTTAAGAATAGTAAGAGTAATAAGAAGAAGTTTAAGATGCCGGTTCTGAAGATGAATAGTAGTGAAATTATATTTATTCTTATTATAATATTAAAATTAAATTAATAGTGTTCTATTTATAAATTAAATGTTATTCATAATGAAAAATTCAATGTAAATTTCATTCATATGGAGAATAAGAATATAAAATGGAACTTCCATTTTTAGATTGATAGGTATAATGATAAGATATTATAAAGCTGAATTAAATTGTTGAAATCCTTATGATAACTCTATAATAATGTGTTCATCAATTTGAGAATAGGAAATAATTAATGGAAATAACCTTAAATGGGGAGTGAGTAATAACATAATAAAT